AATAAAGAGATATTCTCCCTAACACCATTCACCACTTAACTCACCCCCTCACCTAACATCCCACTCATTACCTCTCTCCCCCACAGCCCACTCACCACCTCTCCCTAGCAGCCCACTCACCCCACTCACACTCTCCCCTCAGTACGGACGGTAGCGGTGGGGTCCTCAGCTTCAAGGACTTGCTGCCAGAAAACCCGAAGGACTATGATAAGATGCGGCCGCCTAAGAAGGAGGGAAGACCTACCAATGTGTACTTCCACGTGACTGTCATGGGCATCGACTCCATCAACGAAAACTCCATGGTAGGTGGAGGGAGTGTGGAGGGGTGTGGAGGGTATGGAAGGGTGTGGAGGGGTGTGGAGGGTGTGGAGGGTGTGGAGGGAGTGTGGAGGGGTGTGGAGGGTATGGAGGGTGTGGAGGGGTAGAAGAGGCTGTAGTGGATGGTGGGGAAGGATGGTGGAGGAGTGTAGAGGGGTGGCGGGTGGGAGTGAGAGGTGGTGGGGGAAGTGGAAAAGTGGTGGAGAGTGTAGAGTGGTGGTAGAGAATGTGGAGGGTGATGGAGGGTGTAAAGGAGGGGTGGTGGAGGGCTTGAGGAGGAGGGGTGGTAGTGGAGGGTGTTATTAGCAGCCTCCAGGTATAAGTGTAAACTGTTTTCTATAATGACGATGAAAAAACTACTTAAGGACCAGTCCGCGACAATAGTTGAGGCGGATGACACTTACAGTGTTGGATATATCTACGACCTTTACCCTTTCACCCTTAACCCCCCTCCCCCCCAAACTCCCCCTTTTTCATTATCCTTCCCCTTCCTTGCTCTCCTATCCCCCCTTCCTACCGCCTGTTCCACCCCCCCAGTGACTGCCAAATTTCATAGAAGTTGACTCTCTCTCTCTCTCGCAGCAGAACGAACATCAGTACTCAGACCCGTGTGGTCACCAGCAGCCGCGTGAAACTCTACGGTGCCAGCCAGCCACGTTTAACTACCAGAGCTTGATAAATGGTGTCTCTCTCTCTCTCTTCTCTCTCTCTCTCTCTCTCTCACTCTCTGTCTCTCACTCTCTCTCGCTATATAAGTCAGTTAATCAGTCAGACAGTCAGTCACACAACCAGTCAATGAGTCAGACAGAACAGGTATTCATAGAGCTGGTAGACGCAGCAGAACGAACATCAGTACTCAGACCCGCGCTGTCACCAGCAGCCGCGTGAAACTCTACGGTGCCAGCCAGCCACGTTTAACTACCAGAGCTGGATAAATAGTCTTTCTCTCTCAGATGGCTTGTCCATTGTTATGTATATAAAGTGATTGTACAGTATATGGCATAAATATATTTATTGTGTGAGTGTGTGTGTGTTAAATTAATATGTTTCTTCACCTTTCTTCCTCTTGTATTTTCTCATCAATTCTTACGTCGTTTGCCATCATAAGAGTCAAATTACACCTCACAATAACACTTGCCTCACACCTCACAATAACACTTGCCTCACTACTTCACAATAACTTCAAGATGAATATTGGTCATCATAACAAGGGCAGGGAAGTGAGGGAGGGGGGATGGGAGAGCAGAAGGGGAGGTAGGGAGGTGAAGGAGGGAGATGAGGGAAGGAGTAGGAATGGTGGGTGAATGGGGGAGTGAGGTAAGTGGGTGGGTGGAAGGTGAGAGAGGGATGGTAGGGGAGATTAAACTAAATATATATCTGACAAGACGAAGTGAGAGAAGAGGGAGGGGAGGTGGGTAGTGGGAGAGGGGGGAGGGGGGGAAGGGGGAGTGACTCTACGTGGGAGTGACTCTACGTAGGAGTCGATCGCTGGTTCAGGGATAATGAGACGCGTGACTATGCATAATATCCACTCCGTTAGCCCAAATATTTCGCTGCCTTATCACTGGAGCGAATTATTTTGTCCACACACACACACACACACACACACACACATACACACACACACATACACACACACACTCAATACGTCATTAATGGATGGAACAATTACTCTCGTCACAGGGAGGAAGTTTGGCCATTAGCGATACAAAACAATGGTTGAGTCTCACCCTACCTGACCCCGTTCTCTTACACTGCTTCCTGGTGGTGAGAGAGAGAGAGAGAGAGAGAGAGAGAGAGAGAAGAGGGAACAAGGAAGGGAGGAGAGAGAGAGAGAGAGAAGAGGGGTAATATCCCGGAAGTAACTGGGTGGGAGCTGGGAGGATCAAGGAAGATTGATGCCAGACGTAGAGGGAGGGAAGGAGGGCAGGAGGGAGGAAGGAAGAAAGGACGGAGTGCGGGAGGAAGGAGGGATGGAGGGAGGGATAGATGGATGGAGGAAGGGAGCCATCACCTTCATCATCATCATCATCACTACAACTATCATCACCATCACCACAACCAGCATCACCATCACTACCAACACCACTAACACCCCCATCACTACTATCACTACCATCACCATCCCCACCATCACTATCACTTAACACTATCTTCTCAACAGACATACGTGGCAGACATCTTCTTCGCTCAGTCGTGGAAAGACCATCGACTGAGGCTGCCTGAGAACATGACCTCCAGCTACAGGTATGGTGACACTGTAGTATGGTGACGGGTATGGTGACACTGTAGTATGGTGACGGGTATGGTGACACTGTAGTATGGTGACGGGTATGGTGACACTGTAGTATGGTGACGGGTATGGTGACACTGTAGTATGGTGACGGGTATGGTGACACTGTAATATTATAATAATAATAATAATAATAATAATAATAAACGGTTTATTAATAGAGTTGCAGCCGGTGGCTGAAAATATACAGACTTACATTTGATTTAGACATAATGATATAATATGCATTGAATACATTTACAGGGCTGTACAGTACATAAATCAGGAGTTGTTTATTATTTTAACAATAGATGGGATGGTGTTATTCTTATATCTATCGCTGCGGGCTCTTATGGGCTGAATTTTGTTGTAGTGGCGGACTGCGCGAGAAGGGTGGGGGGCTGCAGGTGGCAGGAGGTGGCGATGGCGAGGGTGGTGCAATAGTCCACGGCCAAACCTTTCCAGTGCTTGGTGGTGGATGTCACTGGGGGATGGCATTTCCAGGGTGGAGAGAGCGTTGGTGTAGCCGGAGTATTCAGCGCCGAGCATGATTCTGCAGGCCCTTTTCTGTACCTTCTCTAGCTGACGTTGTTGGGTGGAGTTGAGAGAAGACGACCAGGCTGGTGACGCATACGTTAGTTTGAGGAGAATAAAGACGTTGTAGATGGTCCTCAGCTCTGGCGTGGGTGTCCCAAGTGACCTAAGTCTTCGTAGCATGTAGAGACGGTACGAGGCTGCCTTGACTGTGTTACTTACATGGGCCTTCCAGTCAAGTTTATTGTCTATAGTTACACCCAGGAGTTTGGCAGACTGCACCAGCTGGAGAGGATGGGCACCCACTGTGACTGCTGGGGCTTGCACTGGAGTGGTGGCGGTATTGATGTGCATGACTACGGTTTTGGTGTGGTTGATGGTGACCTTGTTCTCCGTAGTCCATGCCTGTAGCCAGTCCAGGGTGCCTTGGAGCGATGAGTAGTCTGGTGCGGTGTTGTCCACTGAAACCCCCACAGTGCAGTCATCCACATGCTTCCACCTGTGAGGAGTGTCCGATAGAGCGTCGTTGATCAGGATGAGGAAGCATAGTGGTCCCATCTTGGTCCCCTGGGGAACACCGCAGGTGAGGTGTTGGAATGTAGAGACTAAGCCCTGATACCTCACTGCTTGGCGACGTCCACTCAAGAAATCAGTGAGCCATGAGACCAGGTTGGTGGGCAGCCCTAGTGCAATAGCCTTGTTGATAACAGTGCAGTGATCAACAAGGTCAAAGGCCTTCCTGAAGTCCACAAGGGCAACGGCCAGTGATGTCTTTCGTTTCTGCAAGTTTTTGTGCAGAAAATCCAGAAAGCTCACCAAGCAGTGTGATGTAGAGGAGGTCCTCATATTGCCAAATTGCTGTGAATCAATTGACTGATAGATACTGGCAAATGCTCACTCAAAAACAAAGTCCTCACAAAGTTGACTGGGTATGGGGGTAATGGCAACTGGCCTGAGGTCGTTAGGGGACTGTGGGGTGGTGACCTTGGGGATGGGGGTGACAAATGTGGTTTTCCATTCATTAGGGCATTTGCTTTGTCTGAGGGATGCATTAATAATAGAACAGAGTGGGATGGCAAGTTCGACTGCAAACTCCTTGTATATTTTGATTGGGAGGTCAATTGGGGTCGTGGAGTGTTTGGATTTAAATTTCAGGAGTTTGTTGGCGATTTCATATGGTTGGACACTGGGAGGGGGGGAGGGGGAAGGTAAGTAAGCTGGGAGGAGAGTGAGGTCAAGACTGGGTAAGGTATGACATATGGTAACAAAGTGGTTATTAATTGTCTCAGCTGCCTCCTCACTAGGAAAATGTGAGATGAAAGGAAGTGTGGGAGACTGACGGTTGAGACCACAGAGATCTTTTACCTTGGAGTACCACTGACCGATGCCGACTTCCTTGAGGTCGTGCACTTTCCTGGGATAATAAGTCTTCTTGGCAGACTTGATTTCCCTGATGACCTGGTTACGTAGACTTTTGTACGGGCGGTTGTTGGTGTAGTATGCCTTGTTGCGCTGCTCAATAAGTCTTTTTATGCGGGGCGTAATCCACGGGACATCATCGGGGTGGATCCTCAGTGTTTTGGCTGGAAAGAAGTGGTGGTAGGCTTTGGTGATAGTGTCCAGGTAATTATCCCATTTGTTCTGCACATCGTCTACCGTGATCACTTCAGTCCAGGGATACCGGGTTATCCATTGTCCAAAACGCCGCATTGCAGAGTCGGGGGTGGGTCGGTAAGTCCTGGTGGCAACTGGCGGTGGTGAGAAGGTGGGGGTAGGTAACCACAGCAGGGACAGGTGTGGGCTGCGTCCCATGGGAGGCAGCGGCTGGGGGGGAAGGTAGTGGTTACTGAGATCAGTCATAATGAGGTCAAGGGTGGCATTGCCATGTGTGGGAAAGTCTACTATTTGTGTAAGGTGGAGGTGTTGGGTGATGTCACTGATGTCTAACTCATTGAAGTCACCGCATATCACTAGTTTAGCACATGGAAATCTGGATCTCAGGGAGTCAGCAGTGTCTATAATATGAGTAATCAGTACATTGGCGGTTGGTGCGCGGGGGGGATGATAGCATACACAGACAATGAGGGAGGCAAGCTGGCGGGGGTGGGAGGTGGGAGTGACCTGAACCCACAAGGCTTCTACATCTTCAGGTACATTAACACCTAGGGGTGATGGTTTGAGGTCACTGCGACAGTACAGAACTACACCACCACCTCTCCTGTCCTTTCTAAGGTGGTGAAATAACTCAGTAACGTGTGTGTGTGTGTGTGTGTAAAAAGATCGGTTGTGAGGGTCCGTTTAGTGGTACAACAGAAGGCGCCATTAACCTGTGTGTGTCGCACCTGTAAATATGTCAATTAGTGTTCAGGTGTGTCGGGCTGAAGCATAAAGAAGCATTACTCTGGTATTCAGTAACTTTTAAAGGTGAAACTCGGGGTCAACCTTCACGTGTGATGGACGACAGACACATTCTCTTTACATCATTCTACTGCTGCTGGTCGAGGAACTTGATCTAAATACCGTCAACACAATATATTCCGTGTTTATATTACGTTATGCAAATGCGCTCATATAATGAATCCGGATAGTGCTTTCGCGAACGCTCACGAGGTAAACAAAGCCTCTAGACTCCACCACCAAGTGCTGTGTGACGTGGGACAATTAACATTTAGGAGCAGCGGGTCAGTAAACACGGAAGCATTACTGCCTTCACTCTAATAGTCGATGTTTTTGTAAAGTGAAATTTCCTCGTGTGATGAATGGTGCTGCTGGGTAGGTCACGTATGACGTCATCACCTGAAGTAGATGGTATTACGGTCGTGACGTTGTACAATCGCCCTCAACAACACAAACAGGTGTAGTGTTTTTGTGTATGTGTTGTGCTGGGATTTTCTGATGTGAACTTGTAGGTATGGTGCCACTACGTATGGTTATATCACAATACAGGTATGTTTACTCTGTAGGCATAGTGACTATCAATTATAATAGAGTATGTATTGATGACACACTGTTGAAGATATGATGACAACTATGGTGACTACAAGTATGATGACACTACAGATCTAAAGTAACACTATAAATGCTCGCATTTTAACAGGTATAGTGACATAGTTTAGGTATGACGACAAGTATAGTGTCACTAGATATAGGATCTACCAGGACACAACAGTATGGTGACATGAACATTGACTTTTAATATATTACCTACTACTTACTTCAATTATTAAAATATAGTGTAACTATATAGCACCATAAGTGTACAGTGCACCCCTTGAGCTACACTTAGAGCCTATATTTAACACCACAATCAGCACCATAAGTGTACAGTGTACCCCTTGAGCTACACTTAGAGCCTATATTTAACACCATAATCAGCACCATAAGCGTACAGTGCACCATTAAGAGGTAATAGTGTCCCCCTCCCCCATGGCAGGTTGTTGGAGGTAGAGTGGCTGAAGGATATGTGGCGTCCTGACAGCTTCTTCAAGAACGCTAAACAGGTCACCTTCCAGACCATGACCATCCCTAACCACTACGTCTGGCTGCACAAGGACTCAACCATCCTCTACATGGTCAAGTATGTGCCATGTGTCACTCTAAAGGGTCAACTGTGTCATGTGTCACTCTAAAGGGTCAACTGTGTCATGTGTCACTCTAAAGGGTCAACTATGTCATGTGTCACTCTAAAGGGTTAACTATGTGTCATGTGCGTTTCTAAAGAGTTAAATACGTGTTATGTGAGATTCTACAGAGTTAAAGGTTCCTCTTCCTCCTCCTTCTCAGCCATAAGACTAACCTCCTCCTCTTCCTTCCCCAGGCTGACGTTGACGCTGTCGTGTGCAATGAACTACGCCATCTACCCACACGACACCCAGGAGTGCAGGATGCAGATGGAGAGTCGTAAGTGTTGATCAGAGAGTCGTACGTGTTGATCGGGGTCGTGAGGATTGATCAGAGTCGTGAGGACTGATCAGAGAGTCGTGAGAATTGATAAATTATTTGACTGTGTAAAGAGAGAGAGAGAGAGAGAGCATCACCACTATTATAACCATCACCACCACCACCACCATACAATCACTACCACTACCACCATTATCACCACCATCACCACTACCACCACCATTCCCACAATCTCTCTCTTCCACCTTGGGTTCCGCTTAGCTCATTTCCCGGGTCAGGTCACGGTCCACTGGTCAGGTGAGGACAGGTCAGCAAGGGGTTAGGACAATGGAGAGACACCCAGGAGTCAACACCGTAAAATGGCGTTCTTCCTCGCTAGTGACTTGAGTCTTTTGGTAGACATTACCTAACACTCAATTATAACAATTATTATTATTATTATTATTATTATTATTATTAGAACGTCTTTAAGTTAATACATTAATTACACAAAAACTTTCACGCAGACCAAATGCTTCTTAAAAACTACTTATGACATAACTTAATGGGTCTTGACTTTTAACTCACGAACAACCTGAAGGCTTGTTAGTGTTGAGAAAATGTCAACTTAACATTTGTCAAACACTTTAAGAATTTAGTGAACTTAGCCTCCGTTTGACCTCTGTGTGACGACGTGGGAAGGTCACCTGGTTGTAGGACACGAGTTATCAGGAGGTCAAAGGTTACTTGGGAAGAGCAGAGGGTGACCAGAGCTGTGCTGAGTCAGTGATGAGGAAGAGTCTCTCTCTCTCTCTCTCTCTCTCTCTGAGTATTTACGCCCAAGTTTCATAGATACAGGAGAGAGAGAGAGAGAGACCTCATTGTGCCATTATTCTGAAGTGTTTATAAGTGACCCTTCAACCTTGACCCTGAAGTATGACATCTGATCCTCGACTCCTATCACTTCAACCTTGACCCTGAAGTATGATTTCTGACCCTTGACCCCTTCCACTTTAATCTTGAACCCTGAAGTATGACTTCTGACCCTTGACCCCGACCACCTCAACCTTGACCCTAAAGTATGACCTCTGACCCTTGGCCCCTAACTATTTAACCTTGACCTCTACAGTATCACACACCACGGAGGACCTAGTATTTGACTGGGACCCTGAGATGCCCCTTGAGGTGGACGACCATATAGAGCTGCCCCAGTTTGACCTGGTCAGGAACCACACGGCCGACTGTACACAGGTCTACTTCACAGGTCAGTAACAAAGGTCTACTTCATAGGTCAGTAACACAGGTCAGTGGTACAGGTGTGCACAGGTGTTTAAATGAGCCAAACAACAGGTGTAGAGATGTTTCAACTGCAGGTATTCTTCCCGACAGGTAACTTCACGTGTCTGGAGGTGGTGTTCCAGCTACGTCGGCGCCTCGGCTACTATCTCTTCCATACCTACATGCCTACCTGTCTCATAGTGATTATGTCGGTAAGTGACCAGAGGGGGGGAGATGGTGAGGGAGGAGAGTAGAGGGATGGTGGTGAGGGATGGGATTGGGGGAGGAAAGAAGGGGGAGTGGTGGTGAGTGATGCAATAATAATAATAACAATAACAATAATAATAATGATAATAATAATAACAATAACAATAATAATAATAACAACAATAATAATAATAATAATAATAACAATAATGATAATAATAATAATAATAATAATAATAATAGCAATAATAATAATGATAATAATAATAATAACAATAATGATAATAATAATAATAACAATAATAATAATAATAATAATAATAATAATAATAATAGCAATAATAATAATAATAATAATAACAATAATAATAATGATAATAATAATAATAACAATAATAAATACAATACTAACCATCTTACTTCCTTGCGTGACCTCTAATGACCTGTCTTGACCCCTACAGTGGGTGTCCTTCTGGATCAAGCCTGAGGCGGCGCCAGCGAGGGTCACACTGGGCGTGACCTCACTCCTGACACTGTCCACCCAGCACGCTAAGTCTCAGGCCTCACTCCCTCCAGTCTCTTACATCAAGATCATCGATATGTTTATGTCTACCTGTACTGTGTAAGTGTGTCAAAGTATTCAGTTTGTCTCTTAAGTCAAAATTTGACATCAAGTTAAAAATCTATTGTTTGTTTTAGGTTTATTTTAGGTTTTGATATATATATATATATATATATATATATATATATATATATATATATATATATATATATATATATATATATATATATATATTCAAGACGAAAGCTAAGGTACCCGTTGTTTCCATTTTCCCGTGTGATTTTATCAAGATTTATCTTATCCACGTTTTCATTGTGGATTTACATGAAATATATATATATATATATATATATATATATATATATATATATATATATATATATATATATATATATATATATATATTTACAGCTACACCTGCCCATACCTGTCACAGTTACACCCCCACACCTGTCTACACCCACACCGCCCACGCCCACAACCTCACACCTGTCCACACCCGCTCCGCCCACGCCCATACCCCCCCACACCTGTCCACACCCATACTGACCACGCCGACCACAGCCACACCCCCACACCTGTAATTACACCTGCATCCTCCCACATCTGCAGGTTTGTGTTCCTGGCCTTGATGGAATACGCGCTGGTGAATGTGGTGTTGGGTGACGGGCCAGACACACCGACCAAGAGCAAACCCTCAGAGAAGGAGAGCAGGAGCGGCTTCCATCACCACCACCACCACATCTGCGCTGACAAGGTCAGTCATGTTGGTAGTGTAACCCTACCATCATCAGATGCTAGTAGTGGTAGTAGTTGTGTTAGTAGTAGTAGTAGTAGTAGTAGTAGTATGAGCATGCCACCAGCTGCTAGTAGTAGTAGTAGTATAACCATGCCACCAGCAGCTAGTAGTATTAATATTATTATTATTAGTAGTAGTAGTAGTAGTAGTAATATGACCCTGCCATCAGCTACTCGTGTTCGCTAGTAGTAGTCGTACTGTCATAAGAGTTATATCGTGTTTGTGGTCGTGTTGACGGCCACTGATGGTGTCGTGTTGTGTCCACAGGAGAACGGTCGTGTTGGTCTGTCGTACCCCCGCACCCACGATCACCCGGGGGATCTCTCAACCCACGCCTACTCCCACCACAGCTCCCACGTCCACGGCAGTCATCCCCACGGCAACATTACCCTGGCCCACGGTACGCCCATACGAAGCCCACTTACCCACGGTGGACCCCTACATGGCAGCCTGACCCACAGCGCGCCCGTCCACCGCCAACATCACTTCCACGAGAACGCCGCCCACCACTTCCACACTCCGATGCAAGGCCCCTTTTCCCATGGAGTGCCCCCGGCTGGCCCACTGTCACATGGACCACCACTCCACGGGGCACTGGCCCACGGTGCCCCCTTACATGGCATGAGACCCCACAGTCACAGCAACCAGACCTACGCCGACCTGTTGTGTCCGCCCCTGCCCAGCGTGCCCCCGCCTCCGCCGCCCCCCGCCAGGATGCCAGGACCCACCGCTGCCCAGAAGAGACGAGCGAGGGCCATCCTGGTCGACCGCTTCTCAAGGGTGTTCTTTCCCTCCACCTTTGGCCTCATCAACGGGGTGTACTGGATCATCTTTTGGCTCTACTTATAAGCCAACACGTCCACTGGATCACTATCTGGATCAATCTGTGAGCCAGGGATCATTGCCTGGTATTGGTTATGACACAACAGGTCAGAAGGATCGTTTTCTGGATCAGTCTGTCAGCCAAGGAGCATTTCCTGGCTTTGGATATAAGACAGCAGTCGACTGGATCACTTTCTGGATCAGTCTGTACGTCCAGGGATCACTCTCTGTACCTAAGCATTAACCACAAGTTAATATCCCAGAACCCCTCGAGTGGATCACTTAACGAATCTGTGTGTGCCAAGGATCACTTTTTGGCAATACAGTAATTGTAAGTTAAAGGATCGAAGACATCATTTCGCGGATCAACCTTGAAGAGAGGGATCAATTTTTGGCTATGGTTATAAGCTAGGGAAATGCTGGATCATTTGTGGATCAGTGTAGACCTCTGAGACCACTGTCTTGGTCTAGTTAGAAATCAGAGATGATAATGTGATTAGCTTAATCTTTAAGTCAAGGATCAGACAGACCAATGTGCTGACTGTTTACAACCCATGGATCGAGCTGGATCACTAGCTGGCTTCTGCCTATAAACTACGGGTCGTCTACATCATCCAGAAGCCAGGGATCAAATGGATCTTTTTATGGCTCCGTGCGTGAGTCATGGAGGACACGCACTATTTAAGTGTTCGTGTTAGTAATGACCCCTATACACCTAGATCACTTACCTGCTCCGTGGATCGAGTGGATCATTTTTGGCTTAATTTACAAGTCAGGAATCCACGGCATCACCAGCTGGCTTTATCCAGAGATCCATTATAAAACTGTCTGGCTCCAGGTTATGTTCGAAGCCGGATTGTTTTGGATCACTTCTCATATGGCTTTGTGATGTGTATTGCTGAGGAGTGCACCAACACTCTTGTACACACGGGGCGGCTCTCGCTACACACGGGGCGGCTCTCGCTACACACGGGGCGGCTCTCGCTACACACGGGGCGGCTCTCGCTACACACGGGGCGGCTCTCGCTACACACGGGGGCGGTTCTCGCTACACACGCTATTTAGCCGTGAAGTTTACTCAAAATACACAACGAACCAACCTAACCCAACCAAACCCATGCAGTATATTGGATCACATTTTAGGCTGTGTGTGTGTGTGTGTGTGTTTACAATTTTCTGATGCAACCTACTGTATATATACAAAAATAGGTTATAACAAGTGTTAAGGTGATATACCCAACACCTCTAACCCACAGTGCCATACCATCCTCTTCCCCCTCCCTCCCTCACCCCTCCCTCCCCATCCCTCACCCCTCTTGTTAATTAATACATATAATATCTCACTTTATGAACAAGATGTGAGTTAATTCATGTATAACGTATGTGTATTGTGTATATATGTATATTTGTTGAATTCAATCAATAACAGATTATCGATATATTTATTTTTTCACGGTTTTTGTTGTCATTTAGTTGGTAAGTTATTCACAAAGTAGGAGAATAAAATGTCGTAGTGATACATGTACACATATTATTATTATTATTATTATTAATGTATGTTAATATTATGTTCGTTCAGATTAAATCGTTAGGGAAATGATGCTACAAATTACTTCAATCTTTACTGTATATTGTGGAACCTTAAGAGAGTATAATTGAGCCTGTTTGAGGTATACTTAACTCATTAGTAGTATAATTGAGCCTGTTGGAAGGTCAGCACTGTGTTGTGTTGCAAGATCGGGAGTGTTTTGTGTTGCAAGGTCAGGAATGTGTTGTGTTGCAAGATCGGGAGTGTTTCGTGTTGCAAGGTCAGGAGTGTGTTTTATTGCAAGGTCAGGAGTATGTTATGTTGCAAGGTCAGGACTGCTTTGTGTTGCAAGGTCAGGATCGTGTTGTGGTTGTAAGGTCAGGATTGTTGTCTTGTAGGATCAGGACTGTGTTGTGTTGCTAGGTCAGGAGTGTGTTGTGTTGCAAGGTCAGGACTGCTTTGTGTTGCAAGGTCAGGATTGTTGTCTTGTAGGGTCAGGACTGTGTTGTCTTGTAGGGTCAGGATTGTGTTGTGTTGCAAGATCAGGAGTGTGTTGTGTTGCAAGGTCAGGACTGCTTTGTGTTGCAAGGTCAGGATTGTTGTCTTGTAGGGTCAGGACTGTGTTGTCTTGTAGGGTCAGGATTGTGTTGTGTTGCAAGATCAGGAGTGTGTTGTGTTACATGTCGGGAGTGTGTTGTGGTGTGTTGTGTTGTGGTGTGTTGTGTTGTGATGTGCTGTGTTGTTTTGTAAGGTCACAATACCACAAGATTTAGCCAGTATGAAATAAACGATTATTTGTTGACGTGAATTTTTGAAACACTTGTGTTCAGGACGACGTGATTGGTGTTAGTTGACGCAGTGTTAACACATGTGACAGGTGTTAACATGTGTGACAGGTGTTAACATATTTGACAGGTGTTAACATGTGTGACAGGTGTTAACACGTGTGACAGGTGTGAACATGTGTGACAGGTGTTAACATGTGTGAAAAGGTGTTAACATGTGTGACAGGTGTTAACATGTGTGACAGTGTTAACATGTGACAGGTGTGACAGGTGTTAACATGTGACAGGTGGTGACAGGTGTTAACATGTGTGACAGGTGTTAACATGTGTGACAGGTGTTAACATGTGTGACAGGTGTGTGACAGGTGTTAACATGTGTGACAGGTGTTATGTGTGACAGGTGTTAACATGTGTGACAGGTGTGACAGGTGTTAACATGTGTGACAGGTGTTAACATATTTGACAGTGTTAACATGTGTGACAGGTGTTAACATGTGTGACAGGTGTTAACATATTGACAGGTGTTAACATGTGTGATACAGGTGTTAACATGTGTGACAGGTGTTAACATGTGTGACAGGTGTTAATATGTGACAGGTGTTAACATGTGTGACAGGTGTTAACATATTTGACAGGTGTTAACATGTGTGACAGGTGTTAACACGTGTGACAGGTGTGAACATGTGTGACAGGTGTTAACATGTGTGAAAAGGTGTTAACATGTGTGACAGGTGTTAACATGTGTGACAGGTGTGAACATGTGTGACAGGTGTTAACATGTGTGAAAAGGTGTTAGTAACGTTAACAAGTATTACAGTAACGTGCTGAAATTTTTGTTATGTCAAGAACAAATTTATGCACTACGTAAAAAAATAATTATACTAATTAGAAGAACACCTTTATCTGTTATACAATGTTCTAATTGTGTATAAAAAGAACATAAAGAGCTCAGATATACGTGTTGTGTTGACGAGAAACTGTTACGTGTTGTGTTGACGAGAAACTGTTACGTGTTGTGTTAACGAGAAGCTGTTACGTGTTGTGTTAACGAGAAACTGTTACGTGAAGGAGTCTGTACTTGTGTTCATCTATATATAAGATGTACCATAACTCTCCATACATTACGTCATCAATGTTCATGTAGTCAGGTCAGTCATCAACGTTATCATCAATTTACATCTTAATATAAGTTTCATGTTTAATATATCAACGTGTATTTTTTCAATAAATATAAATGATTATAGTTTCTTATAAGACGCCAAGAGAACGTCTCCCTCGCTCCCACACCCACCAATTAAATTCCACTTTCTATCAGTGTCTCGATTACCATTGGATAATTTTCTTGTGTCTGTTGCCGTTGTTTAGCCTCGGTGTATATGTCAGGGTAGTGTGCCTGGTATGTGCACATGAATGCTACAAAAACACACACACACACACACAAACTTGCATGTACACAAAGTCATACAAAGTCACGTACATATAGTAGAATCTAGACACAGCAAACATTCACATAGATACGTGACAATTTGTTATCCATGTACAGATTCAAACTTACATACATCAACACAGACCTTAAAACACGTATACAGACGTGTTTACACATAATACCCACACATATAAATGCAGGTACACATAGACATACATACAAACATGTACGTAGTTACGTACATATGACTGTAAGTATGCATGTTTCTCTGTAATGTTTGTTTGTAACTTATGTATATTTGTGAGTGTGTGTGTATTTGTGTGTGTGTGTGTATGTTTGCGTGTACGTGTGTGTGTGTATTTCGTATATATTGTTAAATGTATTACAAACAATATCTAAACGACTGCAGACAACAGAGAGAGAGAGAGAGAGAGAGAGGTCTTTACTTATCTGTGTTATATACATTAAAACATTCATTACAAGGAGCCTCCAAGTGAGACTATTATATACTGTACAGCACATAGGTACACACGTAGCTTATCTCACTGTTGGAAATATTAAATAATTCCCCAGTGATTCATTTATTGTATTGTTATAGACTGGCAGACACATTTTACTGTAAATAAGATAATTATTAAAACTTTACCTTAAGTATTGTGTTTCATTTCCAAGTTACCGGCCAGCTATTTAAAACTGGAATCCCTCGCGCTAAGAAAAAAAAGGCCATTAAATTGTTTATATACTTTGTACCTGCCTTGTGTTGGGGCCGCTGTGTCTCCGCCCTCCCACTCTCTATCTCTAGCTCCACCTCTGGCTTCTTGGTATTACTGAGGGTGTTTGTAGAGCCTGTGGTGTTTGCAATGTTTGACATCTTGAAAACTTTATCTGGGATTCCGGTTTACATTTTTTTTTCTAGATTTAGACTGTCTACTGTATGACAGTGGTTCTCAAACTTGTTTGCCCCATGCACCCCCTTCACCATATGTCAGAATGTCATTCCCCCCTCCTTTCCAAGATTGTCTGCCTCAAAAAGTGCATTCCAAATAATATGCATATGATACTGAAAATCCTTTATTTTTTCCATATTAGTATCAGTTCCCCCCCCCCCCCTGAAAACCTGAGGGGGGAAATTCCCCCTGGTTGAGAACCCCTGGTCTATGAGGTGTGCCCGTCGTGTGTCGTCTGAGGAGCTGTCAGTCCTCACTCTACTCTGACAACCGAGACATGTAATTCAGGAATTGTCCTTTTCACTCTGTGATTCATCTTATCTAGCGATGGTATAAATATATAAATTTAAGTCAGAACGCACCTGACTTGTAATGTAGGACATGGGCAGAAGTCACTCATTTATCGTAGTTACTCCAAAGTTAGACACACGGGAGCACATTTATGATAGAAAACGTATATGCTATGGTTAACTTTTATATTATAGAACTGGGTAAGTTTTTTTTTATTACAAACCAGCCATAAAATCAACACTAAAACAAATAGATGATGCTAATGTTTATTGATGAATAATTTAAGATACATTACAGTAACTGATAATTACTTGAGCATCCCAGATTTGTGTGCCTAGAGTCCTGGTACACAGGAAACTGTGTTGTATACCTACATTGTGTAGGCCTTGACAGTGTAGGTATACAACAATGGTAAACAGCGAGGCACTTTGACAACGGACAGCCGACAAAGCTGTCAGGTACTTATTTTCAGGGGAGTCTTGCGTAGGCTTAAGTCTGGTCTTTAACCAGGATACGTTAGGTTGTATTTCTAGGTAATTCTTGATCAACAATATCATTATACATTTTAATAATCTTAAGAATGATAGTGACTCATATAAATGGTGTGAACACCACTGTTTACATTACATCAGAAGAACACAGACATTTATAAGATAGTGCAGATGAGAAAACACAGACGGACGGAGGGTGAGGCATATTGCTGTGCTCGTACACAATGGCACAGCGGTGACACAGTAAAGTTGATCGCCTCTCAGGGAGTCGAGTGATTGTGACAGTCAGTGGATTTAACACACTGCCATGAGTCTGGGTCTGGGTTAAACATTAAGCCGAAGCCACAGGTCCACACCTGAGCCAGCTTGTTCATGGTGGTCTGTGAGCAGTGGAAGTAGCGAGTGTCACAGATGCTGCATTTGGGGAAGTTACCGATCTTTGTACAAGTCATAGTGTCCTTGCAGACGGGCGCTGGTGTGATTGTGGTTGTAGTTGTCGTCGTCACGTTTTGATGGTTACAGAGAGTAACACATTTGGCTGTAGGAGAACAAGTGCCCAAAATATAATCGAACACTTGATTATTATCGCAAGTGAAGTGGGTGGCCTCTGAGGGCTTCCCTGCCTTTAGACAGACGTAATATCTGTGACAATCTTCCCCGTCAGGGATAATAACATCAGCGGCGGGACAGTGAGGCGGGCACGAGGCGGAACAGCAGGACTTGGCGTCAGATGTACACGCATGACCATCAAAATAAGGACTGGAGTTAGGGCACTGGGCTTGGTAAGGCCCGTCTTGTAAACAAAGGTAGAACTTGGAACAATTCCGGGGGTCAAAGACGAGATCATTGGGCTTCATGCAAGTGAACGGGCAGGTGTGGGTACAAGAAGGTAAACACACGTCATCCTGGGTCATCTGGCGGCACTGGTGACCGTAAGGGTCGAACAACTTGCCAGTAGGACACGAGATTGATGAGTCCGCCATGTGTCCTTCACCAAGACAGAGGTAGAACTTATGACAGTCGTCTGGGTCACTCACTTTATATCCTCGAGCCTCATTACGGCAGTCAGGTTGAGGTAAACAGTTGATGGGTGGTGTTGTGGTGGTGTGTGGTGCTGTGGTGGTGTCTGGTGCTGTGGTGGTGTGTGGTGCTGTGGTAGTATCTGGTGTTGTGGTGGTGTGTGGTGCTGTGGTGGTGTCTGGTGCTGTGGTGGTGTGTGGTGCTGTGGTAGTATCTGGTGTTGTGGTGGTGTGTGGTGCTGTGGTGGTGTGTGGTGCTGTGGTGGTGTCTGGTGTTGTGGTGGTGTGTGGTGTTGTGGTGGTGTCTGGTGTTGTGTTGGTGTCTGGTGTTGTTGTGGTGGTGTTTGTTGCTGTGTCGGGTACAAGACGCCCCTGACAGAGACAGGTGTAAGGACACTGTGGCACACAAGGAGTGTCCTCAGGCCGACAACTGCTGGTGGAAGGATCGAAGTAGTGGTGGTGAGGACAGCGTTGTGTGGTGGGGTCAAGGTCGTCCTCCTTCACACACAGGTGGTAGTGGTGACAGTCCCAGGGGTTAGGCACCAGCTGGCCGGGGTGACAGCTGGCTTGTAGTTCACACCTGGTCTCAGCTGGTGCTCCTGCCCACACCTGTATCATAACTATACTTAGTCTGCGTGTGTGTGTGTGTGTGTGTGCGTGCGTGTGTATGTGTGTCTTAATGTTTGACATCGCTTACTGTTGAATCTCATGAATTACATTAATATACAGTATATAACAATGCATAAATTTATAGACACGTGACGACCACAGTATTTGTATAACATATTAACTTCATACCAGGCGGACAGCTATCAAGTGGGTCACTACCAGGTGGCGAAACTTCATCTTCCAATACAAATGTGAGGAGTTAGTTGCTGTGATGGTCAGTGTAGAAGACCTGCAAGGAGACTGTTGGTCAGTCTAGAGGAGCCAGGCTAGACTGTAGAAGGTGTGGCGAGACAGTCTACCATCGCCACTATTTATACACTCTGTCTGTTGCTGAAAAGGACCAAACTTACTTACTGTATTATCTCCGGGTGTGATGTAAAAATGGCACCGAGAAAGATGGCATTTGAGAGCGACCTATATCTGCAGTAACACGAAAACCTTATCTAACACTCTTGACATACTGTACACTTCACTTAAGATGAGTTACCCAAGTTATCACTGAATCATGGCGATCAATTACAGTGATGACGGAAACATCAGGGCAGGAAGTGTAGTGATGAGGGAAACATCAGGGCAGGAAGTGTAGTGATGAGGGAAACATCAGGGCAGGAAGTGTAGTGATGAGGGAAACATCAGGGCAGGAAGTGTAGTGATGAGGGAAACATCAGGGCAGGAAGTGTAGTGATGAGGGAAACATCAGGGCAGGAAGTGTAGTGATGAGGGAAACATCAGGGCAGGAAGTGTAGTGATGAGGGAAACATCAGGGCAGGAAGTGTAGTGATGAGGGAAACATCAGGGCAGGAAGTGTAGTGATGAGGGAAACATCAGGGCAGGAAGTGTAATGTTACAGTGATGAAGGAAACATCAGGGCAGGAAGTGTAATGTTATTGTTGTTGTTATGATGTTATTACTGTGTTTCAACAACGAAGGTCTTTAAGCACGTAACAAGGTTGGTAATTACACTAGTCTAACAACATATAAACAATGAATGTGCTGTGCTGTGTTGTGCTGTGCTGTGCTGTGTTGTGTTAAGGCAGTACTGTACTTGCTGCTCACACACACACACACACACACACGTCATATTAATTCAACAGGAACGCCAGAAATTCCTCTATTTACCTTCTGTTTACATCTAGTGACTGAGGTAAACAAAATAAATACTAACAAACAATTACCCTAAACATCTGAGTCAGGTTAGGTTAGGTTAGGTTCACCTCGACATAGTATACCTCTTAAATAGTTATAAATATACCTGATATATTCTGGGTTTTTTCATTATATTTAATTTTTCATATTAAAAATAAATTCGTATTATCTATGAATATATTTGTCTGTATGTTCATTCATCATACACAAGGGGTTCGTTCATCATACTCTAGGGGTTCGTTCATCATACTCAAGGGGTTCATTCATCATACACAAGGGGTTCATTCATCATACTCAAGGAGTTCATTCATCATACTCAAGGAGTTCATTCATCATACACAAGGGATTCATTCATCATACACAAGAGGTTCATTCATCATACTCAAGGAGTTCATTCATCATACACAAGGGGTTCATTCATCATACTCAAGGGGTTCATTCATCATACTCAAGGAGTTCATTCATCATACACAAGGGGTTCATTCATCATACTCAAGGGGTTAATTCATCATACACAAGGGGTTCATTCATCATACTCAAGGGATTCGTTCATCATACACAAGGGATTCATTCATCATACTCAAGGGGTTCATTCATCATACTCAAGGGGTTCATTCATCATACTCAAGGGGTTCATTCATCATACACAAGGGTTCATTCATCATACTCAAGGGGTTCATTCATCATACTCAAGGGGTTCATTCATCATACACAAGGGATTCATTCATCATACACAAGGGTTCATTCATCATACACAAGGGTTCATTCATCATACCCAAGGGGTTCATTCATCATACTCAAGGGGTTCATTTATCATACACATGATTCATTTATCATACACGCGGTTCATTCATCATACACAAGGTTCATTCATCATACCTGGCGTTCATTCATCATACTCAAGGGGGCTCAATTCATGGCAAGGGTTCATTCATCATACACAAGGGTTCATTCATCATACTCAAGGGTTCATCACTATATTCCAAGGGTTCATTCATCATACTCAAGGGTTCATTTATCACACTAAGGGCTTAAATATGTTATGTCAGGAAGTTAATGACCCAATTGGCAATTATATTGGCCTCTTGGCACTATGACCTCGAACCCTACCTGACCTTGCACCTGCTTGGCCTCGTATCCTGCTTGGCCTCGTATCCTGCTTGACCTCGTACCCTGTTTAACCTCGTACACTGATTAATCTCTTGGAATCTACGAGGAAAATTCTATTAGTGTCAACAAGGTCGGCATTTTTCTGTGTACATAATGTGGTCTCCGCCTCTTAGATAAGGCAGGTGGGCGGGGAGGCTTATCACCCGCGTCATCAACTGAGTGTTATCTCTCCACGGACAATTGTTCCTGGGTCACACAGTCTATCTGATCCCTCGCGGGGTGATTGTGTGACGTCACCAGCTGGATAAAGGGTCATGGTGGAGGATATTGTTAGGATTTGGGGGTAAATAAATAGCTTAAGCTAACCTAACCTAACCTCCCTCTGTCACACACTCCACCTCCCTCTGTCACACACTCCGCCTCCCTCTGTCACACACTCCGCCTCCCTCTGTCACACACTCCACCTCCCTCTGTCACACACTCCGCCTCCCTCTGTCACACACTCCGCCTCCCTCTGTCACACACTCCGCCTCCCTCTGTCACACACTCCACCTCCCTCTGTCACACACTCCACCTCCCTCTGTCACAAACTCCACCTCCCTCTGTCACACACCTCACCTCCCGTCTCTCTGCATGGCCGCCGCACATGAGCCCGCTTCCTCCTCGTTGCAACACCTTTGAGCGAGAGAGTCAGCAACATGTTCTCCTTGTGTCCACAGTTACTACTGCTACTACCACCACTATTACAGGTAAGGAAGTCCTGGTACTACAACTGTTATGTGTGTGTGTGTGTGTGTGTAATAATAATAATAATAATAATAATAATAATAATAATAATAAACGGTTTATTGAAAAGTTCTGCAGCCTGAAGGCTGAAAGTATACATTGGACATAAATGACTTATTACATACATTGGTGGTTTAACAAAAGCCTTCATTAGAGAAAGGTGAAGGAACATATACAGTGAACATACAGATTAATGTTTACACACGTAAATCATGTGAGCTAAGGTGTTGAACAGCAGACACGTAGTGTGTGTGTGCGTCTGTGTGTGTTGTGTGTGTGTGTGTGTGTGTGTGTGTGTGTGTGTGTGTATGTGTGTGTGTGTGTGTGGCGTTGGTGTGTGTGTGAGTGTGTATGTGTGTGTGTGTGTGTGGTGTGTGTGTGTGGTATGTTGTGTGTGTGTGTGTGTGTATGTGTGTGTGTGTGTGTGTGTGTGTGTGTGTGTGTGTGTGTGTGTGTTTGTGTGGTGTGTTTGTGTTTGTGTGTGTGTGTGTGTGTGTGTGTGTGTGTGTGTGTGTGTGTGTGTGTGTATGTGTGTGTGTGTGTGTGTGTGTGTGTGATGTGTGTGTGTGTGTGGTGTGTGTGTATTTATTAATATATTAATTAATTATTGCAGTAACTCTAAGTATAGTTATGATACAGGTGTGGGCAGGAACACCAGCTGAGACCAGGTGTGAACTACAAGCCAGCTGTCACCCCGGCCAGCTGGTGCCTAACCCCTGGGACTGTCACCACTACCACCTGTGTGTGAAGGAGGACGACCTTGACCCCACCACACAACGCTGTCCTCACCACCACTACTTCGATCCTTCCACCAGCAGTTGTCGGCCTGAGGACACTCCTTGTGTGCCACAGTGTCCTTACACCTGTCTCTGTCAGGGGCGTCTTGTACCCGACACCCACACCTGTCGCCACGGTCAACTGCTTCATGTCGACACAGGTCGCTGCCTACACTCATCCTGTCAAAACTTGTGCTCCCAAACAAGCACAACTCCTCTGTCGGTGACGCATCACCACCACGTCTTCAGGGACACACAGTGTTTCTTCTCCTGTCACGGGCAAAATAGTGTATATGCCGACCCTTATATCTGTTCCAATTACTACCAGTGCATTTTCGATACAATTATACCAAAATTCTGTCTTGACGGCGCTCCATACTTTAACGGCGAGACTTGTACTCCAGATCCCAGCTCCTGTTGTGCTCACCCGACCACCAGCACAGCTCCCAACACATCCACAACTCCAAATGTCGAAACCACAGATGTTAAGCCAACACTTACTCACACTGCTACCACACCACCCACCACAGCACCACACACCACAGCACCACACACCACAGCACCACCCACCACAGCACCACACACCACAGCACCACCCACCACAGCACCACACACCACAGCACCACACCTGGCCACACACCACAGCACCACACTGCAGCACCACACCTGCACCACACACACGGCACCACAGCACCACACACACACCAGCACCACACACCACAGCACCACCACAGCGCACCACAGCCACACCACAGCACCACACACCACAGCACCACACACCACAGCACCACACACCACCACAACAACGAAGCTGTCGACAACTGTGTCTGTCTCCACCACTCCCCAACCCTTCGGCTGCTTGTTTAAACCAGACTGTGAGGGTAAACCCTTGGGATACCTGGAGCCAGACCCAGACAACTGTTTAAAATATTACTTTTGTTTGGGAGACGGGTCCATGGTGAGCGACTCTCTGGCGTGTTCACAAGGGGACTACTTCAACCCCTTCAGGCATGACTGTGAGAAGATCGTGGACGACAGTTACGCCTGTCTTCCCCCTTGTGACGGCATCTGTCCTTACAGCTGTAATGACAATGATCGCATCTTCGACCCTGAAGACTGTTCTAGTTTCTACTTCTGTTTACAAGGAACCTATTACCACATGAGCTGCCCTGCCAACACTCCATACTTCAACGGCACTCAGTGTACACCTGACCAAGGCTCTTGTTGTTCATACCCGTGTCCGCCCTACTGTCCCTACGCTGGCAAGTGGGTGCCGGACGGTAACAACTGCCACAGGTTCTACATCTGTCTAGACATTGGCACCCCGACCCCCGACACCCTGCTCACCTGCCCCGATAATGGCGTCTTTGATTACAAATTGGGCGAGTGTTCCTCTACTGCCAAGTGTGTGACCCTGTGTGACCTCCACCACTGACCTCCATCACTGACCTCCATCACTGACCTCCACCACTGATCTCCATCACTGACCTCCATCACTGACCTCCATCACTGACCTCCATCACTGACCTCCATCACTGACCTCCATCACTGACCTCCATCACTGACCTCCACCACTGACCTCCATCACTGACCTCCACCACTGATCTCTCCATCACGGACTCATCATGACCTCCACCAGTAACACTCAGTGACCCCCTGATAACCCCCACTATTATATACCCACTATTATATTTTACTATTATACCCCACTATTATATACCCATATTATATACCCCACTATTATATACCCCACTATTATATACCCATATTATATACTATTATATACCCACTACTATATGCCCCACTATTATATACCCACTATTATACCCACTACTATATACCCCACTATTATATGCCCACTATTATATACCTATATACCCCACTATTATACCCCCACTACTATATACCCCACTATTATATGCCCCATATTATACACTACTATATACCCACTACTATATACCACTTTTTATTATATATATTATATACCCCTATTATACCCACTATTATATACCCCTCTATTATATACCCCACTATTATATACCCCATATTATACCCCATATTATATACTATTATATACCCCACTATTATATACCGAGTTCTGTAGTTACCTGTAAATCACCAACGGTATATAAATAGTTTTCCTTCATTAAGTCTGATGATTCTATCTTATATTTATGTTTTATTTAACGTTTATAATCATATATATCTATAACAGCCTATAACAGCCTGCAGTCATATATCAACAGCCTATAACAGTACAGTCTTATTTCAACAGCCTATAACAGCCTACAGTCATATATCAACAGCCTATAACAGCCTGCAGTCATATATCAACAGCCTATAGCCCTACAGTCTTATTTCAACAGCCTATAACAGCCTACAGTCAAATATCAACAGCCTATAACAGCCTACAGTCATATATCAACAGCCTATAACAACCTACAGTCATATATCAACAGCCTATAACAGCCTACAGTCATATATCAACAGCCTAAAACAGCCTACAGTCATATCAACAGCCTAAAACAGCCTACAGTCATATATCAACAGCCTAAAACAGCCTACAGTCATATCAACAACCTAAAACAGCCTACAGTATATATCAACAGCCTATAACAGCCTACAGTCATATATCAACAGCCTATAACAGCCCTACAGTCATATATCAACAGCCTAAAACAGCCTACGGTCATATATCAACAGCCTATAACAGCCTACAGTAATATATCAACAGCCTATAACAGCCTACAGTCATATATCAACAGCCTAAACAGCCTACAGTAATATATCAACAGCCTAAAACAGCCTACAGTCGTATATCAACAGCCTATAACAGCCTACAGTCATATATCAACAGCCTATAACAGCCTACAGTCATATATCAACAGCTAAAACAGCCTACAGTAATATATCAACAGCCTATAACAGCTTATATATATCAACAGCCTAAAACAGCCTACAGTAATATATCAACAGCCTACAGTCATATATCAAGCAGCCTATAACAGCCTACAGTCATATATCAACAGCCTATAACAGCCTACAGTCTTATTTCAACAGCCTATAACAGCCTACAGTCATATATCAACAGCCTATAACAGCCTACAGTCATATATCAACAGCCTATAACAGCCTACAGTCATATATCAACAGCCTATAACAGCCTACAGTCATATATCAACAGCCTATAACAGCCTACAGTCATATATCAACAGCCTATAACAGCCTACAGTTATATATCAACAGCCTATAACAGCCTACAGTCATATATCAACAGCCTATAACAGCCTACAGTCATATATCAACAGCCTATAACAGCCTACAGTCATATATCAACAGCATTTAACAACCTATAACAGCCAGGTGTTAGTGTGTGTATGTGTGTACAGGAGACGTTAGGTCAGGTTATAGTAGTAGGTATGAGGCAGCTACCAAACAGGGAGGTACTACCGCCTGGGAAGATATTGGAAGCATAATGTGTTTATCTAATGGTAGACCCTGCTGCCGTATGTGACCAAGTCCCAGGTTGATGATCTGACTTTCTGCTTCATTTATACACAATTGCAGGGTCTCAATTGTTTCTCTTACTATTGACCAAACATACATATATCGTTTCTCACTTTTGATCTTCTTTCATTTTTGTATTTATAGTTCTTTGTTATTAAAATTATTATTATTATTACAGTTACTGTATTATTATCATCATTATTTTATTATTTTAGTTTTGTATGTTTTATCATAAATTTATTGGCAAAAAGATTAAATAAAAGTCAATTGGATTACAAGATTTATAAATGAACAATACAATAATTATATAATGTATAATAAGAACCTTTAAGGATACAATAATTATATGAATATCAATTAAACACAATTATTTATATATTGGCAAAATACGTAAAAGATGTATGAGAAAGGAGGAGGAGGAGGACAGCTTGGCGTCGATTTACAGGTAAACTCCTCAAAGATTAACATAAAAGATAAATAAAGTGAAGGTAAGACAGGTGAACAAAGGTGAATAAATATTAAAAGAATAAAACTAAGGAGAATAAAGGAAAGACTAAACAATAGGACATTACTGTGGGGTGTGTTATAAGGTCCGAGGCTTCACCATGTGTTAAAACAATGAATCATGTAAGACTCGGAGCTTCACTTTGAGGAGAAACAAAGTCTGGCAGACGACAAGTGGCGCTGGTGGGATGCAGGACAGACGTGTGGTGACCGTACACGTGATTTACACACACCTGGCCAGGGGCTGCCCACACACACCTGGCCAGGGGCTGCCCACACACACCTGGCCAGGGGCTGCCCACATCAAACACGGGGTAAGTGTTGAGAAATACATCAACGGCTTATTTATTTATCTTAAAACTTGACAGACTAGATTATATAAATGTTGAGACTGTGGATCTTTGTCTGACGTGAAGGTAAACAAACACCTGACTGATCAGCTTATGGTAAAGTGCTGTACTAATACCTTCTATTACAAAGACTCTCAAGTAGATCCTCTCACTTAACACCAAATATAAGTAAAATATAAGAACTTAGGTTGGACATAAATCTTCTACCTAAATTTAACCAACAATTACGATTTTATTGTGTCGGAAATTATTAGTAAATTTCTTAAACATTTTGACGACAAGATGAAACAGGAGACGAGTGATTCTTGACCAATACTGACCACCAGAAGGTTATATCACCTGATGATTGAACGCCTTAACGCTACTTGCCAGGTAATGTTGTGTTATGTTATGTTGTGTTATGTTGTTGTTATGTTATGTTATGTTGTGTTGTGTTGTGTTGTGTTGTGGGTTGCTTAGGTTAGCTTAGTTAAGTTAAGTTTAGTTGGAATTTAAAATATATATATATTATATGTTAAATTAGTTAAGTGCTCAATAGTTAATTTGAGTGTGAAGTAATACAATCGTAGGCGGTTGTTATATAACCCGTGATGTTGTTGTTGTTGTTGTTGTTGTTGTTGTACGTGTCGAGTCATTGTGTTTCATTTGTTATATACTTCAGTCCGGAACTTTGTGAGCACACATTATTGATGAAGATTTATAGTGAGCTGAGAGTTAACGGTAGGGAGGCTTATAGTGAGCTGAGTTAACGGTAAGGAAGGGTTATAGTGAGCTGAGAGTTAACGGTAGGGAAGGCTCATAGTGAGCTGAAAGTTAACGGTAGGGAAGGCTCATAGTGAGCTGAAAGTTAACGGTAGGGAAGGCTCATAGTGAGCTGAAAGTTAACGGTAGGGAAGGGTTATAGTGAGCTGAGAGTTAATCAGTGGAAGGCTCATAGTGAGCTGAAAGTTAACGGAAAGGAGGGGTTATAGTGAGCTGAGAGTTAACGGTAGGGAGAGACTCATAGTGAGCTGAAAGTTAACGGTAGAGAAGGGTTATAGTGAGCTGAGAGTTAACGGTAGGGAAGGCTCATAGTGAGCTGAAAGTTAACAGTAGGGAAGGCTCATAGTGAGCTGAAAGTTAACGGTAGGGAAGGGTTATAGTGAGCTGAGAGTTAACGGTAAGGAAGGCTCATATTGAGCTGAAAGTTAACGGTAGGGAAGGGTTATAGTGAGCTGAGAGTTAACTTGTTAGGGAAGAGGGGTTGCCATAGTGAGCTGAGAGTTAACGGTAAGGAAGGGTTATAGTGAGCTGAGAGTTAACGGTAGGGAAGGCTCATAGAGAGCAGAGAGTTAACGGTGGGAAGGCTCATAGTGAGCTGAGAGTTAACTAGAAGGGGTTATAGTGAGCTGAGAGTTAACGGTAGGGAAGGCTCATAGTGAGCAGAGAGTTAACGGTAGGAAGGGTTATAGTGAGCTGAGAGTTAACGGTAGTAAATGGTTATACTGAGCTGAGAGTTAACAGTAGAGGGGTTATAGTGAGCTGAGTTAACGGTAGGGAAGGCTCATAGTGAGCTGAGAGTTAACGGTAGGGGATGAGGTGAGCTGAGAGTTAACGGGGAAGTCTCATAGTGAGCTGAGAGTTAACGGTAGGGAAGTCTCATAGTGAGCTGAGAGTTAACGGTAGGGAAGGGTTAGGATGAGAGTTAACGGTAGGGAAGTCTCATAGTGAGCTGAGAGTTAACGGTAGGGAAGGGTTATAGTGAGCTGAGAGTTAACGGTGTCGGGGGCAGGTGGTTGGGTCAATACAATAAGGGTATGACGGGTCAGTGTTAAAGACAAGGTCGCCAGTACAGGTCTCAACAAGAGCGTCCTCGTGAACCTTCCAACAGTGGAAGTAATCCTGTTGACAGCTGGCACACTTGGGAAAGTAGCCAGTAGCATTACACTTCATGTTGTCCAAACAGTCGGTAGTGGGCATAACTGACGACCCACCTCCGCTTGGTGTGGTGTGGCTCCCAGGGACGGTGGTCTTGGGACACATTATCGTACATTTTGCACCAGGGATACAATGACCTTGAGCCACGTCGAAGTTCTCGCCAGACGGGCAGCTGAAGTGTAATTTCTCGTCAGCTGGACCCGTACGAGAACAGATGTAGTAGTTGGTGCAGTTGACGGGGTCAGGGGCCTCTACTATCCCGGCCTGGCAGTAAGGGGTACACAGGCCAGAACAACACTGGCTACTGTCGGTGGTACAGGTCTTCCCGTCGAAGTAAGGTCTGTCCTTTGGGCAGGATATTGGGCCTAAGATGTTGCCAGCTGAACAGATGTAGTAGATGCCACAGTCATTTGGGTCAGATATTGAGTCCAGAGATCCGTTGCAAGTTAAGTGACAGGCTGGAGGCTCACACTTAGGGGTACAATTCACCGGGCCGGAACAATTTCCACCTCATTAAAAGATTTGCCACTGTCGCAGGGCACAGAGGTATCCTGAGGCAAGTTGTTCCTCAGACATATAAAGTACTTGGTACAGTTGAGAGGATCAGTCACCCTGTCCAGAACTTTCTTCCCTGAACAGTCTGGGACACAATTGTCTTTAGAGAACACCCCGACGGTACACAGCACCTGTGGAACATTACAGTGTTATTAAAACCTCACCAATACTTGTGGTTCAGTCACTCTTATATAGTGTCTTACAACATTGTACTCATAGGGGCTGGTGTCGTAATCTAGAGGTTAATTGTACTCAAGGGGGTTACAGTCTTAATAAAAGGGTTGATTAATTGTACTCATTGCATTACCGACGTAGTAAAGGTGTTAAATAATTATTGTCATCTTAATCAAGGGGTTAAAGAGAATTATTATTATTATTATTATTATTATTATTATTATTATTATTATTATTATTATTATTATTATTATTATTATTATTATTATTATTATTATTATTATTGCAGTAACAATTGTATTACAGGTTAATAATATTAGCAACAATAACTATGTATATAAGTAAAGAGTAAACGATAACAAAGAATTATACAACACAACAACTTTAGAATAAATAAGACAGACAGACAGACTCGTGAGAAAATAACTTCTGGGAAAAAATGGAAAATAATCAAAGAATGACAACAGTTTATGGGTAAGTAACTCTGAAACTCACCACCAGGGGGATGAGGAGGAAACGAGTCTTCATGAGGGACAAATAATGGTTGACAGTGACCAGGGAGAGCTGGCTGTGGCAACGGTGGTAGTGTTGGCAGGCAGGGAGCTGTTGCACGAGTGTTGGCAGGTGACAACTATGATAGCTTCCACACACAAATCATCATATATACCCCAGTAGACTTATCTCTCTGTGGTAAACCAGCAACACCGTGTACAATCGGCCATTGTTCAGCCACAGTCATGCACGAGAAGGAAAAAAATAACTAAATTGTTGAGCATATAATGTGGGTCAGGCAGTAATCTAGTGTGTTAAGTTATCTTTATTGTGTGGTGGTGAAGAGGGGGCGGTGCTCTCTCTCTCTCTCTCTCTCGTGGTGGTAGTGGTGATGGTAGTAGTGGTGGTGGTGGTGGTGGTAGTGAGAGTGGTAGTAGTGGTGATGGTAGTAGTGGTGGTGGTAGTGATAGTGGTAGTAGTGGTGATGGTAAAGTTTATTAAGCCAGAGAAAAATACAGATACAAATTGATCAACAACAATATTAACATGGTTGAGTCTTATTAACATAGTTGAGTCTCATTAACATGGTTGAGTCTTATTAACATGGTTGAGTCTTATTAACATGGTTGAGTCTTATTAACATAGTTGAGTCTCATTAACATGGTTGAGTCTCATTAACATGGTTGAGTCTCATTAACATGGTTGAGTCTTATTAACATAGTTGAGTCTCTTAACATGGTTGAGTCTCTTAACATGGTTGAGTCTCATTAACATGGTTGGATTTATTAACATAGTTGAGTCTCATTAACATAGTTGAGTCTCATTAACATAGTTGAGTCTCATTAACATAGTTGAGTCTCATTAACATGGTTGGATCTTATTAACAAGTTGAGTCTCATTAACATGGTTGAGTCTTATTAACATGGTTGAGTCTTATTAACATGGTTGAGTCTCATTAACATGGCTGAGTCTCATTAACATGGTTGAGTCTCATAACATGGTTGAGTCTCATTAACATGGTTGAGTCTCATTAACATGGTTGAGTCTTATTAACATAGTTGAGTCTCATTAACATGGTTGAGTCTCATTAACATGGTTGAGTCTCATTAACATGGTTGGATCTTATTAACATAGTTGAGTCTCATTAACATAGTTGTCTCATTAACATAGTTGAGTCTCATTAACATAGTTGAGTCTCATTAACATGGTTGGATCTTATTAACATAGTTGAGTCTCATTAACATGGTTGAGTCTTATTAACATGGTTGAGTCTTATTAACATGGTTGAGTCTCATTAACATGGTTGAGTCTCATTAACATGGTTGAGTCTCATTAACATGGTTGAGTCTCATTAACATGGTAGAGTCTTATTAACATAGTTGAGTCTCATTAACATGGTTGGATCTTATTAACATGGTTGAGTCTTATTAACATGGTTGAGTCTTATTAACATGGTTGAGTCTTATTAACATGGTTGAGTCTTATTAACATGGTTGAGCCTTAGTAACATGGTTGAGGCTACGTGAGAGCCTAAAGCCTCTTAGTTTCACCTGATATACTGTACACTGACCTCAAGGAATTATTATATAACATTTAGTATCGTCTGGATTACTAGTCGTCACTACAGGGTCTTGGTACACACACTAGTACCACATTTATACACCTTTTTTTATAGTTTATAATTTGTATTTATTTATTAATACCTAGGAAGGTGAGGAGCGAGCGAAGCCAATGGACCTTGAGTGAAACAATAAGATATTCTCAGTCAGGAATGTGTCTCGTGTTGGTTAGTAATGGTGATTTTATTGTATTAGTGTTAGTAATACTGGCTCAGGTATATAGTAAGAAAGCAATTAATTAGCTTAGGTGGGGAGGTATGTTTCTGGGTGGGAGGTATGTTTCTGGGTGGGGGGAGGTATGTTTCTGGGTGTGGGAGGGGTATGTTTCTGGGTGTGGGGGAGGGAGGTCTGGGACTGGTACGAATGCAGAGGTGGTCTTAGTAGGTCTGGATTAGCTAGCATCTTCATTTTAGCAAACTGGCTGAGATTATAGTAGTCTTTAGAGTGTGTGGTGTGGTGTGGTGTGGTGTGTGTGCTGTACTGTGGTGTGGTGTGGTGTGGTGTAGTGTGTGTGGTGTGGTGTGTGGTGTGGTGTGGTGTGGTGTGGTGTGCTGTACTGGTGTGGTGTGGTGTAGTGTGGTGTGGTGTGGTGTGGTGCTGTACGTGCTGTACTGTGGTGTGGTGTGGTGTGCTGTGGTGTGGTGTGGGTGTGGTGTGCTGTGCTGTGGTGTGGTGTGGTGTGCTGTACTGTGGTGTGTGTGTGTGTGTGCTGTGGTGTGGTGGTGTGTGCTGTGCTGTGGTGTGGTAAGGTGAGGTGAGGTGAGCACTTCACGCACTGTAAGCACCGTTAAGCGAGACGTGGAAATGCTGGACAAAGGGTGGTGCATTTATCACCTTTGACACACCGACCAACTTGGTAATCAAACACGTCTCCACTAGGACAAGTGAAGTGCAGGTTTGGGTCCACTGGTCCTTCAGCAGTACAGATGTAGTACATGTGACAGTCCGTTGGCAACGATCTGTATATCTCCCGGGTGACAATATGAATACAAGGAACCTCGCAGCAAACTTCCTTAGATTTGACGCAGGCCTTCCCGTCAAAGTAAGGCCTGTCAGGCTGGCAGGTGATGGGTCCCTGCACACCCCCGGGAATACAGATGTAGTATTGATCACACCTGAAGGGGTCACTGATGAGGGAGTAGGTACCGTTGCAGGTGATGGGGCAGAATAATGGCTTACAGATGGGGTCACAGTCAGTGCCGGAAATACATTCATTTGTTTTATTGTCGAAGATGTTCCCTGACTCACAAGGCACCGAGTGGTCAGCGGGCATGTCGTCCCCGAGACAGATGTAGTAGTTGGTACAGTTCATAGGGTCAGGCACTTTATCAAGAGGATTTTTGTGAAGACAAACTGGGCTACAGTTGTCTTGATCCACCATCTTGGCGGTACACACAACCTGAAGGGGAAGGGGGCTGTTAACTGTTATAGTGTAAAAAGTTGTAGTGTTCTGGGAGTACAAAATGATGGTGTGTGTGTGTGTGTGTGTGTGTATGTGTGTAAATATTAACAGAGAGAGCCTCTAGCGGCCATCAACAGCAATACATCGATACTTAAATTCATCTATAAGACTTTGACACTTTATATTCCTCATTAATTACACTACACAAACACTCACACACACACAGCTGTTGCCTCACACTCAGCAGGCACACTCAGTCACTGAAAATATAACTCACATTAAAGTGAGTTGATGATGGAATTATAGTACTTCCTACTCTTATATTTGGCAACAAAGAAAATGTTTATGAAACTCACCGCCAGAGGGATGATGAGGAGGAGGCAAGGTGAGGCTTCATGAGAGACAAATAATGGTTGACACGATGATCAGGAGGACTTGGGTTTCGAGCTGGTGGTGGAAGGGCAGCTGTATAGTGGTGGTAGTGGTGGCAGACAGCTGTAATAGTGGTGGTAGTGGTGGCAGACAGCTATAGTAGTGGTGGTAGAACTGAGGAACCATTACTTATACCCGTTAGGTTTATCAGTTTATGGTAGGCGTGACCACACACTCGAGGGATGGCTGATTGTGTACACTGCCTCTGTATACAAGGACACTGCCTGGTATTGTGTGGTAAAGACTTACTTAGTAGAGTGTGTTAGCATCTGTTAGAGATGTACAACAGGTAGAGTGTGTTAGTATCTGTTACAGTGATGTACAACAGGTAGAGTGTGTTAGCATCTGTTATAGTGATGTACAACAGGTAGAGTGTGTTAGCATCTGTTACAGTGATGTACAACAGGTAGAGTGTGTTAGCATCTGTTATAGTAATGTACAACAGGTAGAGTGTGTTAGTATCTGTTACAGTGATGTACAACAGGTAGAGTGTGTTATAGACTGTTATAGTGATGTACAACAGGTAGAGTGTGTTAGTATCTGTTACAGTGATGTACAACAGGTAGAGTGTGTTAGCATCTGTTATAGTGATGTACAACAGGTAGAGTGTGTGTTGAGATCTGTTACAGTGATGTACAACAGGTAGAGTGTGTTAAATCTGTTATAGTAGTGATGTACAACAGGTAGTGTGTGTTAGTATCTGTTACAGTGATGTACAACAGGTAGAGTGTGTTAGTATCTGTTATAGTGATGTACAACAGGTAGAGTGTGTTAGCATCTGTTATAGTGATGTACAACAGGTAGAGTGTGTTAGCATCTGTTACAGTGATGTACAACAGGTAGAGTGTGTTAGTATCCGTTATAGTGATGTACAACAGGTAGAGTGTGTTAGATCTGTTGCTGTGATGTACAACAGGTAGAGTGTGATAGCATCTGTTATAGTGATGTACAACAGGTAGTGTGTGTTAGCATCTGTTACAGTGATGTACAACAGGTAGAGTGTGTTAGGTATCTGTTATAGTGATGTACAACAGGTAGAGTGTGTTAGCATCTGTTACAGTAATGTACAACAGGTAGAGTGTGTTAGCATCTGTTATAGTGATGTACAACAGGTAGAGTGTGTTAGTATCTGTTATAGTGATGTACAACAGGTAGAGTGTGTTATATCTGTTATAGTGATGTACAACAGGTAGAGTGTGTTAGCATCTGTTACAGTGATGTACAACAGGTAGAGTGTGTTAGCATCTGTTATAGTGATGTACAACAGGTAGAGTGTGTTAGCATCTGTTACAGTGATGTACAACAGGTAGAGTGTGTTAGCATCTGTTATAGTAATGCACAACAGGTAGAGTGTGTTAGTATCTGTTACAGTGATGTACAACAGGTAGAGTGTGTTAGCATCTGTTATAGTGATGTACAACAGGTAGAGTGTGTTAGTATCTGTTCAGTGATGTACAACAGGTAGAGTGTGTTAGCATCTGTTATAGTGATGTACAACAGGTAGAGTGTGTTAGCATCTGTTACAGTGATGTACAACAGGTAGAGTGTGTTAGCATCTGTTATAGTGATGTACAACAGGTAGAGTGTGTTAGTATCTGTTACAGTGATGTACAACAGGTTGAGTGTGTTAGTATCTGTTATAGTGATGTACAACAGGTAGAGTGTGTTAGCATCTGTTATAGTGATGTACAACAGGTAGAGTGTGTTAGCATCTGTTACAGTGATGTACAACAGGTAGAGTGTGTTAGTATCTGTTATAGTGATGTACAACAGGTAGAGTGTGTTAGCATCTGTTACAGTGATGTACAACAGGTAGAGTGTGTGTTAGTATCTGTTACAGTGATGTACAACAGGTAGAGTGTGTTAGCATCTGTTATAGTGATGTACAACAGGTAGAGTGTGTTAGCATCTGTTATAGTGATGTACAACAGGTAGAGTGTGTTAGCATCTGTTACAGTGATGTACAACAGGTAGTGTGTGTTAGCATCTGTTATAGTGATGTACAACAGGTAGAGGTAGTTAGCATCTGTTACAGTGATGTACAACAGGTAGAGTGTGTTAGCATCTGTTATAGTGATGTACAACAGGTAGAGTGTGTTAGCATCTGTTACAGTGATGTACAACAGGTAGAGTGTGTTAAAGATCTGTTATAGTGATGTACAACAGGTAGAGGTGTTAGTATCTGTTATAGTGATGTACAACAGGTAGAGTGTGTTAGTATCTGTTACAGTGATGTACAACAGGTAGAGTGTGGTTAGCATCTGTTATGGTGATGTACAACAGGTAGAGTGTGTTAGTATCTGTTACAGTGATGTACAACAGGTAGAGTGTGTTAGTATCTGTTATAGTGATGTACAACGGGTAGAGTGTGTTAGCATCTGTTATAGTAATGTACAACAGGTAGAGTGTGTTAGTATCTGTTATAGTGATGTACAACAGGTAGAGTGTGTTAGCATCTGTTATAGTAATGTACAACAGGTAGAGTGTGTTACATCTGGCAGTGATGTACAACAGGTAGAGTGTGTTAGCATCTGTTATAGTGATGTACAACAGGTAGAGTGTGTTAGATCTGTTACAGTGATGTACAACAGGTAGAGGTGTTAGCATCTGTTATAGTGATGTACAACAGGTAGAGTGTGTAGCATCTGTTACAGTGATGTACAACAGGTAGAGTGTGTTAGTATCTGTTATAGTGATGTACAACAGGTAGAGTGTGTTAGCATCTGTTGCAGTGATGTACAACAGGTAGAGTGTGTTAGTATCTGTTTGAGTGATGTACAACAGGTAGAGTGTGTTAGATCTGGTTATAGTGATGTACAACAGGTAGAGTGTGTTAGCATCTGTTACAGTGATGTACAACAGGTAGAGTGTGTTAGCATCTGTTATAGTGATGTACAACAGGTAGAGTGTGTTAGTATCTGTTACAGTGATGTACAATAGGTAGAGTGTGTTAGCATCTGTTATAGTGATGTACAACAGGTAGAGTGTGTTAGCATCTGTTATAGTATTGTACAACAGGTACAGTGTGTTAGCATCTGTTATAGTGATGTACAACAGGTAGAGTGTGTTAGCATCTGTTATAGTGATGTACAACAGGTAGAGTGTGTTAGCATCTGTTGCAGTGATGTACAACAGGTAGAGTGTGTTAGTATCTGTTACAGTGATGTACAACAGGTAGAGTGTGTTAGTATCTGTTATAGTAATGTACAACAGGTAGAGGTGTTAGCATTTGTTACAGTGATGTACAACAGGTAGAGTGTGTTAGTATCTGTTAGCAGTGATGTACAACAGGTAGAGTGTGTTAGTATTTGTTACAGTGATGTACAACAGGTAGAGTGTGTTAGTATCTGTTACAGTGATGTACAACAGGTAGAGTGTGTTAGTATCTGTTACAGTGATGTACAACAGGTAGAGTGTGTTAGTATTTGCTACAGTGATGTACAACAGGTAGAGTGTGTTAGTATCTGTTACAGTGATGTACAACAGGTAGAGTGTGTTAGTATATGTTACAGTGATGTACAACAGGTAGAGTGTGTTAGTATCTGTTACAGCGATGTACCAACAGGTAGAGGTGTTAGTATCTGTTACAGTGATATACAACAGGTAGAGAGTGTGTTAGTATCTGTTACAGTGATGTACAAAAGGTAGAGGTGTTAGTATCTGTTACAGTGATGTACAACAGGTAGAGTGTGTTAGCATCTGTTATAGTGATGTACAACAGGTAGAGTGTGTTAGTATTCTTAAGCAGTGATGTACAACAGGTAGAGTGTGTTAGTATCTGTTAAGTGATGCACAACAGGTAGAGGTGTGTTAGATCTGTTACAGTGATGTACAAACAGGTAGAGGTAAGAAGAATCTGTTATAGTGATGCACAAATAGTAGAGTGTGTTAGCATTCACAGTAGTGATGCACAACAGGTAGAGTGTGTTAGTATCTGTTATAGTGATGTACAACAGGTAGAGTGTGTTAGTATCTGTTATAGTGATGTACAACAGGTAGAGTGTGTTAGTATCTGTTACAGTGATGTACAACAGGTAGAGTGTGTTAGCATCTGTTATAGTGATGTACAACAGGTAGAGTGTGTTAGCATCTGTTACAGTGATGTACAACAGGTAGAGTGTGTTAGTATCTGTTACAGTGATGTACAACAGGTAGAGTGTGTTAGTATCTGTTACAGTGATGTACAACAGGTAGAGTGTGTTAGCATCTGTTACAGTGATGTACAACAGGTAGAGTGTGTTAGCATCTGTTATAGTGATGTACAACAGGTAGAGTGTGTTAGTATCTGTTATAGTGATGTACAACATGTAGAGTGTGTTAGTATCTGTTATAGTGATGCACAAAAGGTAGAGCGTGTTAGTATTCAAGCTACAGTGATGTACAACAGGTAGAGTGTGTTAGTATTCGTTATAGTGATGTACTAATGTAGAGTGTGTTAGTATCTGTTATAGTGATGCACAAAAGGTAGTGTTAAATCGTTTAATAAAAACAGCTTATCATTATTTACTGTTTAATAACAACAGTATTAGCATTGTTTACTGTTTAATAACAACAGTATTAGCATTGTTTACTGTTTAATAACAACAGTACTAGCATTGTTTACTGTTTAATAACAACAGTACTAGCATTATTTACTGTTTAATATCAACAGTATTAGCATTGTTTACTGTTTAATAACAACAGTATTAGCATTGTTTACTGTTTAATAACAACAGTATTAGCATTGTTTACTGTTTAATAACAACAGTATTAGCATTGTTTACTGTTTAATAACAACAGTATTAGCATTGTTTACTGTTTAATAACAACAGTATTAGCATTGCTTTCACTGTTTAATAACAACAAGTATTAGCATTGTTTACTGGTTTAACAACAACAGTATTAGCATTGTTTACTGTTTAATAACAACAGTATTAGCATTGTTTACTGTTTAATAACAACAGTATTAGCATTGTTTAATGTTTAATAACAACAGTATTAGCATTGTTTACTGTTTAATAACAACAGTACTAGCATTGTTTACTGTTTAATAACAATAGTACTAGCATTGTTTACTGTTTAATAACAACAGTATTAGCATTGCTTACTGTTTAATAACAACAGTATTAGCATTGTTAACTGTTTAATAACAACAGTATTAGCATTGTTTAACTGTTTAATAACAACAGTATTAGCATTGTTTAACTGTTTAATAACAACAGTATTAGCATTGTTTACCGTTTAATAACAACAGTACTTAGCAGCATTGCTTACTGTTTAATAACAACAGTATTAGCATTGCTTACTGTTTAATAACAACAGTACTAGCATTGTTTACTGTTTAATAACAACAGTATTAGCATTGTTTACTGTTTAATAACAACAGTATTAGCATTTTTACTGTTTAATAACAACAGTATTAGCATTGTTTACCGTTTAATAACAACAGTACTAGCATTGTTTACCGTTTAATAACAATACAGTACTAAGCATTGTTTACTGTTTATCAACAACAGTATTAGCATTGCTTACTGTTTAATAACAACAGTATTAGCATTGTTTACTGTTTAATAACAACAGTATTAGCATTTGTTAACTGGCTTCTAATAACAACAGTATTAGCATTGTTTACTGTTTAATAACAACAGTATTAGCATTGTTTACGTTTAATAACAACAGTATTAGCATTGTTTACTGTTTAATAAACAACAGTATTAGCATTGTTTAATGTTTAATAACAACAGTATTAGCATTGCTTACTGTTTAATAACAACAGTATTAGCATTGTTAACTGTTTAATAACAACAGTATTAGCATTGTTTAACTGTTTAATAACAACAGTATTAGCATTGTTTAACTGTTTAATAACAACAGTATTAGCATTGTTTACTGTTTTATAACAACAGTACTAGCATTGCTTACTGCTTAATAACAACAGTATTAGCATTGTTTACTGTTTAATAACAACAGTATTAGCATTGTTTACTGTTTAATAACAACAGTATTAGCATTGTTTACTGTTTAATAACAACAGTATTAGCATTTTTACTGTTTAATAACAACAGTATTAGCATTGTTTACCGTTTAACAACAGTACTAGCATTGTTTACTGTTTAATAACAACAGTACTAGCATTGTTTACTGTTTAATAACAACAGTATTAGCATTGCTTACTGTTAATAACAACAGTATTAGCATTGTTTACTGTTTAATAACAACAGTATTAGCATTATTAACTGTTTAATAACAGTATTAGCATTGTTTACTGTTTAATAACAACAGTACTAGCATTGTTTACGTTTAATAACAACAGTATTAGCATTGTTTACCGTTTAATAACAACAGTATTAGCATTGTTTACTGTTTAATAACAGTATTAGCATTGTTTACTGTTTAATAACAACAGTATTAGATCATTTACTGTTTAATAACAACAGTATTAGCATTGTTTACCGTTTAATAACAACAGTATTAGCATTGTTTACTGTTTAATAACAACAGTATTAGCATTGTTTACTGTTTAATAACAACAGTATTAGCATTGTTTACTGTTTAATAACAACAGTATTAGCATTGTTAACGTTTAATAACAACAGTATTAGCATTGTTTAACTGTTTAATAACAACAGTATTAGCATTGTTTACTGTTTAATAACAACAGTACTAGCATTGTTTACTGTTTAATAACAACAGTATTAGCATTGTTTACTGTTTAATAACAACAGTATTAGCATTGTTTACTGTTTAATAACAACAGTATTAGCATTGTTTACTGTTTAATAACAACAGTATTAGCATTGTTTACTGTTTAATAACAACAGTATTAGCATTGTTTATCGTTTAATAACAACAGTACTAGCATTGTTTACTGTTTAATAACACAGTACTAGCATTGTTTACTGTTTAATAAAAACAGCTATCATTGTTTACTGTTTAATAACAACAGTATTAGCATTGTTTACTGTTTAATAACAACAGTATTAGCATTATTTACTGTTTAATAACAACAGTATTAGCATTATTTACTGTTTAATAACAACAGTATTAGCATTGTTTACTGTTTAATAACAACAGTATTAGCATTGTTTACAGTTTAATAACAACAGTATTAGCATTGTTTACAGTTTAATAACAACGTAGTTTTCTTCCCATCAACAGTAACCATAACTCACCATTTATCAATATCTTCAGCAGTTAACACCACAACATCTTATTGTCACTCAGGTATTTTATTATATTATAACATTTCCAATATTAATCAGTTTTTCTGCCATATACATAAAATTGGTGCATTAAAAGGTCAAGGTTTTCTTTGTATTTATTATTTATTATAGATTTTATTACAGTAATTAAGAACAGGTCATTTGTCACTCCTAATTCTTGTATAACATTCATTAACATCAACTTCAACATTAACTTCAACATTAACTTCAGCATTAACTTCAGCATTAACTTCAGCATTAACTTTAACATTAACTTCAACACTAGCTTCAACATTAACTTCAACATTATAATTATTTCATCAGTTTCTCCATATTTACCTCATAACTCCAAGCTGTACGTCATACATTTAAACTTTACATCATAACTTTAAGCTTTACATCATAACTTTAAGCTTTATATCATAACGCGAAGCTTTACATCATAAATTTAAGCTCTACATAATAAATTTAAGCTTTACATCGTAACTTTAAGCTTTACATCATAACTTTAAGCTGTACATCAGAACATCAAATTTAATGCTTGGAAAAATTTTATGAATCAAAGGGTTAAGTCATCGTCCTCATAGGGTTAAGTCATCGTCCTCATAGGGTTAAGTCATCGTCCTCATAGGATTAAGTCATCGTCCTCATAGGGTTAAGTCATCGTCCTCATAGGGTTAAGTCATCGTCCTCATAGGGTTAAGTAATCGTCCTCAAAGAGTTAAGTCATCGTTCTCAGAGGGTTAAGTCATCGTCCTCAGAGGGTTAAGTCATCGTCCTCAGAGGGTTAAGTCATCGTCCTCAGTGGGTTAACAAGCATAATATTATACAACAAAATAACTGTAGCAAGATGGTGATTGTGTAGGGGATGGTGGTAGTGGTGGTAGTAGTGGTTAGTCGTGGTAGTGGTAGTACTAGTGGTGGTAGTAGTAGTTGGTGATGGCAGTGGTTGGTGGTAGTAGTATTGGTTGGTGGTGGTGGTAGTGGTGGTAGTAGTGGTTAGTGGTGGTAGTGGTGGTAGTAGTGGTTAATGGTGGTTGTAGTGGTAGTAGTTGTGGTTGGTGATGATGTTGGTGTTGTTGGTGGTAGTAGTAGTTGGTGGTGGTAGTAGTAGTGGTTGGTAGAAGTAGTAGTAGTAGTGGTAGCAGTGGTTGTTGTAGTGGTGGTAGCAGTGGTTGTTGTGGTCGTGGTAGTAGTGGTTGGTGGTGGTAGTGGTGGTAGCAGTAGTTGGTGTTGGTGGTAGTGGTGGTAGTAGTGGTGGTGGTTGGTAGTCGTAGTGGTTAATGGTGGTGGTATTGGTAGTAGTAGTAGTGGTGGGTAGTTGTTGTAGTGGTGGTAGTAGTGGTTGGTGGTAGTAGTGATAGTAGTGGTTAGTGGTGGTGGTATTGGTAGTAGTAGTAGTGGTGGGTGGTTGTTGTAGTGGTGGTAGTCGTGGTTGGTGGTAGCAGTGGTGGTAGTAGTGGTTGGTGGTACTGGTAGTAGTAGTAGTGGTGGGTGGTTGTTGTAGTGGTGGTAGTAGTGATTGGTGGTAGTAGTGATAGTAGTGGTTAGTGGTGGTGGTATTGGTAGTAGTAGTAGTGGTGGGTGGTTGTTGTAGTGGTGGTAGTCGTGGTTGGTAGTAGTGGTGGGTAGTTTAGAGGGGAGGATGGTAAGGACAGTTGCCAGGGAGGACACAGAACGGGTATTTAGGGTCTGTGTTGAACACCAGGTTTCCTGAACATTTATTAATAGTTGCCTGGGCACCTATGACCTTACACTCAAAGAAATCAGGTTGGCAGCTGTGACACCTGGGGAAGTAACCGATGGTGTCACAGGTGAGTGACACAGCACAGTCTGTCGTTGGTGTCACAGGGGCGGTTATTGTACTTCCTGCTTTCGATGTAGCAGTTGGGTTTACAGGTTTTGTAGTTGCTGAGTTGGTTGGATTGTTTGCAGGTGTTGTAGTTAATGATTTGGTTGGATTGTTTGCAGGTGTTGTAGATGCTGGACAAAGGGTGGTGCATTTATCACCTTTGACACACCGACCAACTTGGTAATCAAACACGTCTCCACTAGGACAAGTGAAGTGCAGGTTTGGGTCCACTGGTCCTTCAGCAGTACAGATGTAGTACATGTGACAGTCCGTCGGGTCAACGATCTGTATATCTCCTGGGTGACAATAAGGAATACAAGGAACCTCGCAGCAAACTTCCTTAGATTTGACGCAATTTGCACCGTCAAAAAATTCCCTGTCAGAAGGGCAGGGGATGGGCCCCTGTACGCCCCCGGGAATACAGATGTAGTATTGTGTACAGTCGAAGGGATCACTGATCATGGAGAGGGAGCCGTTGCAGGTTATTGGACATTCTGGTGGTTTACACGTAGGTTCACAGGTAGAGGGGTCCCCTGTCATACACTTACCGGTATCAAAGATGTTAGCGACCGGACAAGGTACCGGGTGGTCGGTGGCCATGTCATCACCCAAACAAATGTAGTAATTACTGCAGTTATAGGGATCAGCAACTTTGTCAAGAGCATTTTTGCCCATACAATCCACAGTACAGGAGTCGTCCGTGACCATTCCCAGGGAACACACGACCTGCACAGGCAGAAAATTATCAAAATTTACAATATATTCTGTAAGGTAAGAGTCTCTGTGTTGTAGCTGCAGAACAAAAGAAACTCACTCACCTCACAGTACCTTCTACTGAACACAATAAACCAACTTCCTGTAAGAACGTTAAACCTTCCGTCTACACTAGCGTGTCAACCTTCCGTCTACACTAGTGTGTCAGCCTTCTGTCTACACTACTGTGTCAACCTTCTGTCTACACTACTGTGTCAACCTTCCGTCTACACTAGTGTGTCAACCTTCTGTCTACACTACTGTGTCAACCTTCCGTCTACACTAGTGTGTCAACCTTCCGTCTACACTAGTGTGTCAACCTTCTGTCTACACTAGTGTGTCAACCTTCCGTCTACACTAGTGTGTCAACCTTCTGTCTACACTACTGTGTCAACCTTCTGCCTACACTAGTGTGTCAACCTTCCGTCTACACTACTGTGTCAACCTTCTGTCTACACTACTGTGTCAACCTTCTGTCTACACTAGTGTGTCAACCTTCCGTCTACAAGAGTGTGTCAACCTTCCGTCTACACTAGCGTGTCAACCTTCCGTCTACTCTAGTGTGTCAACCTTCCATCTACAAGAGTGTGTCAACCTTCCGTCTACAAGAGTGTGTCAACCTTCCGTCTACACTAGCGTGTCAACCTTCCGTCTACTCTAGTGTGTCAACCTTCCATCTACAAGAGTGTGTCAACCTTCCGTCTACAAGAGTGTGTCAACCTTCGTCTACACTAGTGTGTCAACACCTACACTAGTGCGTCAACCTTCCGTCTACACTACTGTGTCAACCTTCCCGTCTACAAAGAGTGTGTCAACCTTCCGTCTACACTACTGTCCAATCTTCCGTCTACACTAGTGTGTCAACCTTCCGTCTACACTATTGTGTCAACCTTCCGTCTACACTATTGTCAACCTTCCGTCTACAAGAGTAGTGTCAACCTTCCGTCTACTGTCCAACTTCCGTCTACAAAGTGTGTTAACCTTCCGTCTACACAAGTGTGTGTCAACCTTCCATCTACACAAGTGTCAACCTTCCGTCTACACAAGTGTGTCAACCTTCCGTCTACACAGTAGAGTGTCAACCTTCCGTCTACACAAGTGTCAACCACAGGTGGTCCTTCGTCTACACGAGTGTGTCAACCTTCCGTCTACACGAGTGTGTCAACCTTCCGTCTACACGAGTGTGTCAACCTTCCGTCTACACGAGTGTGTCAACTCGCACACGAGTGTGTCAACCTTCCGTCTACACGATAACCTTCCGTCTACACTAGTGCATAGAGAAGAACAAACAGACACACAGAGGAGGTACACAGGTACACAGACGGGTACAGGTACAACGAGGTACACAGACGGGTGAACAGGTACACAGACACACAGTTCATAGACGACGGCACAGTTCCACAGAGAGGTACACAGGGTACACACGACACAGACAGGTACACAGTTACACAGACAGGTACACAGGTACACAGACACACAGAGATGTACACAGGTACACAGACGGGTACACAGTTACACAGACAGGTACACAGGTACACAGACGGGTACACAGTTACACAGACGGGTACACAGTTACACAGAGAGGCATACAGGTACACAGACAGGTACACAGGTACACAGACAGGTACACAGACACACAGAGAGGTACACAGTTACACAGAGAGGTACACAGGTAGACAGGCAGGTACACAGACACACACAGAGAGGTACACAGGTACACAGGTACACGGGAGGTACACAGTTACACAGACGGGTGCACAGTTACATAGACGGGTACACAGTTACACAGACAGATTACACAGAGAATACAGTTACTGAGAGAGGTTACACAGACAGGTACACAGTTACACAGACAGGTACACAGACACACAGAGATGTGCACAGTTACACAGACAGGTGCTTTACATAGACGGATTACACAGACACACAGAGATATACACAGGTACACAGACGGGTACACAGTTACACAGACGGGTACACAGACACACAGAGATGTGCACAGTTACACAGACGGGTGCACAGTTACATAGACGGGTACACAGACACACAGAGATATACACAGGTACACAGACGGGTACACAGTTACACAGAGAGGTATACAGGTACACAGACAGGTACACAGGTACACAGACGGGTACACAGTTACACAAAGAGGTGCACATGTACACAGACACACAGAGAGGTACACAGTCACACAGAAAGGAACACAGGTACACAGGCAGGTACATAGACACACAGAGAGGTACACGGGTTCACAGACGGGTACACAGTTACACAGACTGGTACACGGGTGCACAGTCAGGTACACAGTTACACAGACAGGTACACAGGTACACAAGTATACAGAGAGGTACACAGTTACACAGACGGGTAAACAGTTACACAGAGAGGTACACGGGTACACAGACGGGTACACAGGTACACAGACGGGTACACTGGTACACAGACGGGTACACAGTTACACAGTCGGGTACACAGCTACACAGACGGGTACACAGTTACGCAGAGAGGTACACGGGTGCACAGACGGGTACACAGTTACACAGACTGGTACACGGGTGCACAGTCAGGTACACAGTTACACAGACGGGTACACAGTTACACAGACTGGTACACGGGTGCACAGTCAGGTACACAGTTACACAGACGGGTACACAGTTACGCAGAGAGGTACACGGGTACACAGACGGGTACACAGTTACACAGACTGGTACACGGATGCACAGTCAGGTACACAGTTACACAGACGGGTACACAGTTACGCAGAGAGGTACACAGTTACACAGACGGGTACACAGTTACACAGACTGGTACACGGATGTACAGTCAGGTACACAGTTACACAGACGGGTACACAGTTACGCAGAGAGGTACACAGTTACACAGAGAGGTACACAGTTACACAGACGGGTACACGGATGCACAGTCAGGTACGCAGTTACACAGACAGGTACACAGTTACACAGAGAGGTACACAGTTACACAGAGAGGTACACAGAGAGGTACACAGTTACACAGACGGGTACACGGGTGCACAGTCAGGTACACAGTTACACAGACAGGTACACGGGTGTACAGACAGGTACACAGTTACAAAGAGAGGTACACAGGTACCCAGACAGGTACACAGAGAGGTACACAGGTACACAGACAGGTACACAGGTACACAGACACAACAGATAGTCACATCACCCTTACCGCCAGGGATAAAATGATGGAGAGAATTAAGTTCTTCATGTTTGACAAGAAGTTGAGTGCAGACGGCGCCTGTGTTTCTTGCAGGTGTGTTGTGGTCAGCACAGGTGTCTACCGTGGCTGGTGATGCAGGTGTATTGAGGCCCACACAGGTGTCTACCGTGGCTGGTGATGCAGGTGTATTGAGGCCCACACAGGTGTCTACCGTGGCTGGTGATGCAGTTGTATTGTGGCCAGTACAGGTGGGCCAACATATATACCCCGAGGCTTATCAGAGTGTGGTTGGCGCCGACATGGCCGCAGGGGGGAGGGGCAGATTGTGGCGTGCGGTCCACATTACATCGGGAACCACCAGCAGGATGGCGGCACAGCGAAGATGTGAGAATAAATCATTTTATCAAGGAGGAGTCTGTAAGGATTGAGGTGCAGGAGAGAGTTTGTTTGCATCTTGGACGAACAGTGAGGCGTCCACAGCACCCGTGATTATAGTACCAGTTAACCTAATTACTGTCTTCCTTATCTCAGTCTGTGGTAGACGTACTGCATTGTGTGTGTGTGTGTGTGTGTGTGTGTGCCATTATCTTCCTGTTTATTTTTTACAATATTTCATCTCACATTACGGTATTGTAAATCATTTATAGGAAACATTAATACGAGGTAGGTGTCTGGCTTGATCACCGCCGCCTCACAACCAAACTGAAAACCTCTGACATCTCATCACGTCTACTCTACATATTTTAGTTCATGTGAGATGATTTAACAGAGTACCTTGGGTCACTTAAAACTCCTAATGCTTTCACCACAGTCTGAGAACTACTCCTTTAACCCATAACACAAAGTATTGGTGTCTGAAAAAGCCTCCGCCGTTGATGTTAGGTGTGTAGGAAGGAATATGGTGGTTAGGTGCAGTCATAGTTGGGAAGAAATATGGTTGTTAGGTGTGTGTTAAACTGTTGTCAGTCATGGTAGCAAGTCAATTCCTTTTGAGATCTATTATATTCTTATGGATAACAATATTCACACATAACTAAAACAACATATTATTATATATAAACTTTTATTTGTCTTTTTAACGAAGAAAATTAATGAAAATGACTTTTTTATCAATTAAATTACTAGTTAGACACAAGTGATGAAATATTAAAAGAAACTAAGATTCTATCAAACTTATGAAGGAAATAATTAGTCTTAAGATAGAATTTTTACAAGATAAATCATCCTGAACTTTTCTCATAACAAACTTTCTAAATACATTACAGCTCCAAAATGAACCTCATAAACACACATCAAGAAACATAATTAATACCTGAATATCTTTAGCTGTGGAGGATAACAGGTGGTGGGAAGGTGACCTCACTTCCTCAGCAACAGGTTCCAGAAATACATTGGTTGCAGGTCGTCTACTGAGTATAACATCACTCTAAGTCACTCAGTAACTACCAACATTATCTTCTATGTGTTACCATGATCACCAAAAGTATATGATAGGTGTACTCAGTCACTCACCTAACTTACTGGACACTCAGTCACTCACCTAACTTACTAGACACTCGGTCACTCACCTAACTTACTGGACACTCGGTCACTCACCTAACTTACTAGGCACTCGGTCACTCACCTAACTTGCCGCACAGTGTGGCTGATAAAGAAATAATTTACCTATTTTCTGAAGTTTCTGGATTCACTCTTCATCTTTTCTGTGCTGAGTTTACGATGACGATGATGACGATGATGACCATGACGATGACGATGACGATGATGATAATGATGATGATGGATTTAAGTGACTTTGTAATTAAATCTGATGAGATTGAGAGAAAGTAAGAGAGAGAGGTGGATTTAGAGATACAGAGAGAGAGAGAGAGAGAGAGAGAGAGAGTGGATTTATTTTTAAAGAGAGACAGAGAGAGAGATTGAGAGAAAGTAAAAGAGAAGGGGGATTTAAAGAGATAGAGAGAGTTTGAGAGAAAGTATAAAAGTAGACATAAATTAGTGAACTTTCTCGTAATAGGAATGTTATGCTGTGTCAACACGAGGGATGACGCGTGGAGATGTGTCACCGTTATCGTGGAGATGTGTCACCGTTATCGTGGAAATGTATCACCGTTATCGTGGAGATGTGTCACCGTTATCGTGGAAATGTATCACCGTTATCGTGGAGATGTGTCACCGTTATCGTGGAGATGTGTCACCGTTATCGTGGAGATGTGTCACCGTTATCGTGGAGATGTGTTTAAGCACATGTCTGACCTTCCCAAAAACAAAACTGGGAGACACTTTCACTTTTCAGAATAAAAGGTTAAACTTTAATATGAACTTGTAGAAGTAATATGGTTTCCAGTGTGTCAAGGCGGATGTAGAGTTGAACTTGGAGATATTTTAAGCTTTCCATTGTTTCAAGGCGGATGTAGAGTTGAACTTGGAGATATTTTAAGCTTTCCATTGTGTCAAGGCGGATGTAGAGTTGAACTTGGAGATATTTTAAGCTTTCCAGTGTGTCAAGGCGGATGTAGAGTTGACCTTGGAGATATTTTAAGCTTTCCAATGAGAGATGTTGAAGCTGGGGATACATTTAGAAGAGCAGGGTAGTTCTGGGTTATAAGCTCCCTCCATCAGCAAGGGCCAGCGCTGCATTGTACTCATGTCCGGCATGTTGTCACACATCACCCGAGCCAGACTGACCTGCTGTAGCTCCCGGAGTTGATCTGGTGGGGAGAAAAAAAGGAACTTAGGGTGTTTAGTTTATTCTGGGGAGGGAAGGGGAAGTTTTAGGGGGAGAAATAGAAGCTTTGAGGGGGGAAGAGAAAGTCTTAGGGTGGGAAAGGGAACTTTTAGGTGGGAAAGGGAAGTTTTAGGGGGGAAATGGAAGTTTCATGGGGAGAAGGGGGCTGTTTTAAGGAGGGAAATGGTTTGTTCTTGGGGGAAGGGGAGACAATGGAAGAGAGAGGGAGGAGAAGAGACGATGTTCAGAAATATCTCACTGTGGAAGAGACCTTACATTATCACATGAAGTTCACGCTCATATCCTGTCTACCGTCCCATCTCCTGTCTACCGTCTCATCTGTCTACCGTCTCACCTGTCTATCATCTTACCTGTCTACCATCTTACCTGTCTACCATCTCACCTGTCTACCATCTCATCTGTCTACCGTCTCATCTGTCTACCATCTCACCTGTCTACCATCTTACCTGTTTACCATCTTACCTGTCTACCATCTCACCTGTCTACCATCTCATCTGTCTACCGTCTCACCTGTCTACCATCTTACCTGTCTACCATCTCATCTGTCTACCGTCTCACCTGTCTACCCTCTCACCTGTCTACCATCTCACCTGTCTACCATCTTACCTGTCTACCATCTCACCTGTCTACCATCTCACCTGTCTACCATCTTACCTGTCTACCATCTCACCTGTCTACCATCTCACCTGTCTACCATCTCACCTGTCTACCATCTCACCTGTCTACCATCTCATCTGTCTACCATCTCATCTGTCTACCATCTTACCTGTCTACCATCTCACCTGTCTACCATCTCACCTGTCTACCATCTCATCTGTCTACCATCTCATCTGTCTACCGTCTCATCTGTCTACCCTCTCACCTGTCTACCATCTCACCTGTCTACCATCTTACCTGTCTACCATCTCACCTGTCTACCATCTCACCTGTCTACCATCTCACCTGTCTACCATCTTACCTGTCTACCATCTCACCTGTCTACCATCTCACCTGTCTACCATCTCATCTGTCTACCATCTCATCTGTCTACCATCTCATCTATCTACCATCTTACCTGTCTACCATCTCACCTGTCTACCGTCTCACCTTTCGTAAAAGCTCCCGGTCCTTCCTTGTTCTCGAACCAGTACCTGTCACCTTTCTTCAGCCTTACAAACTGGTCAACTAGCACACACGCGAAGGTCGGCCCCACTTGGCTGCCTGGCAATGGGTTCTCTGACAGACCCCCCACGAATAGGTCAATATCTCTCACGTTCCTGTAAACAGTCGCCAAAGTGTTAATATTTAGGCGATTTTGTAAATATACGCCAAAGCTTTTATTATTTTGGCGATTTTGTAAATGTTCGCCAAAGTTTTTAATATTTTGGCGATTTTGTAAACATTCTCCATGGTTTTTTTTTTGGTGATCATGTAAACATTTACCTAAGTCTTAATATTTTGGCGATCATGTAAACATTCGCCATTTTTTTAGTCTTTTTTGTAAGCCGGGGCCTGTAACCTGTAATCTTTGATTTGTAACCTGTGAGAGATACGGAGAGAGAGAGAGAGACATACAGAGAGGGAGGGGGAGAGAGGAAGATAAATAGATATAGAGAGAGAGATAGGGGAGGGGAGATAGAAAGAGAGAGAGAGGAAGGGGGTGGGGAGAGAAAGAGATGGAGATGTGGAGATAGATAGAGAGAAAAAAGAGAGAGTTAAGAAGGAGAGAGAGATAAAAAAGAGAGCGAGATAAGGAAAGGGAGAGAGATGAAAAAGAGAGAGAAATAAAAGAAGAGAGATATATATAAAGAAAGAGATATATAAAGAAAGGGAGAGAGAGAGAGAGAGAGAGAGAGAGAGAGAGAGATACACCGATACCTACCCCGAAAAAAACACTTGTCAAACGCACTTGTAAATCCTCTTCAAGTTTTCCAGGGCATCTGAGTTCATGTCCTCAGCCAGATCATTGAAGGTTTTGACAAGACGCAAACCACAAGCTTGTCTCACCGTCACATACCCAGCCAGCCCGTGATCACGTCCGCGTTGTATGTTAATCGCTACCAAGTCCAGACCCACGTTGCCTCTCTTAAACAACTTTCCTGTAATCTTCGGAATAGTTAGTGTGTTAGAGTGTGTTTAGGGTGTTAGTGTGTGTTTAGGGTGTTAGAGTGTGTTTAGGGTGTTAGAGTGTGTTTAGGGTGTTTAGAGTGTGTTTAGGGTGTTAGAGTGTGTTTAGAACGTGTTACAGTGTGTTTAGATTGTTAGAATGTGTTTAGAGTGTTTTTAGAGTGTTAGAGTGTGTTTAGGGTGTTAGAGTGTGTTTAGAGTGCTTGAATGTGTTTAGGGTGTTAAGTGTTTTTAGAGTGTTAGAGTGTGTTTAGGGTGTTAAGTGTGTTTAGGGTGTTAAGAGCAAACATAGGGTGTTTAGAGTGTGTTTAGGGTGTTAGTGTGTTAGAGTATGTTGTTGTTAGAGAGAGAAAGAGAAAGATAGAAATTCCTTACACACACACACACACACCAAGACTCACCTCCCTGGAGAAGACATGGTCCACTTCGCTAGCGCTGCCCAACATACCGCCTTTCATCAACGCCAGAGTGGCCCCAGGTCTGTAAGACTCGAACGGTGAGAAAATGAAGCTGTTGATCCCTGCTGCTGATTTCTCCCCGTTGTCTAGCACTCGTAGTAAGGAACTCTGTTGGGACAAGGGATAGTTGTAGGTGGTGGTAGGTGATAGTTGTAGGTGGTGATAGTGGTAGGTGGTGGTAGGTGATAGTTGTAAGTGGTGGTAGGTGATAGTTGTAGGTGTTGGTAGGTGATAGTGGTACTTCCTTGTAGGTGATGGTAGTGTTAGTTGTTGAGGGAAGTGATTGTGGTGGTTGATGGTGTAAATAGTAGTGGTGGTTGATGGATCCCCTCGACCCCCCCACACACACACTCTCCCCACACACACCCCCTCCCACACACACCCTCCCCCACACTCCTTCCCACACACACCCTCCCACACACACCCTCCCCCACACACCCCCACACACTCTTACCCACACGCACCCTTGCACACTCCACACACACCCCCACACACTCTTACCCACACACACACCCTTGCACACTCCACACACACCCCCACACACTCCCCGACACAAGCGCACCAACATGTACAGTTATCATGCTGTGGCCGAAGCGGTAGACGGCAGCTGCAAACTCATTAGCTATGCTCGGGGGAATGGCTGGGTCGTAGTCCGTGCTGTAGCGACCTCCTGTCCCCGGCATCAGCCCGAGACCTTCCATCAGTCGTCGACCTGAAGAGGAGGGGAGCGAGAGTTAGTAAGCTGCTGTGGTCTCGGTACACAAAGACGTAAGGAAGCCTGTACTCTCTCTCTCTCACGCACCTAAAACACCACAAATGAACTCCTTATAAGCAACGTTTTGTATCATGGCCACGTTGATCCGTCTGGCCTCCTGATATAACTTCTCGTCGTCCCAGGAAGGGTTGAGAGCCTTCAGCTGCCTGGCCAGGTTGTTGTGTTGCCTCGCCCACAGTGTAGTCATCAACATTAACATCATCTGCTCGTTCACTCGGAAGTCACCTGCAACAGCCAGCATCCAGGTGATTAGATTAGGTTAGGTTAGGTTTGGTTAGGTTAGGTTAGGTTAGGTTTATCAGATTAATTACATCAGAAGCTTTATGACACAAAAATTATTAGAGTTATATCTGAGTTACTTAGCGTGAGGTGGGGAGGAGGGAGAAGGGGGATATAGAGACAAAAAACAGAACATTGGAAGTGGAGGAGGAGAGATAAAGGAAGATAAAGACAGAGAGATAAAGAGGGGACAGACAGAATATAAGTAGATAAACGTTAGAATTAACCAGAAATAGAAGAAAAGAGAGAAAGAGAAAGAAGAATAAGACAACAAAACAGAGAGAGAGAGAGAGAGAGAAAGAGTGAGAGACTCTTACCTGACTTGAAACAAAATTCTTTCTTATCGAAGTTTTCCTTAACGTTACAACCATCGTGGAGGTTCTTGGAGGCAGGTAACATCTCCTCACCCTTCTTCGTGACCTGTGGAGGAGGAGAAGTAGGAGGAGTAGTAGGGAGGAGTGGGAGGAGGAGGAGTGAGAAGGAGGAGTAGTGGTGAGGACGAGTCGTGGGGAGGAGGGGAGGGATGAGGAGTAGTAGTGGGGAGGAGTTGAAAAGGGGAGGTAAGAGGGCTCTCTCTCTCTCTCTCTCTCTCTCTCTCTCTCTCTCTCTCTCTCTCTCTCACCTGAGTATCCAGCAGACCGTCTCGGCCAACTCTCAGTTCCTTGGCCAACTTCTTGGTGCTGCCGTACACAGCTGAACCGTCTATGTAACCCGTCGCTGTGTTCAGCTGCTCCCGGGGGCCTGGGGATACACATGGCAAAAGATGACCAGAGAGACAGAACGATGTACAAGAGATACGGAGAGTGACAGACACAGACAGACAGAGAGACAGGCAGAGAAAGAGAGAGAGAAAGGCAGACAGACATACATAGACAGAAAGATAGAGAGACAGTCAAAAAGACAGAGAGAAAGACAAACAGAAAGACAAGTTTAAACTAAAAGCATAAAACTCCCTTCAACGTCCCGTCGCTAGGAAGTCCATAATTTTCATCTGGAAGTCGAACTGAGGAAAATTAGGAATGCCATTCATTCACCTCAACCACTACACGTGAAGACCTTGGTGAACTGAACCCAGGACGAGGTGAACCAGAAGACGTGGGTACATACCAAAGCTACAGGAGTGCGCAGGGCTGGAGCGGACTAAGTTGAGGCAGGATATACCGTAAGCAGGATAGAACTCGTCGTCAGGAGGGATGAAGATGGGAGCGCATTCTGGATGTTTTAACTCCGGTTTGCTGAGCACCGAAGGTAAACAACACGGAATCAGACTACCACCCACCCCTGCAGTGAACCAACCACACGTAACGTCATACATACAGTGTTTTTTGTACCTTGGATTAAATTGATTACTGTATATGGAAGGTTGAAGGTGGTATCATACTCATTATACTTACAGTGCTCACTATCACAAATATACATCATGCTCATTATATTTACAGTGCACACCATCACAACTTTACACCATATGCATTATACTTACAGTGTTCACTATCAACTATAAACCATATTCATTATAACCCACAAGATTATATTTGACCTTCAGTGACCCGGATAAAGGTCAAGAGGCAGCGCAGAGGTCACGAGCAATAACTGACCTCTGGAGGTGGGTGTGGCGGTGAGGTCATGGTCAAGGAATTGGCCAAAGGTCATGTGTAGGATGGAGAAGCAGGCAGACTGGTTATTCTTATTGATGTTGATGGAGTTACTGACGTGCCGAGGGTTAGGTAACTCCTCCCCGTCCACTGCTCGCTTCATAGCCGACACTCCTGAGGAACAGTACACGTCACTCATCACCCACTGATTTACAACCGTTACAACATCATGCCACTTATAATACAACAGCTACTAAGTCACGTTACTCATAACCCACAGAATTACAATCGTTACTACGTCATGTCACTCATAATACAACAGTTACTAAGTCACGTTACTCATGTCATGCTAGTCATGGTGATGGGAATTAAACAAAAAATAGTAATTTAATGTTTCTAAACAGGTAGATAATGCTCTCTCTCTCTCTCTCTCTCTCTCTCTCTCTCTCTCTCACACACACACACCGTCGTCTTACCGTCGCCATAAACTGCAGGCAACAACCTCCTGAAGGGGGTGAAGGAGGCGCCCCAGGTTGGGTTCTTGAGGTTGTTACAGGTGCCATCGGAGGTTCTGTAGGGGGCGTCTATATCACAGCTGCTGGGCTTGAGGTGCTTCAGTTCTTCCTCGCACTCCTTCAGGCTGCCGAGCCTCACCATGTCTACACTGGTCTTGTTCTCAAGCATGTTGACTCTGTGTTATATGTTTACATCAGTTTGCATCTATCTTACTTAACATAACCTAACCTAACCTAACCTTCCATCAGTTTGAGCCTAACTTACCTAACCTAACTTAACCAAACTAAACCTTATTTAATCTAAGTTAACTTTAACTTAAACAAAGTAACCTGATCTAATGTACAGTAGCTGAACTTTACCCGAACATACAGAATCATAGACAGACAAACAGACAGACGGGCAGACAGTGAGTAGATAACTTATCGGTAGTAAAAAATACGAAGTGGAAAACTACGATGAATTATTTACAGTAGAAACAGGTTTGTGGGTTGACTTTCTTTTGTAGACGATCATCCATTACTCACTTAGACTTGATCTTAATGGTAGTGAGGCTAGCGATGTGACCAAACCGGGAGAGATTTCTAACTAGTTCGTTGGAGAAATGAAAGAGTTTATCTTGCTTCCACGAAGGATCGAGTTTGTCCACGGTAATGTTGTTGCTGTATAACCTCATCTCCAACTCATCTATCAGTGACATCGCTTGCACGCCCTCCTTGAACGCCTCTCTGTCAGGGTAAATATATGGGTCGTATATGCATTTATAAGAGTTATTCAGTTTATTAATATTTCTATTTGTTCTTACAGTTATTGTGCAGGATGAGAAAGGCTACGTTATAAGGCTATGGGAGGAAAATAGTACTTGATACTGAATACACTTATAGACAAAACACTTTGTTTAAGACGGTGAGTAGACTGATTACTGTGTACGTATGTCAGATGGATTGATTACTGTCTCATTAGGTAATTAGACAGGAACCTTGCTGGGTACTTAAAGGTTATATCCGTGTGTTGTTCCGCAGAGTACTCGTGTGTTGTTTAGAAGGTGAAGAGAAGGGAAGGTGTGTGTGGTGAGGAGGAGAGTGTGGAAGTATTTTATGCTAAATTGAGAAGGCTGGGAACATCTGATGAGAGTGTGAAGGGCGTGTTGTGAGGTACTGGGCTAAAATAAATTATGTTATGCTGAATGTGGCTGACAGGATGTGTGGCTGGATGAAGGCCCAGCAGACATGCAGTAACATGATGAACTACACAGGGTGATAAAGGAGAAAAGAAGATTGTATAAGTCTTAGGAGGTAATAATGAGAAGTATCTGGAGGCCAAGAACAGGGCCAGAAGAAAGATCAATAAAGTTAAGAAACATGAGCAGGACACATTCGTGGGTAGAAACAAGGCAGTTGTTGTTGAGCAGTGTGTGTGTGTGAGAAGTGACCTTGGTAAAGTGGTTATTGATAATGAAAAAGAATGCGGCGAAAAGAAAAGTATTGATTAACTGGCGTGAGTGAGAGATCCTTGGTGGAAAATGGGAAAATAGCCTCTGTTGGGTGTGAGAAAGGTGTTGACAGCAACTCAATAATGTGTAATGAGCGTGGAAGGTGGGTACTCAAGAGGTTCAGTGGAGTAGATGGTAGACTGCAGAATGTTACTAACGAAGTGTTCTCTGTGCGCAGATAATCAGGTAGCCTTACTATAGTTGCAGAAACTCGATACAGTAGTGGGGACATATGCCTGGACTGTGCCGATGAGTTTTGTTGCCTGGATGACTTGATCAGTGCTGGAGTGGGTACTGAAGATTACTTAGTTGTAAGAGTTAGAAGTGCCTGGAGAAAGTTGCTGCCTTTATTAAAGGCAGGAGGACCTTCCCTCCAGGTGAACGGAAAAATATATACAACTGGTGTGAGAAGAGTGGGTGGTGAATGGCAGTGAAACAAGAGCTGCTAAAGAGGACAACTATGCAGACTTGAGTGATCTGATATTAGAAAAGTTAAGTGGACGTGCAATGTAACAATAACAGATGATAGGATAGGAAACACTGTTCAGAGCTAAGAGGGCAGCTGGGCATTGAGAGTAATGACCAAAGTTTGGCATAGAGGTAGACTGAAATGGTTCAGACATGTGGAGGGAATGGAGGAGACCATCTGGGTCAAGAGATTCATGATTCTAAATGTAGAGGGTGTGTGGGGGGGGGGAGAGAAGATTTAGGAGAAAGCCAAAACTTACATGGGGAAAGGTTATAAGAAATGGCCTCTGTAGGAGATCCGACAGTATGTAGAGCAGCCGTAAGGTAACCCCGGCTAACGTAGGTATGTGTGGGAAACTATAATGATGACCTATTAAACTTTGCGTGAATTTGCTTTGACAGACAACAAAAAGAGATTAACTCACGTTATTATGTCTGGTGTGACGTCCAAGAACTCCTGGGGTGTTCTGTCCCAGCTGTACGGGTCACCTGGCGCAAAGGTGGATCTGTCTGACACCTGCAGTCCCCCTCCATCACCCCCACCACTCCACCGCTGCTGGAACCACACATTGTCTGGGGGAATTATCAGTGAGAGGTCAAGGATTATCCTGAGAGGTTAAGGGTTATACTAAGAGGTTAAGGGTTATACACAAGGATTAAAAGGTCATGCTCATACTAGTGTAGTACAGTAGAACACACACACACCATGTCTAGGGAAGGGAAGGTCGAGGATAATCTCTAAGCTGGCGTCGAGGGGCACCTGAGCGGTGTGATGATGAGGCATCCTTAAGTACAGAGGTGTTCCGTCCTCACAGGTGGCCTGAGGATCAATAGGCACCTCGTCACCCAGCGTCACCGTCACCATCACCATCAGCATCACCATCCTAGAGTGCTTGGTGATGCTACTCATATCCCTGGAAGGTTAATTGTCATTATTATGGCTTATGTAGGCTCACCATACTCCACACTATCCTTCACAACCCTCACTAGGAAACCACGACTCACAACAGTAGTACTCACAACAGTAGTACTCGCAACAGTAGTGCTCACAACAGTAGTACTCACTACAGTAGTACTCACAACAATATGAACACTGTCTAACCTCAGTCCTGCCAACACTTGCCCGTAACAGGAGCGGTAACAGGTGTGCATTCAACAGGTGTTCAGGAGGGGGGGGGGCAATGACCCGGTGACAGGTGTTCCCTCCCTCCCCACCTGTTGGAAGCCGCATCTGTCTCATTGATTTCCTGGCATTGTTCTTCCTTTGACACAGATGGACAGACAGACTCTCTCTCTCTCTCTCTCTCTCTCTCTCTCTCTCTCTCTCTCTCTCTCTCTCTCCTACTCCACATACCAAGAAGAGCTCGGTACACTCACCTTCTCACCTCTCTCTGTTCCTCACCATAACCTCATCTCTCAGTATGGGACGAGACTACCACATCATCCTCACCACCGTCTCCCGCTGCCACCTAAGATCCCTCGTCCATGATTTCCTTTTAGGACACACACACACACACACACACCGCACACACACACACACACACACACACCGCACACACACACACACACACACACACACACACACACACACACACACACACACACACACAAATTCAGCCCATAAGAGCCCGCACTGATAGATATAAGAATAACACCATCCCATCTATTGTTAAAATAATACACAGCTCCTAATTTATGTACTGTACAGCCCTGTAAATGTATTGAACGTATATAATTATGTCTAAATCACATGTAAATTTGTATATTTTCAGCCACCGGCTGCAACTCTATTAAGAAACCGTTTATTATTATTATTATTATTATTATTATTATTATTATTATTATTATTATTATTATTATTATTATTATTATTATTATTATTACTATTACTATTACTATTACTATTACTATTACTATTACTATTATTATTATTATTATTATTATTATTATTATTACTATTACTATTACTATTACTATTACTATTACTATTACTATTACTATTACTATTACTATTACTATTACTATTATTATTACATACAAAAACACACGTATGTACATATAAATACACACAAATAACACATGAATACACACATTGACACATATGCATACACACACAATGGTTGCCCCTCTTGTTCGAGGATGGCCGGCCCAAGGGCCACCTAGGCGTGAATTTGTTTAAGGTGTAGAAGATGTTGCCAACACAACAATCACACCCTAAGTTAACGAGCTGTATGACTCAGTGCAAAGAATAACCGAAGAAGAATGGACAAGTCACCAACTGCACAGGCTAACCATTACCACAGAACACGATGTTAACACTACAACGCTCAGTGCAAAACTAACATTAAGTTCATCCGTAACATGAGTGTGTGTGTGCGTGAGAGAGAGAGAGACTTTTCATTACCCTAATTCAATAATTCAATCGCTGTGCTAAATATGATAGCGGACACGGAGACAGGGGGAGGGAAAGAGGGATGTGTAGAGAGAGAATAAATGAATTGATATAAGAAAATGGAATGAAAAAGAAGAATAGATAAACTCTGAAGAAAAACAACAGAGGGAGAGTAAGTAAATAAACAATAATAGAGAATTAAAAGTTCATCTGACCTCCTCAAGACCTATGGAGGGGTGGGGGGAGAGGGAGGCAGATATATTGAGTGGAACAACCTCTGCCACGTCACCTATTCACAAACGATGCCATTTGTGTCGCGTTTACGTTGAATTTGTAGAACTCTATCATTGTCGACGTACGTGACGATTGCACACACACACACACACACACACACACACACACACACACACACACCACACACACACACACACACACCACACGCACACACTCACACATGTGCATGAACACACGGCGCCAGCAATACACTTCAATTTCTCCACAAGAGTTTACTATACCATTACCTCCTAATATGATAAAGTGTGACATTTCCGACACACCAACCGACCCGATCCGACCCATTCACAACACACCTGCATAAGAGCATAGAAACATAAGAAAATAAGGAGTCTGCAATAGGCCGGTTGGCAGCTCCTGTCGAGAGTTACTACCACTCTCTATCATCCATGAATCTATCCAGCCTCCTTTTGAAACTCTCCAGAGTTCCCGCACTTACTACAAAGTTGGTAAGCTTGTTCAACTCGTCCACCACCCTATTTGTGAACCAGTTCCTTCCTATCTCCCTCCTAAACCTAAACTTATCCAACTTCAATCCATTGCTCCGAGTCCTATCCTGCTCGGATATCATAAGAACTTTATCCATATCCCCTTTGATTCCTTTCACCCACTTAAATACTTCTATCATATCTCCCCGTACTCTTCGTCTTTCTAGGGAATGCAAGTTTAGTTTCTTTAACCTATCCTGATATGGAAGGTTTCTAAGTCCCGGAATCATTTTCGTCATTCTTCTCTGCACCGACTCTAGTGAATTTATATCCATTCTATAATAAGGGCACCAGAACTGAACTGCATAATCGAGGTGCAGCCTGACTAGCGTAAGATATAGTTGCAATAAGACCTCTGCACTCTTATTACTTACACTTCTAGATATAAAACCCAATACTCTGTTTGCCTTATTTCGAACATTAGCGCACTGTTTTCTAGGCTGTATACATTGACAGTATTTGTTCTTCCAATATTAAGTACGCTGCACTTACTGGTGTTGAATTTCATTTGCCATTTTTCAGACCACCCCTGCAGTTTATTTAGATCCTTCTGTAATGCATTTGCATCCTGCTCTGAATTAATCTGAAGCCCTATTTTGGTGTCATCCGCAAACTTGCTTATGTCACTGCTGATCCCAGTATCTAGATCGTTTATGTAGATTATGAACAAGAGTGGGCCTAGTACTGACCCCTGGGGAACCCCACTGGTTACACGGCCCCACTCAGATTTAACACCATCTACGCTGACACGCTCTGAGAAATTCGTGAAGTACTGTCCTACAACTACCTCCACTACCACCACCACCACCATTACCATCCCCACCACTACCACCTCTACTACCACCACTACCACCCCCACTAACCCCATCCACACCACTACCACCTCTACTAACACTACCACCCCCACTACCATTATTACCGCCACCACCTCTGCCGGGTAAGACACACTTCCTCGCCTCTGCTGGAAGGTTTCAGGGTCGGGTTACCGAGAAAATAATCTTAGTGCTAAGTCCAGGTCAGGTTTCCTCGAATATCAGATGGTGATGGTAGTAGTAGTAGTAATGGTGATAGTAGTGGTGATGGTGGTAATTGTATTGGCGGTAATTGTGGTGGTTGTATTGGTGGTAATGGTGGTAGTGGTGATGATCAGGAGTGTCAGGTAATGCTGGTGTCAGGGGTGTCAGAGGATGTCAGGGAATGATGGTGTCAGGTGGCGTCAGGGAATGATGGTGTCAGGTGTTGTCAGGGGTTGTCAGGTAATGATGGTTATGTTAGGTGTCAGGGGGTGAACAAGTACAAGCTAAAGTATTAACAGGTTTTCATTACTACAATTCACACAAACTTTACTTAATCAACTTAAACTAACTTAATGTAACCTAACTCATCCCATCTTCATTCACCTCACCTCACCCCAGATCTTCACCTCACCTCTCCTCACCATACCTCACCCCAGATCTTCACCTCACCCCTCCTCACCCCACCTCACCCCAGATCATCACACGGTGGTCGTCACGCTGAAGCCAGACAAGTGGGAGCGACTGACCCTCTCCTCTTTCTTGATACTCACGGGACTCACCTTCTCCTGCCCCTCTTGCCTCTCTCCTGCCCCTCTCTGTCCCTCTCCTGCCTCTCTCCTACCCCTCTCCTGCCGCTCCCCTACCCCTCTCTGTCCCTCTCCTGCCTCTCTCTCCTGCCCCTCTCCTTCCTCTCTCCTGCCCCTCTTCCTGCCTCTCTCTACCCCTCTCCTTGCCCCCCTCCCCCCTTTGCCTCTCTCTCCCCTCCTCCTTTCTCTACCTCCCCCCCTCCCCCTCGCCCCTCGCCACCCCCCTACCCCTTCCCCGGCTCTCCCTGCCCCCCACCCTCCTGCTCCAGCACCCCCTCCCCTCCCCCTTTACGCAAGCCTAAGACGGACTGCCCTTCAGCCACTCACTCACCGCTGTTGAACTGTGTGTGTGTGTGACGCTGCTGACACCGAGTGCTTGTGCTATACACTGAGAGTTATATATGGAACTGGTGATGCAATTCATCCCTTAGAAAGCCTTACTTGTGCTATACCTTGCTGATACACGTCAAGAAAACGCTATACACTGGACGTTTGCCTCAACAATGATGAATGTTATTATCACGAATATTGACGTCATGCACTGAACACTACCTGCCGATACTGTGTCTTGAAGCCACATTTAAGTTACGTACGAAAATTTACTGTTTGCGACGTAGTGCTGCTGTCTTACCTGCTGAAGCAATAACTAACACGCTGGACGCATGTGTGAGTTTGTGAACTTACAGTACAGACAGTAGCACGCTGGTCTGCCACACCGACGAGGAGACGCGAGTGAGGAAGTCAGTTAGGAACAACTAAATAATTCACAAGAAGACGACGAAACATTTCTTGTGTTTTGCCGATGATCGTGACCAGTTATTGTAGTGTGTGTTAACGTGATGGTGGTGGTATACAGTACACCGCAGCTGTGATGTAGTACACCGTAGCTGTTACGTAGTGCACCATAGCTGTTACTTAGTGCACCGGAGCTGTTACGTTGTTCACCGGAGCTGTTACGTAGTGCACCGCAGCTTCCTCAAAATTACATGTCGTTTACTCAGCTTGCCAGGGAGGATCTGAAGCAGCTTGGTGACTGGTACTGGTACGGTGTTTTCCTCAACAAGTTTCATTATAATTCCAAAACTTCATTTCGCCTTTACAATATTATTGACTATTATTTTGTTTTTAACTTAACCACATCAGAAAGTTCCAAAGACCAGACAGGAACTTAGTACGTGTGAAAGTTTCTGAATGTCACAGGAAAGTTTATAACTTTCCTCCAAAGAAACGTAAGAGACAAAATACATATAAGAAATTTAGGAAATCACAAAGAAGCCAAAACTTTATCAAGAGTTTTACAAAACTTAGAAAAGAGTCTTTTGAAAACTAACAACACCTACCAAAAGACTAACAGAGGATTACGACTCTGCAGCAGCTCAACAAAGTACCAAAGTTTTCGAAAAGTCTAGCAACTTCTCCCTCAGGCTGATCCAAGATGGCAACGAGCACTTACAGTGAGATCCCTGGCGTGTACAGCGAGAGCCCGCGACCACTGGCCACACTCAGACGCACACTCAGGACTTACCGCTACTGTGTCGCCGCCACCATGATGTATGTGTGTCCGTCCACACGTGTCCTAAATGCTTGCCCATATCCTAAAATACATTCATGTCCTCTACACTCACATATATAATATATACACACATGTCTTATACACACGCCCACGTCCTTATGCACACGCCCACTTCCTTATACACACGCCCACGCCCATATCCTTAAACACACGTCCACGCCCACGTCCTTATACACACGTCCACGCCCACGTCCTAATACACACGCCCACACCCACGTCCTTATACACACGTCCTTATGTCCCATGTCCTTATACACACTCCCAAGTCTTTATACACACTCCATGTCCTTATACACACGCCCATGTCCGAAGCACACACACACACACACACACAGGCCAGTAACCTAATTAGCAGTAAGGTAACGGGTAACAATACGTGACTTGCATCACGTGTGTCTGTAACGGAGCCTCGAGTCCCTGTCTCTTGTAACGCGAGACTAGAGGTGAGACCACAAGACCACAGTGACCCCTCCCCCTCCCTCCACCGGACCTCCCCTCCCCATCCCTCCACCAACCCTTTCCGCACCGTACCCTTCCCTTCCATCTCCCCTTCCCTCCACCTCACCTGCCCTCCCCGTCCCTCCCCCACCCCTTCCTCCACCGTACCCTTCAACTCCCCTCACCTTCCTTCCCCACCCCTTCCATACATCACCTACCCCTCCCATTCACCTCCCCTCACCCTCACCATACTTCATCTCCCCTTCTCTACCCTTCCCCCATCCCTCACCCTACCCCCCCCCCCCCACCCCCGGCCCCTTGGTGTACAAGTACACAAACACAGTAGCACGGTGTGATGGCAGGTGTGTGTGTGTGTGTGTGTGTGTGTGTGTGTGTGTGTGTGTGTGTGTGTGTGTGTGTGTGTGTGTGTGTGTGTGTGTGTGTGTGTGTGTGTGTGTGTGTGTGTGTGACCCGCTGAGTACGTCTTTTCTCGTCTTAAAGGGTTTCACAGTCTCACCTCACCAAACTGTGTGTGTGTGTGTGTGTGTGTGTGTGTAAGACCTCATCTATGAACGTATACATACGCACACGTTAGGTTATGTTCGGTTAGGTTAGGTTCATATACCTTTCTTGCAAAATGAAGAAATAAATAGGCAGGTTTTCTTGTTCGTGGAATATTTCTAACCAGTCACCATGTTGTACACAGATGCTGGAACATTGACGAGGAGAGACAACACTGACTCCTCAACCAACACACGTCCTTGTTCACCAGGGCCAGGTCACCAGTGTACATCCAAATCACCAGGTCCAGGTCACCACTAATATATCTTTCTTGTGTGTTCGCCAGGTTGGGTTTGGTGATTACCTTAGCCATCGTGGTGTCTGTGATGATCGGGAGCAGCTTAACGGCCACCCAGCAGGACCCACCAACTGACCCGCCAGCCAATCACAGCCTGGTGACCCTAATGTCTCTTACCTGGCCTAGGAGAGGTGAGAGAGAGAGAGGTTAAGAGGTAAGAGAGAGGGGGCAGTAAAGCTAGAGGGAAAGAGAAAGACAGAGAGAAAAAGAGATAGATATATAGGTAGATAGATAGATAATATAATATAATATAATATATTAAATCACTACATTAACTGCCCTCCTCACCTGGCCCCTGCACTTGGCGTCTTCACTTCTCCCCCCCCCTTCACCCTCCTTACCTGGCCTCCTTCACCTGGCCTCCTCATCTGGCCCCCCTCACCTGTCCCCTCACCTGGCCCCCTCACCTGGCCTCCTCACAGATCAGTATTGGTACACACTTCGATGGCAGCGGAGCAGAACTATGACCCCAGATGACCCCCACAAGAGGCAGTATGACGATGACCCCCTCAATCCTGATGACCCCGACGGCCCCGAGTGGACGAGCCCCGACCACTCCACTTTCCCCGACAACGACACCTGGAACTGGAACCGTCGGCCGACCAAACTACCCGACTGGTCTAGTGATGACGTGAGGTAAGTGGTCGGGGCTAGTAGGCCTAGTCCTGGGGCTTCTGCGTGGTGATCCTGTTAACATGGTTTCCTTAAAATTGCTAGAATGTATGAACCACGGGACTGGTGAGTCTAAATGGATCCAAACTAAACCTACACATACGAAGATGTTTGGACTATACCATCTGTACAAAGTTGAGACACAACAGCACTTCCTTCCACCCTGGCGGACAGTTCCCTTCGATATCACAATGCTGACATATCTGCCTAAAAAAATAATTATATAAAGTATTTATCTCCAACACTGCCAAAGTGAGAGCTCTTGAACACATACACACACTACAGACTGATGGTAACATCACACAGACCATTTACACTGATGGATCGTTTAACACCGCCTGTGGGAGGGCTGGAAGTGCTGTCGTTGTGACTCAACCTAACGGTAATACAACTGAGAAAGGAGTTAGAATTAGCAACTGGACATCCACTCTACAAACTGGATTAGTTACTGTACTCACAGCCATCAAATTTATTGAAACCACTGTCACTGACAGTCTCGTCATTACTGATTCTCTACCCTGCTTGTCCTTGATACCCTCAACTTAAGATGTCACTCACTTGTTTGTGAAGCCAGACACAAATATGTGTACCTTGTTGACCGGCGTGTCAAGATCAAACTGTTGTTGATCCATTTCACATAGGACTCAAATAAAACGACAGAGTTGATGCCCTCGCCAAACTCGTGTCTAACAAAGATACTGTTGAATACAATCTGGGTCTGTCCTTGAGAGTGACCTATGTGTATACTTTATGTGTGTGTGTGCGTGTGTTTTCAGCTAGCAGGTTGTGTTTCCCAATCTTATTAAGAGTATTAGATTAGGTCTTTGTTGTAACAAGTGTCGAACCAAACAGTCCTATCTCTCATTATCAACTTACCCGGCCGCTCTTCACACACACACACACACACACACACACACACACACACACACACCTGTACTGCCTACTGTATGTATGTCGTTTGCGGCCGGAAATATGACGGTTGTAGACCCTTGCTTTAGGGTGACCAAGTGTTCCTCTAGGGTGACCAAGTGTTCCTCTAGGGTGACCAAGTGTTCCTCTAGGGTGACCAAGTGTTCCTCTAGGGTGACCAAGTGTTCTTTTAGTGTGACCAAGTGTTCCTCTAGGGTGATCAAGTGTTCTTCTCGGGTGACCAAGTGTTCCTCTAGGGTGACAAGTGTTCATCTAGGCCTAGGGTGACCAAGTGATCCTCTAGGGTGACCAAGTGTCCATCTAGGGTAATCTAGCAGTGTTCGTCTATTAAACTGTTATATGATGCCAACAAAATAATGGTATAACTCCTGTTTTTTCTGCCTTAGAGAGTCTTTGGTTCACGGATCGACGAAGGAACAGCAGAAGACGCAGGTGGAGGAGGAGCTGGCCAAGAGGAACATGAGTCTGGTGCCTGGGTCTGCCTCCTACAAACACCAGCACACGTTCAGGAAGACGGACCCCCTGGCCACCACCATGGCCAAACAGGGCTACCTCATGGACCAGGCCACCACCACCATGAAGGACAGGTGGGTTATGGTGAATTGAGGCAGGTTTGGGTGAGATGGTTTACTGGTTTATTTAGGTTAAATTAGACTAAGCTGTCATCCCTGAGCTGAATTATGACCGTTTGGACTTTACTGTGACGTGTATGGGAGCGGCACCACAACATAAGCTGTGTACAGTTTATCCTTTATTGTTCCTGTTTTATAACCGTCGTCTCTGTTGGTGTCTCAGGATGAATCTGACGAGGGAGGCGGCGACACTGGACTCACAGTGGGTAGGAGACTTGTCCTCCAGCGTCTACTGCGACAAGGGGCGTCAGCGACCCCTGCCGAGCCCTTGTAACCCCGCCTCCAAGTACAGGAGTGTAGATGGCACCTGCAACAACCTTAAGAACCCCACCTGGGGGGCCTCCTTCACCCCCTTCAGGAGAGCGCTGCCTGCAGACTATGGCGACGGTAGGTCCTTCTTGGTAACTCTGTGTTACTTTGTAGCGTTATTATACGACTTAAGCTGCTTGACTATAATATTATCTATCTATCTCTATAGTGTAGTTGCCATCCACACTTTAACACGAACCGATTTTTTTCAATCCTTGTTTTTGGAGAAACAGAAAATGGACAGACGACAGCTTCCTTTTTCCTCTTGGCGTGCAACATTATATGACTGTCTGTATATAGAATCACAGTCTTCTCTGGGGGCATGTGTGTGTGTGTGGTCCCACGGGTAATAACCCGTGTACGAGAACACTTGTGGGAAGGAGTTATGCCGAGTGGGGAGATGTAGGGTGAACATTTGTCTTAGAGAGGAGAAGGAAGGAGGGAGGAGTCAGTCTGTTTTACAAGAGTAAGGTTGGCATTAAAAGATTCCTGGAAAGGGAAAGGAAGAGAAGACAAATGGAAGAGGACGATTAAAAATACTCACCACACCTCTCACTCACCACAATCAGGACAAGCGCGTGATCGGTCATTCCCCTCCACCAGTCAGTTCCAACCTTTAGAAAAAAAACCAATTGCCATGACAGGGATGACTAACAACACAGTCTGGAGGTGGTTGCTAAGAGGAGCTATGCTGACGTATTAGGAGGGCCACGGGTGGGGGGGGCGGAGAGTAATGCAGAATCAGTACAGGTTCTACAGCAGATTGGGACTCTGAAAAAGTGTGTCGAAGAAATGAAAATTAACGGACCTACTGTTAGGGGAGAGGAGGAACACCAGGAACGGCTCCAGCGCAGGAACAATGTAATAGTTTTTGGAGTCCCAGAGAGCCAGGCAGAGGGAACTGTGAGTAAGGAAACACACGACAAGGTGCTGTTTCAAAATATTTGCACAGAGGTTCTGAAGATTCCAGCAACCCCTCAGGATGTGAGGAGACTGGGACAAAAGCAGGGGGTTAAGCCTCGCCCCCTCAGGATCACACTAGGGAGTGAGGAGGAAAAATGGCAAGTTATCCGGCAGGCAAAAAACTTAGCAAGGAGCGAGGCATTTCGAGATGTATTTATTCACCCAGACCGCACGGTAATGCAGAGGGAACAGCACAAGAAGCTCCTGCTGGACTTGAAGCAGAAGAGGGAGGAGTCGAGAAGGAACGGGGACAGGTGCACATGGGTTATACTCAGGGGGAGGGTAGTGGAAACAAGTGTGCCGACACAGGGCCAGGGGGCAGCAGTGCACCCTCCACCCACTCAACCCCCCACCCGGGAGGCGGCACCGGCTCAGCCTACCGGACAGGAGGGAACGAGCGCCGTGTAAACAATGAAATTTTTAACCACACCCTGCAAAATACAGTGTACTTAGCAAATGCTGCAGCTTCTGAGAATGTGGGTGGAGCGGGTTTATTACTAAGAGCAGAGACGTTACCGAGAACAAATTCTGGCTTGAATGTCATGTACACTAATACCGACACGTTCCTTGATAAGAGGGAGGAGTTTGAAACACTACTAAGAGTACACCAACCAGATATTGTAGGAGTTGTAGAACTGTTGTACAAGAACAGGAGAATCGACCCAGAGGAATGTGAGTTCAGTATTGCTGGATATGACTCATTTACGAACCTAACTCAAGAATCCTGCAGGAGGGGTGTGGTTATCTACGCTAGGCAAGACCTTAGAGCCAGCCAGGCGAGGGTACAGGGAGAGGATGTCTTTGAAGAGTCCAAGTGGTGTAAAATTAAATTAAAGGGAGGGGACTTACTTATCGTCGGGTGTATCTACAGATCCCCGAACTGTGGCCCACTAAATCAAAGGAACTTAAGAACCTTAATAAACAATGCGGCGATGCTCAACCCCAGCCACCTCCTTATCATGGGGGACTTTAACTATGGCGACATCGACTGGAGAAACGAGTCAACCCCGAATGACTTGAATAATCCTGCTACTCTTTTTGTAGAAACTCTGAGAGATAATTTTCTGTTCCAACATGTGAGAGACCCGACACATTACAGAGGGGAGCAAACACCCAAGCCACTTGACCTCATCATAACAAACGAGGAGGGTATGGTGGCCAAACTGGAACACCTTGCCCCAGTTGGCACCAGTCACCATACAGTGTTGTCATTCAGATTTAACTGTTACCTAGTTCAAGATAAGGCCAGGCCAAGGTGCAAATATTACAAGGGAAATTACAATGGGATGAGGGAAGAGATGAGGGGTATCAACTGGCCTGACTTATTAAGGTACAAGAACGCAGACACTACGCTGAATATCATAACTAGTAAAATGACCCATTTGATCGATAAATATATACCCAAGACCAAACCCAGTGCTTCTAGGAATACGAGGGGATCCCTACACATGAACCATGCGGCGGTCGACAAAATTAAGAAGAAAACCCAGAAATTCAAGACGTGGGTTGGGTCAAACGATGAGCAAGACAGGAGGATGTATGCAAGAGCCAGAAACCAAGCAAAGATAGAGTGTAGGAGGGCTGAAAAGGAGTTCCAAAGGCTGGTTGCACGCGAGGTCAAGTCAAACCCAAAGGCGTTTTACCGCTATGCAAAGTCGAAATTGAAAACGCGAGTAGGAGTATCAGACCTGAGGCTTGAAGATGGTAGTTACGCAGATTCTGACCAGGATAAAGCTGAGGCATTGAACAGCTTCTTTTCCTCAGTGTTCACAAGAGAGGATGCAACTAACCTTCCTGCGTTTGAGGACAGACGGTTCGACACAGCACTGACCCACATTGTGTTCACAGAAGAGGGTATTAGAAATAAACTGTCCAGGCTAAAGGTCCATAAGAGTCCTGGACCTGACATGGTGCATCCTAGAGTGCTAAGAGAGCTGTGCAACGAGCTTGCAGAGCCCCTGAAGATTCTGTTTTGTAAATGCCTGGATGAACAAATGGTCCCCAGTGAATGGAAAGTGGCTTATGTGAGTCCTATCTTCAAGAAGGGCGATAGGCACTCCACGAACAACTATAGACCGGTGAGCCTGACCAGCATAATATGTAAAGTACTTGAGAGTATTATCAGAGATGCAGCGATGGAACATCTACTACGAAACAACCTTGTAAAAGATTGCCAACACGGTTTTATGCCGGGGCGCTCTTGCTTGACACAATTGCTCAAGGTATTGGATATTTGGACCCATATTCTAGAACGGGGTGGTAATATCGACAATATTTACCTAGATTTTGCCAAGGCTTTCGACAGTGTACCCCACGAAAGGCTGAAAATCAAACTGGAAGGGTACGGAATTCGGGGAAATGTCCTAGCGTGGATAGAAGACTTTCTACATGACCGCAAGCAATGTGTGGTGATTAATGGCACGAAATCGTCATCTGTACCTGTAACAAGTGGGGTACCGCAGGGTAGTGTATTGGGCCCGCTGTTGTTTGTTTGTTTCATAAATGATATGCCTGACGTTGTACACTCCTCCATACAAATGTTTGCCGATGACGCCAAGTTATTTCGGGAAATTAAGAACCAAGCGGACTGTGAAGAGCTGCAGAAGGACCTCTGTGGGCTCCAGGAATGGTCGAAGGAATGGCTGCTGAGATTCAATGTCACGAAGTGTAAGAGGATGCACCTGGGGCGTACCAACGGTAAGGAGGCGTACCATATGTCCCAACGGGATGAAGAAAATGTACTAGTTGAGACTGTGTGTGAGAAGGACCTAGGTGTGTATGTTGACAATGAGCTGAAGTTCTCGGGCCATTGTGAGAAGAAGGTAAATCAGGCAAATAAATTATTGGGTCTTATAAGAAGGTCGTTCAGATATCTAGACGGTCCGTCCCTCGTGACGATCTTCAGGAGTGAAGTGCTTCCCCATCTGGAGTACTGTCACCCCATCTGGTCCCCGAGATATGCTAGGGACTGTCAGTTGGTTGAAAATGTTCAAAGGAGGGCCACCAAGCTGGTGCCTGCACTTCGGCATCTCAGCTACCCTGCGAGATTGGAGCGCCTGAACTTGCCTAGCTTATACTACAGACGGGCAAGGGGGGACCTAGTTGAGGTTTATAAGCATCTCAGGGGGCACTACTCAGTTGAGTGTCCTTACTTGGAGCTGGCGGACGCTCGCCCCACAAGGGGTCACAGCTCAAGATTGAAGAAGCCGCAAGTCCGGAAAACCGTGAGGGCAAACTTTTTCGGAGTGAGGGTTGTAAACTCTTGGAACAATCTACCAGAAAGTGTTGTGACGGCACCGAGTGTGAGCTCTTTCAAGAGAAGACTTGACCAACACTGGAGCGGGTTCAGGTACATTCAGGAGCCGGTGCATGCCCAGTATTTGCCAACAGTGCGTGACAGAGACGTGACCGATCGCCCGGGCGGCTAGCGAGCCGACCTTTTGGTGAAGAATATAAAGGAAAAGAGTCGTGACCGATCGCCCAAGCGGCTAACAAGCCGATCAGTGGCGAAGAGGATAAAAGTAAAAGTAAAAGATGCAAGTTGCATTTATCCACGCGTCACTTCCCTGCTTTAAGTAATGAGAATCGAATCGACACAGAGCTTACTAGTGTTTGAAAGCCTATACCGTTTCAATACTAAATCCAGTTTAAATTTGTATGAGAATTTTCCATGAATACAGTAACAGTTATTGAATAAACCAATCGACACAAACTTCAAAAATTTGTCTTGAGAAACTATAATACTTAAGTTGTACAGCTGAGTGCGGAACCTATTGATTTCTTTACGAATCATAAAATATTATTGTTTTGTTCTGGATTTTTGGAAGCTTAACAGTTTACTAACCAGCCTTTGTTATGTTGTCCAGTGTTAGGTTAGGTTAGGTCTGGTCTGGTCAGGTATTTCCTTTTTTTCCTCCACTTAAGAATTTCTGGTTGAGAAAAGAACTGGTTTTCGACAAACTTTTGTGTGAAAGTTGACTCCCGGCTTGTGGTTCCTCTCGCTGGTGTATAAGACGACCCTCGGGGCATGATGCAACCCTCTCACCCCGTCTGGATTGTTCAGATAGACAGTAAGACGATCCTCGGGTCATGGCGCAACCCTCTCACCCCGTCTTGGTTGTTCAGATAGACAGTAAGACGACCCTCGGGGCATGACGCAACCCTCTCACCTCGTCTTGGTTGTTCAGATAGACAGTAAGACGACCCTCGGGGCTTGACGCAACCCTCTCACCCCGTCTTGGTTGTTCAGATAGACAGTAAGACGACCCTCGGGTCATGACGCAACCCTCTCTCTCCGTTTGATTTGTTCAGATAGACAGTAAGACGACCCTCGGGTCATGACGCAACCCTCTCTCTCCGTTTGAGTTGTTCAGATAGACAGTAAGAAGACCCTCGGGTCATGACACAACCCTCTCTCTCCGTTTGAGTTGTTCAGATAGACAGTAAGACGACCCTCGGGTCATGACGCAACCCTCTCTCTCCGTTTGAGTTGTTCAGATAGACAGTAAGACGACCCTCGGGTCATGACGCAACCCTCTCTCTCCGTTTGAGTTGTTCAGATAGACAGTAAGACGACCCTCGGGGCTTGACGCAACCCTCTCACCCCGTCTTGGTTGTTCAGATAGACAGTAAGACGACCCTCGGGTCATGACGCAACCCTCTCTCTCCGTTTGAGTTGTTCAGATAGACAGTAAGATCATTATACGAGATCACATTATTTCAGGGTGCTGAGACTTGGCAGGTATATAAACAGTGGTGCATAGTAAGTCTATTAACCCAAGAAAATCTTTATAAGTTTCTTTTCTTTGGTTATAATATTAGACGACATTTTAAAGAAGTTACAATGTCGTACCATGAATATTCACCCACACTGGCAGGCGTCTCCACTGTCATCGCTGCCTATTCACCAAATTTCCTTTTTATTTTCCTTATTGTTATATTCTGAATTATTTATTTATTCATATATCTTGGTACTCGTGATTGGTGTCTACCGGATTCATTCTGGTTTTGGTTTTACAATTACCTGCACTGACGTAATAAACACCCATTTTCTTCTCTCGCACGCTTTTAACTTTACAATGTTTCACTTTTGCTTGTTTATCTTATTTTCCTGTATTTCTGTCTGTTTTACGGAGTTTTTTCTCGGACAGGTGTGTCGTCACTCCGTGTAGCGTCTGACGGGGGGGAGCTGCCCAGCGCGCGTCAGGTGAGCAACACGGTGCACAAGAACAAACTGGCAGAGTCCCACTCCTACACTGTGCACACCATGAGTTGGGGGCAGTTTGTGGACCACGACATTACCCTCACCGCTCTCTCTAAAGGTAACATTGCCCTCACCACACTCTCTAAAGGTAACACTGCCCTCACCACACTCTAGAGGTAACATTGCCCTTACCACACTCTGAAGGTACAGTCACCCAAAAAAAATCCTGTCGCGAACCATGAACCCCGTGATTCAAACTCTTGAATCCGAAGCATTTATGGACAGAATAATGTATCAGTGTCTACTGCTTCGGGTTCATGAGTCTGAATCTCGGGGTTCGTGGTTCGCGACAGGACTTTTTTGGGTGACTAATACATGGGTGTCCGCAGGTGGGTGCGAGTGGACGCACTTGCACCCTTTTGGAAAATTAGAAATGTTATTTTTCTGCAATCCTCGTTTACAATATTCGTTCTTTAATGTTCCCACAACGGTCAATTGTGGTAACTCGGTACTTTTGACAATTCCTCTGTGTGGGAGAAGTACGATGCCATTGACAAGAGCGACAACTGCTGCTGGGCCTGGCTGGCCGACTCTGTAAGACTTTTTCTTTTACTGTTATCATCTTCGCTGCTTGGGTGGTCGGCCACATCTCTGTTACGCACTGTTGGCAAGTACTGGGCATGCACTGGCTCCTGAATATATCGGAACCTCACAGTTTTCTGGACTTGTAGCTTCTTCAACCATGAGCTGTGACCCCTTATGAGGCGGACGCCCTCCAGCTCCAGGTATGTAAGTTGCCAGCAAAAGTCCTCCCACAAACTTGCTACACAGAGCTGTGGGAGAACTTTTGCTGGCAACTGTACATTTGACTGAACAGTGCCCCCTAAGATGTTTATACACTTCAGCTAGATCACCCCTCGCCCATCTGTAATACAAGCTACGCAGTTGCAGGCATTCTAATCTCTCTGGATGTCCACATGACAGAGGAACTGCGTATACCGTATACCGGAATTAGGTCATGATGAAGCCGCGAGCCCGCGACCACTTGTCATCAAAGCTGACAATGAATTATTTTAGTTAGTTAAATTAGCAAATTTCAGAAATACTTTGCATATTGTAACATAAATTAACTAATTGTGGGGTCTTTTTTCTATTTTTGGTAACAGTATGATGTTTTGTTAACTGCACTACTTGTCTAGTACAATACAACAAAATTATAAACACAATATATAATATTATTATTTACGCTTACTGTCCTATAAATTATTGAATTATAAGCGTACTTTAAATCTAGTGCAATGCGTTCATGTATACCAAACATCATAAGCAAATGAACGTAGATCAGTTTCATGAATGAGATTTAATGGGGGGACTTAAATGACTTTGAATGAGATTACATGCGAGAATTAAACGAATTTGAATGAGATTAAAGGTATTACCGTCGTATTAAAAGAAACCATCCGCGTATCACTTTAATTAAATGGATAACAATAACAATAATATAGGGCATTTGCGAGGAAATCGTCATAGAAGAAAAGTGTAGGGGTATCGAGATATTAATGTTGTCTAGCACTCAGTATGGAAGGAAACTCTAATGTGGTTTTCTTGTATAATATAGTTATATGATAGACAGTCTGGTGCTGGAGGTGCTTGTTCAGGAAGATGGGCAGAATGAGAGTTGGTTGGTGAGGAAGCTCAGATTTCAACAGCTGGTGGGTCGCCATGCTCGCTGGCGGGAGCGAGGGCCGCCAGGCAGGCGAGGTGGTGCCTGCACTTCGGCACCTCAACTACCCTGAGAGATTGGAGCGCCTGAACTAACATAGCTTATACTATAGACGGGCAAGGGACGACCTAGTTGAGGTGTATAAGCATCTCAACTTCTCAAGGGGCACCACTCAGTCGAGTGTCGCAAGCAGTGTGTGGTGATTAATGGCACGAAATCGTCATCTGTACCTGTAACAAGTGGGGTACCGCAGGGTAGTGTATTGGGCCCGCTGTTGTTTGTTTGTTTCATAAATGACATGCCTGACGTTGTACACTCCTCCATACAAATGTTTGCCGATGATGCCAAGTTATTTCGGGAAATTAAGAACCAAGCGGACTGTGAAGAGCTACAGAAGGACCTCTGTGGGCTCCAGGAATGGTCGAAGAAATGGCTGCTGAGATTCAATGTCACGAAGTGTAAGAGGATGCACCTGGGGCGTACCAACGGTAAGGAGGCGTATCATATGTCCCAACGGGATGAAGAAAATGCACTAGTTGAGACTGTGTGTGAGAAGGACCTAGGTGTGTATGTTGACAATGAGCTGAAGTTCTCGGGCCATTGTGAGAAGAAGGTAAATCAGGCAAATAAATTATTGGGTCTTATAAGAAGGTCGTTCAGATATCTAGACGGTCCGTCCCTCGTGACGATCTTCAGGAGTGAAGTGCTTCCCCATCTGGAGTACTGTCACCCCATCTGGTCCCCGAGATATGCTAAGGACTGTCAGTTGGTTGAAAATGTTCAAAGGAGGGCCACCAAACTGGTGCCTGCACTTCGGCACCTCAGCTACCCTGAGAAATTGGAGCGCCTGAACTTGCCTAGCTTATACTACAGACGGGCAAGGGGGGACCTAGTTGAGGTGTATAAGCATCTCAGGGGGCACTACTCAGTTGAGTGTCCTTACTTGGAGCTGGCGGACGCTCACCCCACAAAGGGTCACAGCTCAAGATTGGTCCAGAAAACTGTGAGGGCAAACTTTTTCGGAGTGAGAGTTGTAAACTCTTGGAACAATCTACCAGAGAGTGTTGTGACGGCACCGAGTGTGAGCTCTTTCAAGACAAGGCTTGACCAACACTGGAGCAGGTTCAGGAGCTGGTGCATGCCCAGTACTCACCAACAGTGCTTAACAGAGACGTTCCACGAGATAGACGCTTACAGTATTTTGGTGATTGCATTGTTTTTTTTATTGTCTTGTGTGCATTCTTCTACCATCTTTAGTTAGATGCAATTACTTTGTAACTATTAATTGGCCCAACAACACCAAAAAGAACAGAAAACCGTCTTTCTCCAGATAACCAGAGGATCCACAGAGGTGATTCGTAAACATACTTTTGTCAATGTTGTTTGTTCATTCATCTTTGAGTTCTTCCTCCATTTAAGGCATTTAGTATTCATAATGATGCTCTCTTCAGAACTGCATGTGAACATCAGAGTATCAATAGGATATATATTTACTGAGCAGGATACTTTTTGTATTGTCGAAAATTTAAGGCTGGAACGTTAAAGTTTTGGTTATTTCTGCTGGTCATTATCCCAATAAGGTAATAATATCGTGTAAAATTTTGTGTTTAGGGGAATGTAATAAAATTTTTAAATATTCGTCAATTCGCTCTCCTCGGGTTTTGTATGAGAATTGATTTTTGGGCGTTTTTCGGTGTTTTACTCATATCTGACCATCATTAATTTCTTGTGCAAATTAGCGGGTTTTTTTACACAAAATTAACATTTTAATTTTTAACAAACTGCTAATTTTCACAAAAATGGGAGGTCAGATATGAGTAAAATATACCATAGAATACCTACTGTATTCTCATACCAAAGGAACCAACCTACCTAACCTAACCTAACCTACAAGGAGGAGACAACTGACTCTTTAAGTGAGGAGTATAACCTCAGGTAAACATGGCGGGAACCTGCAGACAGCCAGTGGACGAAAATTAAACAAAAAATTAATTGTAGGGGAAGTATTTTCCTCTTCCAATTTTTTGCCTTTTCATGAGGTTTGGAAACATTTATCTTCTATGGAGAAATATTCTCAAATTGGTGGTTTGGGTGTGAGAGATATAGGCAAAACCCATAACCTCTGCTAACCTAACTTATGTTACCCAGCCCTACCTACCCTACCTAACCTAACCTACCTTACCCAGTCCTACCTAACCTAACCTACCTTACCCAGTCCTACCTAACCTAACCTACCTTACCCAGTCCGTTGTACCTCCAACTCGGCCCACTCAGTTAGCCAACTCGGCCCATCTTAAATAATCAACTGGACCCACACATTACTAACTCGGCCCACCTTGCACACTTCAAACAAGTAGCTGACTAGAGGTTCAGGAATGAGTTTGAGATATGTTTTATGTCTCTTTTGGTTCACTGAAATACAAAGAGTGTGAATGACGAATTTTATGAGTTTATGTTAGTAGAACTTGATGAATGAACAATGATTCACATTTTGAATAGTTTGAAATTATTGCTTCCAGCAATTTGCCTACAATTGATGTTAAACTAACTGGACAGTAGTTAGACGATAGTGATCTATCTCTCTTCTTGAAAATTGGTATCACATTCGCTATCCTCCAGGATTCTGGTACAGTATACTACACCTGTTTTTAATGACATGTTAAACAAATTTGCTAAGGGCATACCATGCTCTTCCTTACATTCCTTTAATACTCTGGGAAATATCTCATGGGACCTGGTGACTTATTAGGCTTTAGCTTGTCTATTTGCTTACTAACATCGTTACTAGTCACTACTATCTCACTTAATCTATTTTCTTCACTATCTCTGTATATAGTCGGTGCCTCAGGTATCATGTTTAAATTTTTGGTGGTGAAAAATTTTCATTTCTCCGCCGTTATCAGTTAGCTCGCCAGTAACTGACTGTCTTGGTCCAATCTTGGTCTGTGTTTTAGTTTGATACATTTGAAAGAATCCCTTAGGGCTTGACTTAGCCTCCCTTTCTACCTTCAGTTCATTATTCCTCTCCAATGCCTTAAAATAATCTCGGCGGTAAACTTCACCAAGTTTTATTCTCCTACCTATAGCCTTTCTTTGGCCAATAATATTCTTTAAATAATTATTTATCCATTTGGGGTCATTGTTATTTGATCTGAGTTACTGTGTGGTATGTTCTGCCTTTGTGCATTAAGTAACTCATTATTTATATCGTTGTGGAACTCATCAACCTCAGATCTCGTGACTGTTTATCATTGTACTTTTGTCATTCATGCATAGATTAAATGGTAAACTTTTAAGCATTTCTTGTAATTTTATTTAATGGCTACACATCACATGGCTGTTTAACAGTAATGTTTGTACATCTAGGCTGCTTTTTATCATTGTACTCTTCTACTTTTATCATTCATGTAAAAATAAATGTGTAAACTTTTACTTTTTAGTCAGAGTTGATTCCCCGAGATGGTCTGAGTTGGATGTGGGCCGAGTTGGACTGTATTCACCCAGTCCTACCTAACCTAACCTAATCTAACCTACCTTACCCTGCCCTACTCAAACTAACCTACTTACTCTACCCTACCTTACCTAAACTTGCTTAACTAACCTGACCCAACCCAACCTACCCTATCCTCCTCTAAACTAAACTACAGGTAATTCAATCCAACCTGGTAATACTAGACAATAGTTGCTTGCTTGAACCAGCAACTTAACATACTTTACCTCTATGGAAGATAAATGCTTACTTCATGAGAAAATCAAAAAAGTGCTTAAACTTGATGTCATTTTGCCTCGGGAATTATTTTTCAGCCCTTCTACTCTCTGACTTGGCTTGGTTCCTGAACCTGGCAAGCATCCTTCTGCCCTACTCATTATTTGTCATGAACCATCTCTTGAAATGCCTAAATGTTTTCTTAATTTGTCAACTGTCGCATGGTTTATATGGAACAGTTATTAAAAATGTTCTTACCCTCAATTAGTCTACTCTTTAATTCAGTGAAATTTTTGAGTGATTAGAAAATCCAATGTCAACTGAGTTAAATATTAGAGGAATGTGTCAGTTTTCATGTAATGGTTCCATCATTCATTAACTTTTTCAATTAGACCAACACATACATCTCTCTCGAGTCAGGAATCTTTTTTATTGTATGCTGTTGGTGTGCCTTGTAACTTTATAAACAGTTATTTTTGTTGACAGCTGTGCTGGCTGTGGTTCCCTGGGTAAAAATAAGTGACCATTAGGACAGGGATGAGCCACCTGATGTACCCGAAATGGTCACTTAGATACTGTACTGTATATGTCATTGTCTTTTAACAAGTGTTTTGCCCCTCCTTCAGGCTCTGGGGGTCGTAGCATTCCGTGTTGCAGCCAGGAGGTGTTGCAGCAGCCGTCTCTACTACACCCAGAGTGTGCATCTATCCCTATCCCTCCTGATGACCCCTACTACTCTACCTACAACCAGACATGTATGGAGTTCACCCGCTCTGCCCCAGCACCCAAGTGTCACTTCGGTATGTCCAATTTCTTTATTTTTTCTACAGTATATTTATCATTGTCAGTTCATTGGGGTTGAAATTTGCTAGAGAGGTGAAGGTGGTCTAGGAGGTGGCCATGCACTAGCTGGGGTCCCTCTGTGAGGGCTGGTCAGCCTCGGCCTCGGCCTCCACCTGCAGGTTGGACCACAGTGAACTTGTTTATCCTGAAGTTGTATATGTGAGGAACAACACACAGAGTCACAAGTACTACACAGGCAAGATAAGGGGTTAAGAGATCAGTCATTTCTGTAGACAAGACATGATGTAGGATCCTGTATGGCCCGAGAACGACTAGGAAAAATTCTATGTTCTCTCACGTCCACCATTACACACATAATCATCTTGTTAAAGGTCCACGGGAGCAGCTCAATCAACAGACCTCCTTTCTGGACGGGTCGGTCATCTATGGCACCTCCGACCACCAACTGGCCTCCCTACGTGCCTACCATGATGGCCTCCTCCTATCCCAGGTGGGTGATTGTAATATGCTACCATGTGGAAGAGGGAGTAGTGGGTAGGTGGTTCAGTCATGTGAGGGAGGGAGTAGTGGGTAGGTGGTTCAGTCATGTGAGGGAGGGACTAGTGGGTAGGTGGTTCAGTCTTGTGAGGGAGGGAGTAGTGGGTAGGTGGTTCAGTCATGTGAGGGAGGGAGTAGTGGGTAGGTGGTTCAGTCATGTGAGGGAGGGAGTAGTGGGTAGGTGGTTCAGTCATGTGAGGGAGGGAGTAGTGGGTAGGTGGTTCAGTCATAGTGAGGTGAGGGAGTAGTGGGTAGGTGGTTCAGTCATGTGTGAGGGAGGGAGTAGCGGGTAGGTGGTTCAGTCATGTGAGGGAGGGAGTAGTGGGTAGGTGGTTCAGTCATGTGAGGGAGGGAGTAGTGGGTAGATGGTTCAGTCTTGTGAGGGAGGGAGTAGTGGGTAGGTGGTTCAGTCATGTGAGGGAGGGAGTAGTGGGTAGGTGGCTAACTCTAGTGTTTATCTCATATTAGGTGGTTGAGTTTTGTGGTCAATTTGTTAAGTGGTGCACCTGCATACTGCTGACGTAATATTCTAGTTTATACTACTGTACTGTCCATAGGTCCTCTATTTAATGTATGTGTGTGTGTGTGTGTGTAATAATAATAATAATTTGTGGTTTATTGAAAAGTACAGCAACGATATACAGTATATACAATATTAGGTATGGGTAGTAAATTGTTTAACTACAGCTTTTAATACAAAAAGGAAACATGGAATGAATATACAAGTTATCTATAAAGCATTAGTAATTTGGTGTTGTGGAGGATAACTTGTGGTACCATATGGTTGTCACAGCACTGTACTTGACCAGTGACCACAGTGTTCTCATTAACCACTTCACTGTTTCATCATCATATTAATTCCTTTCTGAAATGAAACTGTCACTTACATATCAGCCATGAGTTGATGGTCAGTCCTTGATTCTGCACACTGTTTCCCTGTTGGTTGTGTGCTGGTAAATCCTGGAGGAAAACAGTTAATGGGAGGAAGGAGAAAAGAGTTGATAAGTAACTAGCTCAGTGGTTCTCAACCTGGGAACCTGGGGGCCATGGCCCCCAAGGGAGCCAAGGCGAGCTGTTATAAATTGTACGTTTCCAAATAATGTTGGGAATCTGAATTAAACAAAACTTGTATTACTTATTTTGACTTGGCAGAAGAGAATTTTCATTCTTTTTTCTGTCATTTTGTTTAATCATAATGACAATACAATTTTAATATTTACAAACTCTGGTGCTATTTTTTTTTTTTTTTTTTACGGATTATTTAAGATTTCACAGGTCCAGTCCCTGTCTGTGTGACAGGCGCTGGACCGAGCTGCTGAATTGACTTGTTCAGTATGTGTCCGTGTGTCATCCCTTTGTAAGTGGTGATAGGACCGAATAATCTCGGTCTGGCCTGGGATACCATCACGAAAACAGTGGAGTGTATTGTCTCTGAACCATATATTGTGTTTGAGCTTGACTCAAGCATAATATACTTCGTAATTGGTGTTACTTATTTTGTTTCATAATTCATGTGGTCGCTGCTTTATGTGGGTGAAATATTTGTACACTTCCTTTATTAATTATTTCCTTATTTATTGGTGCCATTGTTGTTCATACTCATTCTTTACTTATACAGTAGTACCCCGCTTAACGCGGTCAATTGAACCCACAGGGTACCGCGTTAAGTGAAAACCGCGTTAAGTGAACAACAGAACATATGGGATTAATTCCAATAGAGACTGGCCCGACCCCCAAACTCCACTTTTTGACGACACACAACTATGTTGTAGTAAAAATTTTATCTTAACTTTATGATGGTATGCACACACAATTAATAATTAAGAGAAATATCAATAATATTAGGTTTTTTAACACTTGCATTAGTAGAAAAGATGGCTGGGCACACGGGGATGGGGGGTTGGTTCCGAGGCAGAGGGCAGATTATTGGCCCTCACCTGTATCACTTGTATCAATTGTATCACTATCCACCACAGAGGCTTGCAGGGCCTCTTTGTCAAACCCCTCAAAGGCCATATAAGTCCATATCCTCACTATAATTATCACTATCACTGACTTGGGCCGGCTGTGGTGGGTGGCGGGTGAAGAACTCGGTAATGTTTTGATGACTGGGCGACCTTGTGCGCATCGTGCCCGCGCCGCTTCCCGCGTATATGATGAAAAATTCCGCGTTAAGTGAAAGTTCAGCTCTGGCGAGGCACCGCGTATATGATAAAACGCGTTAAGTGAAACCGCGTTAGGCGGGGTAATACTGTATAATCCTACCATTTTTAGTGCTAAATTGGTTTGACTCACTATTCTTCTCATTCTTCCAAGTTGGGCAGTGCTTGTCAAAGGGGGCGTGTTCTTGCTTACAGGAAGTACACTTCAGCTTGCTAGCTTGAGTGTGAATGTTTACCTGTGTGCATGTTTGTGTATGACTGTATGTGTGCTTTATGTGTGAGTGCATGGGCGTGTTATGTACGTGAATGTGTGTGTGTGTTTGCCATTCTAACTCATGTCCTATTTATCTGTCCTTCTTTATCATTCTTTAGTCTTTATCACTTGTCTGTTTGTCTCTTCTGGGAGGAAAATGAAGGAGGCCACGAGGATGTTGAAAATTCCTCAAGGAGGGAATGGAGTGAAAAAGGTTGAGAACCACTGAACTAGCTGCTCACCCAGAACACTCAAATGGTATATGCTCACAGCATGGTGTGTGTGTGTGAGAGAGAGAGAGAGATACTCCCGGTCCATTTATCTCCGTCTGTACAAATTTTGACCATTTATCCCTAACAAAATCTCCTGTTATTATCTTCAGGTGACACTGGATGGTCGAGAACTTCTACCACCATCAAATGACAGAGAGGATGGTTGTAATGTCCAGGACCAGTACAACTATGACCGCTTCTGTTTTATCTCAGGTAGTTCTTCTACGACCTCTTATGTTATACTTCAGGTATTCTGTGAACTCCCTTTACCCCACCACCACCACCACCAAGAGAATGAGCAGAGTAACATCACACAATCGGTCAATTACAGTACAAGAATAATCTTCAACACAGTGCCCTACACTGGTCTTTGCCAGGAATGCAGTACAGTACAGGTATATGTATTTGAATGCATTTGAATAGAGCATTTCAAGTTAGTCACATTCCCATTCAAATACATTGCTATAAAAAAAAATTGTATTTGCATTGGTATTTGATTACTATGATGGCAACCAAGTCACCAGACCTGTACCCATCCCCTGGTCTCTGCTGCATTTTCTAGGCTGATGCCCTGAGTTTGGTGTGGTAAGTGGTAGGGGGACTGTTTTAGTTTTACCTAACAACTGCCATCAAGTAATCATGGCTAACCCACACTGGTGTGGAAATGGCCGGAAAACACTGATGATGGATATCAAGTGATTGACTACTTTGTACAGTACCATGCTGGTAGTAATAATAAGTCCTTCTTACTTTTACCAAAGTGTTCATGAATACTTTCATAATGTATGTGAACCTAAACTAACCTAACTTAACCTAACCTAACCTAACCCTTATAACCTTGTAACCCATCTGCTGGTCTCCCCCACACACAGGAGACACACGGGTGAATGAGCAGATCCTCCTCACCATCCTCCACACGGTGTGGGCACGTCAACACAACCTGCTGGCCATCACCCTCAAGGACCTCAACCCTGACTGGAACGATGAGATACTCTTCCAGGAAGCCCGCAAGATCGTCATCGCCCAGATCCAGCACATCACTTACCATGAGTACATCCCCAGCATCCTAGGTGGGTTTCTCAAGGCATTCGTAGTCCTAAATAGGTGTCCAGCCTTCTAGGCCTATATGATTTTGTTGATTTCCAAGTCTCTGTCTATCTATCTATCCATCTCTCATTGCTGTTCATTCATACAGGACCCACATTTATGAAACACCTGAAGCTGAGCCCACAAATGGAGGGTAACCACACCACTGACTATGATGAGCTCCTCCACCCATGTATTGCCAACGAATTCGCTGCTGCTGCTTACCGTTTTGGTCACAGTCAAATCCAGGTGAGAGGGAGACAGAAGGTGGGAGAGGTAAGTAGGGTGGGTTGGAGAGGGAGGGAGGATGATTGGGTGGGTTGGAGAGGGAGGGAGGATGATTGGGTGGGTTGGAGAGGGGGAGTGGGTAGGAGGGAAGGAGGTATAGAAGAGCACCTACAATTTTGTACTGAATACCAGTGATTCCAAATTTACATGACAGTGATTTTTTTGCCTTGGGACACTACTAGGTGTCATCTCTCTCACATACACTACACATTGTTTGTGTGTGTATGTGTGCTCTCCTTATGCATTTCCACAACTTTGAAGGTAGACAGCTGAAATTTGGTAAGGAGGTGCAGGTGACAAAGAGAATGGTCATACACTCCCATCTGTCTCCTCCATATAGGTGTAGTCTACCCCCATTCATCCATAAAGGCATCTCCCACCATCAAAGTATCTCTTGCAGGGTCTGGTGCAGAAAATTGATGGGCCAGGCAAGAATGTGGAGTTCTCCCAGTTAAACAGCATCACCTTCCACCCCTTCCCCCTCTATGACCAGGGACACATGGCCAATCTGGTGCGTGGGGAAGGTACTCAGAGTGCTGCTGCTGTTGACACCTTCTTCTCCACACAGGTTAGTGAGTGTGGGTGTTAGGTGGGTGGTACATGTTAGTGTAGGTGGGTATATGTGATTTGTAGGTGGTAATATGTGAGTGAGGTGGGTATATGTGAGTGTAGGTAGGTGTATGTAAGTGTGGGTGGAGATATGTGAGCGTAGGTTGGTGATATATGTTTCTATACACATTAACTTTAACTCTGTGAATTACTTTTAGCTGTATATGAATTACTCTTAGCATTCTCTATAAATTACCTTCAGTTTTCAATGTACCGGTACAAGTGGCCATTACCTAAATGACATCTTGGGCAGGTAACGGGAAAGCTGTTCCGTGGGGACAACAAGTTTGGGCTGGACTTAGTATCTGTAAACATCCAGCGAGGGCGTGACCATGGCATCGGCCCCTACAACCGCTGGCGGATGTACTGCGGTCTCCAGCCAGCTTCTAATTTCTCTGACCTCGCCCATGATATGGACATTGGTGCCCTCAGGAGCATCATGAACACCTACAGGTAGAAGATGTTGTTGAGGGTCCAGTCCATGTAGGAGATGTTGTCCTGTAGAGGGTCCAGCCTATCAACCAAATTATAAAGACGAGTTCATTTTCATTTCCAAGGATGATTTTGGTGATGAAAATACTGTACACTCATCTTTGCCATTTATACACAGTGGAACACAGAACAACATATTTTAAATTTGTTTCCTAAACTATTGCTACACGTTTACCCTCAAGATAAACATTTGAAAAATAATGCCAGCAACACAAACATGTAAATAATGCTTACACTGCTTTATACTACAACTCATACTTTTACTTTATACAACACTCCCTGCCTCCTACAACACTTGTTTTACTTTATACAACACTCCCTGCCTCCTACAACACTTGTATTACTTTATACAACACTCCCTGCCTCCTACAACACTTGTATTACTTTATACAACACTCCCTGCCTCCTACAACACTTGTTTTACTTTATACAACACTCCCTGCCTCCTACAACACTTGTTTTACTTTATACAACACTCCCTGCCTCCTACAACAACTTTACTACAACACTTGTTTGTACTTTATACAACACTCCCTGCCTCCTACAACACTTGTTTTACTTTATACAACACTCCTGCCTACAACACTTGTATTACTTTATACAACACTCCCTGCCTCCTACAACACTTGTTTTACTTTATACAACACTCCCTGCCTCCTACAACACTTGTTTTACTTTATACAACACTCCCTGCCTCCTACAACACTTGTTTTACTTTATACAACACTCCCTGCCTCCTACAACACTTGTATTACTTTATACAACACTCCCTGTCTCCTACAACACTTGTTTTACTTTATACAACACTCCCTGCCTCCTACAACACTTGTTTTACTTTATACAACACTCCCTGCCTCCTACAACACTTGTATTACTTTATACAACACTCACTGCCTCCTACAACACTTGTTTTACTTTATACAACACTCCCTGCCTCCTACAACACTTGTTTTACTTTATACAACACTCACTGCCTCCTACAACACTTGTTTTACTTTATACAACACTCACTGCCTCCTACAACACTTGTATTACTTTATACAACACTCACTGCCTCCTACAACACACTGGGTACCAACATGAGCCCCTTGTGCTTGTCTCTTTAGTTTCCTACAATTTTAATCTTTAGGATGAGAACAGACAATGATTTTTCTCCATTGCTTTATTGTATGTGCTTTCTCTTTTACTTGTTATTAACCCTCTCAGCCTCGCACGACGCCATTGTGGCGTCGAACATAAATGGCAAAAAACACTTAGGGTCAGCCTCGCGTTGCCAACATGGCGTCCAATGAGCTATATTTTCAAATAACTCAAAAACTATTCAGTGAAACTGACTGAACTTTGGATGCCATTTGACAGATGTCATTTTCTTTGTGTGGGCCTTATCACCTTCCCCTAGACGGTCTTGGTCAGCGTGTGCGTGGCAACGCAGCATGAAACCAGTGTCTCTCTGGCCATTAGAGCTAGAGGAGGGTGTGCTGCTCGGCCCTTTGATTATTCCATGAGTTTTTGTATTATATTATTTTTCCTTATACAACGATATTCTACATGCTTTGTTCTTTATTTTGATATATAGTGCATATCAATGAACACCATAATACAAGGAAAAGTGAATGGAAATCGAGATGTTACTAAACCTTTTCCTACTTTTTCAACTTATATTCGAAAAAAGTGGCTTAAATTTAAAAAAGAATTCAATGTTTTATGGTTTCATTCAATTTTTCAGACAGTTTTACACTAGAAGAGACTCCATTACAATCAATAAAACAATTCCATGGCAGTGAAATTAGCCCTGAAAAAAAATCAAAGATTTTTCGGCAATAACCTCCGAGGTTGAGCGTAAGTTTTCATGCACGTATGTGTCTCAGGCTCCGAGGCTGAGAGAGTTAACATTAACTAAATCTGTGTATTGCTGACTTCTCCCTCAGTATTCTTGTCCAGGGATAATAAAAGATTGATTGTCATACTTAATGAATTTACTATACAGTACTTTATACATGTACTTATTATGAGAGAGATGTTTACCTCAATGTTCTGTACACGTGACAGGCAGGTGGATGATATAGACTTCTACACTGGAGGTCTGGCTGAACGACCCATCAAAGATGGGCTGGTGGGTCCAACCTTTGCTTGTCTCATAGCTGACCAGTTCCTCAGACTCAAGCATGGTGACCGGTATTGGTATGAGACCCAAGACCAACCCCAGGCTTTCTCCAGAGGTGAAACAACTAGTGAATCATTTGGTTTTTTACCCCCATCAAATACATTATGCCATATTAGTTATCAGTTTCGCTCTGAAACCTTCTGCCTACAGCAGTCTGTGACCATCTATGATATTAAATAGCTTACTGCAACGCTCTCTTCATGCTACATTTCTCTCTGAATTCCTAAAATGTCATCTGTCCATTTACAATATTTATAGACCATTACAGTACAGTATTCCAAGGTTTATAGAATACTTTCTGACCTGCTATAAAACCCCTGCCCCACCAACATCATGTTATCCAGCATCTGGCTCCCACAGAACAACTTGCGGAGGTTCACCATACGTCCCTATCGAGGATCTTGTGTGACAACGTACCAGAATTGGGGTCTATCCAGCGCTGGCCTCTCAGGAACTTTGCTACCGGCAACCCCAGACTACCATGCTCTTCTCAGTCCATCCCGAGGGTCGACTTGGGGCCCTGGGAGGAAGGCGACTTATAAACAATTCTACGTGGCCATAAGAGTTAACACTTTTGAGAAATTTTCTTTAGATTTTATTTGTTCTTATCAATTGTTTGAGTCTTCCTCACTGCTGAGAGCAGGTTTATAGGATGTGTAGTGTGTATAGGATGTGTAATCATATGCTTAAGCTGTAGGTTTTTTTTTTTTTAATCAAATTGTTTCTATGATTCCCAGAGTGAACTTCACTGCCAGTAATAATGTTTGAGGATATATAATAGATTTCTATGTTCTGGGATGTGTTATAGGATGAGATCTAATATTTGTTACAGGATTTATTGAAACTTTCTTACTTGTTCTATTACTGTAATTGCTAGAGTTAGGTTAAGTGGTGGGAAGATGAATTAAAGCTGTATAGGATGTTTATTCTGTAGAATGTTTCAAAAGGGACAAATGCTCAGAATCTATCTAATCCTGGTAGGAACAAAGGTTGAAAAGGGATAGTTATACTGTAGTACAGTACACATGTTGGGTGAGATCTAACTTGTATATATAGGCTGTTTTGAACCTTATTTGTTCCTGTCACCTCATAGGCTGTCAGTACTGAGATGACAGAAGCATAAAGGGTTACTTACGGTGCAACATATTATACGATGTGAAATATTTTAAGGATTTTTAGAAACCTTTTAATAGTATGGCAGCCAAGTGGATGTAGCACTTTTTCCTGACAGAATAGTCTCAGGTTTGAATTTCGTGACCAGCCACAGAAAGGGGCACACCAAGAACTGGTACTCTTCCCAACTTAGCAGACAAATAAGTGAAAAGCATTAGAGTACAGTGCCAGTCATACTGTCTCCTTGTGTACCCAAGGCTTATTAGTCTTCAGTTCTGTGTTCACACTGCCTGTTTTGGAGCATCAAGCCTGTGGAACCCACTTCATGTTTGGATGGAGGTCAGTTCTTAGTTGGAGAGGGTGGTTATAGTGGACATTTGTGATAAAGGATGTACAGTACTGTAGGATGTAAGCATTAGGGCTGCCCACTGTCACTTTTGGTACTTTCTTCATTGGACAGGCATTGTACTTAGAAGACAGGACAACTACCATATTTTCTGTCTTATTGTTTTTATATCATTTTCACCACTTACCAGCTTACTACCCATTCAGGTGGTTAGTATGGTAGTGAGGGTGACACTGGATAACACCCTTCTCACATGTGTCTAGGTTCAAGCCCTTGGACATATTGGTGAGAGATACACTGTACTACCACCAACACTTTTTTTCAAAAAAATATCTGTAAAACTCACTTGCGTCTCAAATTGCTGAAGGTTAACCCTTAGGGGGATGGGGACACTGACTAAAACCCAAACCTTAATTTTTAAAGAGAACAGCCTGGGTTAACCAGCCACCTAACAAAAATTGTCTATTGAAAAAAACTTACTTCTTGCCTCAAGAATATAGCAAATTGTGTGGAAGAATTGCACTTTTCCATTTAAGGTTTTTTCTAAAGATAAAGAAGGCATCAGTGCTGGTGCTCTGTTTACATGAGCTTTCAGATACATCGTTTTAGTCCGTTAACGATTCATAGACAATAATGACACTATTCCATTTCATGTACCTGATAAGAAACAACAGCAACAGCTTTATAATTTATTTTAAAGTCAGTGGAATATCCCAAAATTGGATGACACTTACTGTTAATAATAGTTGGTCGGATTTCTGTAGGTCACACAGTGGGGATCACATGCTACATCGCGTCAGGTAACAGCAACACACCTTGTGCACATTTCTAGTCTTCTGTGTTGCTGCATTACACACTATGTACCAAGTAATTACAAAGACTATTATGAGTTTACCTTAAGATGAAAAGAACATTATAATTAGTAACTGTAGTATGTTTTTTTCCAGCCTTCAAATTTACCCCAGTAAATATCATCTGACTAGTTACCTTCTGCACTTCAGTATAAAATTTTCTTGGTTTCTCTATCTGGCGGTTGATTTCTTCATGTGCTTTACAAAGTGCACAATTTCGGTTCTGCAGTTCAAGCGACAGTTCAGACATCTTAAGCAAAGTGTCCATCAACAACCAAATTATTTATGAAAGCTGATGGCTTACTTTTTTCAGCCCCTCATACTTTACTCTCTCTCTCTCTCTCTCTCTCTGCACTAGATCTTGAATCATCACAGCTTGCTCTTCTAAAAGCTCTCAAATAGCTTTATAAGATTGCCATATTGCCTCAACAGTTCAGTAAGATGAAGCAACCCATTTCACACTGAAAACACGACCAATTTTCAACAGTTGACGGTGAAGACCCTCAGTACATGCAATCAACTCATCTTGATTCTTAGGAGACCTATGATATAGAGCAGGCATGAGCAACCTTTCCTCAGTCATGGGCCACATTACGATTTGGGTATTTTTCTGCAAGCCTACCCACCAAAATTTATATCCTACCTATCCCAAAAGTAATGTTAATATTGTACAGTATTAGCATGGACAGTGAAACAGTTTATCGTCACGTCTACACACAGCTCCATTCATGAAGTGCCTCACACGCCCTTATTATATATATTTTTATTTAACCAAACTTTTAGATAAATTATTCATGATTATTTTAGTAAAAAAGTGGTGTACAGTATCTAACTTAATTAGAACTGATTTTATAGTCCAGTATCAACATTTCTTAAATGTTTTCCATAAAAGAATTGAGTCCCCATTATTAAATCATGTCAAAATATTTTATTTAAAGATCATTTATTGGAAAAGTCAGGTAGAGAATTTATTCAGGATTATTATGGTATCAAATTCGCCTCTTAAACACAATTAGAACAGATGCTGTGTATTAATAAAACATCATACAGTATTGTACACATTTACTATAAGTAGAACAAGGTATAAATAACTTTTTTGTTGCAGGTGCACAGGGACTTTTATAACACCCTGTACATCTACAATAGCCATCACACCAACTGTGTGGTGACAAAGAGAGTAAACAGTAAGGCAACTTGACCAAGGATAACCGACAATGTTGGTAGATGCTTATTTCCAGGAGCGTCCTTTGTTTATGCTTACCCTCGGTCTCTAATCAGGAATAGTGTGTCTATGTGAGTACTAGTGAACGTTTTTGATAAATTCAACAAGCTTTACATTGAGGTTGGAGGCTTCTCAGGAAATAAATCTGACCAAGAATGATATGGTCTCATCATATCTTTTGGTAAATTCATGATTCTATTTCAGAAATATTGTCTTCATGAATGTGGGGTGTTGCTGATGTACTTGTTCTGTTGAAGAATAGCCATCTGAAAAAGAACGTCTGAATTAGAGGTTTCAACTGAACCTCAATACTGTACTGTAAATGCTCCTCCATACAGGTAGACCCATATTCACGTGAGGGTTACAATGCTCCTCCTTACAGGTAGACCCATATTCACGTGAGGGATACACTCCTGAAAAAATCTTCAAAACTGATTTTTCATAAACTGATACACAGTATATTTTTTTGTCAAACAACATTTTTTTGAGGAAAGTAAAAACTAATGTGTTTATATAGTAAATATAATCTATATATACTTTTTTAAATGTATATAAAGGTGATTTAAAACTTATGGGCTAGGCATAATTTTGTTTTTCTAAACATTTTTAATTATTTCAAAGGTCATTAATTAACAACTAATTACTCATTTTTTTTTACATTGTGGACCCAGATCCTTAATCAGCATGTAAAGTACAGAAGTACTTTTGTGTGAATTTGAATTAAAGCCACGGTATGACCCCAAGTGTCGAAACGCAAGGTATTAGGTCAGGCATATTTTTTACGTTAAATTAGATTTTTTTTTAATGAAAACTACTGTATTTTATGGCATATATGATGCACTTTTTTGTCTGAAAAATGGCAAAAAAAAATCAGCCTGTGTCCTTTATGTGACGTTGTGGTCTCACACAAGCTAATGAATCCCCCCGTTGTTGTCTCCAGTAGGCAAATTTTTAATTAATTAAAAAATATTATTGTAAGTATAAAAGGTAGATCTATAACTCCTCTGTACTATACTGATGACAATAACCTGAAACGATTAACGTCCATATGGCAGGCACCCAACTCTTCAAAGGTAGCTAAGCAGTAACCATTTCTGAACTCTTACAAGTATTATAGTACAGTAGTACACTATTACAATATATTAATGCCATACCTGCAACATTTATTTTTCAGTCTACAAATACCTGATACAAATGAAGATTTGTATGACGTAATGCATGAACACGTAGAGTGCAGCCACTATACTCAGTATACTGGCTCTTCATCCTCGTGCAGCAAACCCCTCGACCCTAGAGGGTCAATTATTGTCAAACATTTCTCTCATCATGGTCAAACCACCACCCCAAATTTCTCTCAACGGATCAACGCGATTCACATGGGTTGCCTAAAATGATGGGAACAAAACGGAAAAAATTGAGAAATCACATCCCTGTCAGCCATGGGGCGATTAAGTTTCAAATTTAAAAATTTAAGTTAATTTAAATTTTTTCCAGTTAAGTTAAGTTAGCCCGATATTTTTAACATTTAACTAATTAAGTTAAGATTTTTCCCATTAAGTTAAGTTAAATTAACCAGTCTGTGTCAAATTTTGTGAGGGGAATTTTCATGTGGATTAAATAACTTAATATCCTGTAAATGTTTTCCAGAAGAGTCCATGAATACTGTAGTTTGAATGTCTGAATAGCCAAACTGAGTCAGGCAGTCAGGTGTACAGTACAGGAAAGTCAACAGTATGGATGCTCACTGAGTGCAAGGGCTGGTGCTTTATATATTATTTGTTATTTTTTCTAAGGAGTTAACCGATAATTAATCGAAGTTAATCAATTAATTTGTCAAAATTTTGATTAAGAAAAGTTAAACTGTTATTTCAAAAGTTAACTAGTTAGCTAAGTTAGTTAATTCCCCTCAGCCTGATCCCTGTATATGGCCATGTGTTTTATATGCAGTAAAATACGGTATGTGTATACTGTATATCGTAAAGATAGTCTACAGTTTTAAGCAAATGCATATGCAGGTGATTTAAACATATAGGCATGGCAGTGATGGTAAAAACAACTTTTTTTTAACAAAAACAATTGTTTATATTTTTTTAAATGCTATTATGTTGATTTTAATAATTTTTAAGTATTTTTAGTCCTTTATATAACTTTTAACCATGCTACTAATCATAAACATTACATTCAGGATGATTTAGCAATCATTTAAACTCTTTTCCATCTCAAAAAATCACTGTGGAAAGACCAAACTTAAAAAACACAAGCTTTGATCAGTCATCCAGACTCATCCCTAAAGCTTAAAGGCAAAAACTAAGTGTAAGTTCATCTTAATACATGGAAAAATTATTCTAATACGCAAGAAAATATGGTATGTTACCTCTGTTACATCCAACTATATACAGTGCTTAGCATAAACCTGCAGTGAATAAATCAGACAGGTTACTGTTGCCTTACCAGGGTGTTTGACTTAAGTTCCTGAGAACACAATACAACTAAGTACTGTGTGTCAGAAACTGATGATAACAATGAAAAAAAAATCTGTATACTTACATGTATATAAGTGCAGCAACAGTAAGGAAAATTGCAGTCATGAAGTACATGGTACCAGGGAAACTTCTTACGGTGGCATTATACACAAGTGTATACAAAGGGTGTGACAGCAGGGGCAGGATGGATTCCCACGAGGCCAAAATAGAAAAAACCTTTCCTAACTCCCTTTGAGGAACGGACTTGCTGATAAAGGAGCGAGTGATAATTAATGGTAGTCCTCCTACACAAGCAACAACACTACCTGCAAACAAAATACTTGGTAATACCTACAGCAAAAAATTACATCTTCACTTTTTATATAATTTTCCATCTCATGCACAAAAATGGTGGCCTGAAATTTCAGCCTCAATGATAATGTCACGGGACATTAGGAAGTGTAATAACCTTAAATACACCTTATTGATGCCAGGTCCTTAACTATGGTGCAAAGGAATACCTATGTAAGATTTAAAAAAAAAAAAAAAAGGCTTACCCTGGATGGTCTTTTGGGCAAAAAATATTTTGTCTTGGAATTGAAAATTGAAGTACAGTACAGTACCTGTACAGTTAACTAATTTAGTACATCCAGAAATAACAGAAAACACCAAAAGTCCCAAAGACATTATGGTCAGTAAAAGAAAAATTTTGTTTTGACTAACAAATGTTAACCATACACTAAAACCTCAATAATTTCAGTTTCACTAATTGGAAGTACGGTATACTGTAACGTCTAATTCGTAAATTTTTTGCAAGGGTCAAATCTTTAAAAATTCTAAGTTTTCAACCAACTGTACAAATTCTCTGAAGTTTGAGTGAAACTACCCATGTAATTCAAGCAGTCGGTAGGTTGAAACAGGCAGTTTCCCTTTGTGTGGGGCTGCAGTAAGAAAATTTTTTTACTTTAATATCTAAATTAAAATCGGAAGTGAAATTTTCCGATTAAAGAAAAATGCAAACAATTTTTTTTACATTGTCTTACTTAAGTAGAGATACCATGGGTAAAGTGCAATCCCTTGTATAATGAGGCTGCAAATTTTTGAAACACAGCCCAGCAGTGCCAACAAGGAGTCTTCTACTTGTAGTCGATAGCTGAGTAATGGCAGGATGACAGTCATTGCTGAAAGATAAAAAAATAATAATAAATGATATAGTAATTTATTAAAGTTATATGCTGTCATAAAAATATTATACTGTACATACAAATACAGGCAGTCCCTGATTTACAAAGGTTCAGTTTAACACCTTCATTTGGCTAAACCAGATGATTTTATTCACCAAAGAGGGAACCCTAGCCAGGACTTACCTACAACATACTGTACACACAGTAACAGGATTTACCTACAACATACTGTACACACAGTAACAGGACTTACCTACAACATACTGTACACACAGTAACAGGACTTACCTACAACATACTGTACACACAGTAACAGGACTTACCTACAACATACTGTACACACAGTAACAGGACTTACCTACAACATACTGTACACACAGTAACAGGACTTACCTACAACATACTGTACACACAGTAACAGGACTTACCTACAACATGCTGTACACACAGTAACAGTTACCTACAACATACTGTACACACAGTAACAGACTTACCTACAACATGCTGTACACACAGTAACAGGACCTTACCTACAACATACTGTACACACAGTAACAGGACTTACCTACAACATGCTGTACACACAGTAACAGGACTTACCTACAACATGCTGTACACACAGTAACAGGACTTACCTACAACATACTGTACACACAGTAACAGGACTTACCTACAACATGCTGTACACACAGTAACAGGACTTACCTACAACATGCTGTACACACAGTAACAGGCCTTACCTACAACATACTGTACACACAGTAACAGGACTTACCTACAACATACATCACACTTACCAACAAGGCTCACAAGGGTCTCCACCAGGTTTAGATGAACATACTGGTTGTAATCCCATCCAAATTTCCACTTCACATACAGGTATGAGAAATTACTTGAACCTGAAAAAATAATATAGTTTTACAAATCAGTATTGTTTGCCCATAGAAGCAGCATTACTTACTTTAATGTAAAGATAATAAAATTGTCCCTTGCATTCTGGAAATGTGGAGCCTATAGCCCCACCTTTTGGTGTTATGTAATTGTAAAAAAAAAAAAAGTAGAAAACCTCTATCTCTTGAGTTATGCAAAGGTTACATTTGTTATCCACAACTTGAAGTTCTTTAACACAAAACCTATTTTCCCACAGACTTCCATTATAAAATTGAAGAGACATTCTTACCAACAAAGTTTTCCCCCAATAAAACACACTAAAATAACTCCCCAAGGCCTTTTAAAGTACATATTGAAAACTTAAATATTTTTGTAAATAACGTACTATACTATAGAACAAAAGTTGCAGAAAATTGGCACCAAAAGTTCATCATGTGGACCTTGTGACATGTTGATCAAAACTACATACTAACCTTGGGACAAATCCACAAACCTGTTCTTAAGTTATTTTGATGACACACACACACACACACAAAGGCAGACAACACTCTGACCCACAGTTACAGGCAGGGTAATAAAAGTTAAACTTAACAAAATTTTATCAACTTACCAAAACTAAACAACAGTAGGCACATGGCTGTCATTAATAAAAGGATTTTTGCCCGTCCTCTGTCTGGTCGTGACTTCATGACAACAGCAAATGTTTCCTTGACATTCTTGGTGTTAAAGATATCTCTGAACCTGTTCCCAGGTCTGTGAGTCAACTCACAAGTTTCTGGTTGGTATTTTGAGAAGGGACCACGCGTATCTTCAATGCGTATAATAGTATATATTATCCCAAATAAGAAAAATAAGCCACTGAATCCATAAACTCCAGCATATCCAAGACGATAAAACAGATAATCACTCAGTAAAAGTCCAATGGGAGATGCTAAGCCAAATCCTAAATCCAGGAAAGCAATACGCATAGTTCTTGCCCGAAATTTGGTTATGTCAGCCATGTATGAGTAGGCTGCCATCAAGAGGGTGATGAAGCCACCAGTTAAGGCTTGAGGAACAGCAGTGAGTAAGATATACATTGAAGGAAGTTCTATCCATAATGCATTCACCTGTAAAAAATAACACACCTTTAGTCTTGATCAATTTTATCTTAACTAAATTTTAAAGACTAGTGCAACATGACATCAAGCCAACTGCATAACAGGGAGACATTAATTACTGTACTGTACTGTATTGGAAAATGTTCCATAAAACAGAGATACTGTACACTGATAAGTAATAAGGCACAATTATAATTTACGTAAGCTTGAGTTAATGAAATTTTGACAGGTAGTAAACATCCAGATTTAACAAGGGTGTATGTGTCTAAAAATGTACACTTATAAGTGTGTTTTTATTACTTCTGCTGACAGAAACAAAAATTATAAATACATCTCCACTTTTTTTGCTGTTGATAACAATTGATTCATTCTCTTATTTTTCTCTCCATTACCCATTGAGTTATTTGCTGCTGTTTTTTACATTTTCACAATACTATAACAACCCAAAAGCACTAAATAAACCAGGCAAGTGCTGTATGTCTCGCTGTAAACAGATTTGACAAACAACTGAGTTTCCAAGACAAACCTCGATGGTCAGGTGCATTCGGCTCGGCTCAGGTCAGAATCAACATGACCTGCACCTTCTAACATTTTCTACGGCTTTTGGGGTTTTTCGGTTTCAGGAATTTAAGATAAAGGATGCTCAACCTGTACTGCTCTAGTTCATGGCTAATGCACTTTACTAGCCAGCCTTCTGCAATGACAGCAATTACCCCAAGTTTTTTTGTTGGAATGCTGGTGGAAAGACAGTGCTTAAGCTAACTAAAGATGAGTTGTAGGTGGAAATGTTGGTAACTCACTAAGTATAACATTGTAGCAAGGCAATTCCCAACTAAAGGAACTATCATAGGTATTTTCCGCCCATGTATGTCACTCCAAGAGCCCAGGAAGAGCACAAAGAACACAGCTGGGATGTTGGTCATCAGTGAAGAATACATGTTGATGATGGTGACAACTTGTTGGACTGACGCTTGCTTATCAGGGTAAGATGATAAGTTGGCACAAATCGCCGGCTCATTATGTTGTTCTCGACAAACCTGTGAAGTGAGAATTATTGTACAATATAGATACCTGTACCTGTATTAATCTAGACAGATAGATATATGTTCAATAAAACTGTAATTCAAGGTCACAGTGGTTCAGCATATACATAGACAGAACAGGTATACAATGTACAGTTGCAGACAATTTCCCTGGACACTTGGAAGCACAGTATCTGACATGTAAGTACAGTAATATCTCCGTTAGCCGGAATCCCTCAAACCTGGAACTCTCCGATAGTCAGAATTGAAATTTTCTCGGAAAATCGTTCCCAAAACTGGAATTTTCTGGAAAATTCCGGCATTGGGAATGATTTTCCGGGGGGCACATTTTCCGGAAAATTCCGAGAACATTTTCCCAATACCCGGAAAATTCCGAGGATGGGGGAGTTTTTTTCGGGTTTGAGAGATAAAAATCAAGCGCATTTTCTGGAAATTCCGAGAAAATTTTTCCGTTACCGAAAAAATTCTGGAAAATTACGGGGATGAGGGATTTTTTCTGATTTTGAGATTCGTCTCGTTCCCCGGAAATCTCTCATTCCCGGAAGTGCTCTGCACCAATTGTTTCGGCTAACGGGAATATCACTGGATTATTAAGTGATGAGGGATTGCAATGTTAACTGAAAGTATTTTCTCATAATTTTCTTTATACTGTATTAAGGATTTATTTCCCATTTTGTGGTTCCCACAGAATAAGTGATGATAAACAGCATTATTAGATGTAAACCAATCATTTATAAGACCCAAAAATAATGTAGAGGCCAGTATTGCCAAGTGTTCGGGGAATTTTGTCCGCAATTGCACATACGGTACATTGTTGGTATACAATGTACAGAAGTCCCTTGACAAACCCACAAAACTTGTGGGCTGGGACGAGGCTTCAAATTGCTTTACATGAGGTGCCATCTAGTTTTGGGTTTCTGAACTACGCAAACAATTTGTTTAAAGCGAACCTCATTTAACATGTCACAAAAGTTGATATGTTCCAGACATAGTACAAACAAATAATACATAAACATACATTAATATAATTAAGTAGAACTACACTACAAATGAGTAGTACTACTGGTTTTATGTAAGTTGAAGGATGATGGTGGTCTAGAATAAGGTGACCTGTGAGATGGCCATTGTTACATATAATAAAACTATAAAAGTTGTGGTAAAATCATTTCAATACTCTAATATGACTTAGAAATAAAGAAAAGATGATATAAAACTATAAATAAGAAAAATGACGAGCATGAGTGTGCATGTGTGGGAAGTGAGCGTATGTGTGGAGGCAGTTGACTGAAACTGCATTGCCAGTCTGTGAACCAATTTAATTTTGGGGGTATAATATTGGGGTTTTCTTGTCATTGGGAACTGAACCCTATAGTTTCCCAGTTCTATTACTTGCTATCCAAAAATTTGATATATGAATGGTTTTCATGGAACCTAACTCATTTAGATAATGAGAGACAAAAAGGTTTTATCATCCAGTGGTGGTCAAATGTTCTAGAGTTCATAAAGTCCCCTGGTGATTGTCTTTTCCGAGTCCCTTTAGAAAACATCATTATGTCCGCCATACTCTTTGCTTCATGACTTCTTCACTATGTGTGCAGTAACTTAGACTTGCATGAAATCATCATGGACTCCTAATGATGCATTCTTCACGATCCTTAAACTTGTCGGAGGAAAACATCACAACAGAAATAATAACAACTGGAGTTACAAGCAGAAAATGATGGAGTGTATGTCAATGTTACATAAGTATGACTTCCCTACAGTAAACTACAAACCCAAAAATAGGTATTTTGTAAACCCCCAGTTCTGTCCAGTATATTTTTACATACCTTAAAAAGCAATAAATTGGTGCCGAGGGAAGACTGAACCATCAAGCCCAAAACATTAAAGAAGAGTATGGGCTCTACGGTGATCCCCTGTAGACCTTGAGCCACTCTTCTGCAACATTCAGTTTTCTTATTGTCTTCTTCTCCAATAGTTTGGCCATCAAAATGGGCAGAATTTGTTATGTCTATGGAGTCTAAACACTCACAGTTGTGTTCACTGCCCACACCATCACACAGGAGTGGTGCATCACCTCTGTCATCCATCATGCTTGATAGTCACATGGATGGATACAATTGATTCCACAAATTCTTTTGAGATTTTAAGGCTTAATTTTGTAAAGGTCAGTAAATACCTAATGATTCATATTATTAGAATTATTGCAAATTTATGAAATGTACATCTAATGTGGTCTTGTTAAAAGTATCTTGAGGAGAATACTTTAATGACTAGGTTAGGTTAGGTTAACCTTTGATTATAAAGTTTTATGAAGTATGGTACAACTTCATATTGTTTTAAGATGTATGGTACAACTTCATACTGTTTTACAATGTATGGTACAACTTCATACTGTTTTAAGATGTATGGTACAACTTCATACTGTTTTAAGATGTATGGTACAACTTCATATTGTTTTAAGATGTATGGTACAACTTCATACTGTTTTAAGATGTATGGTACAACTTCATATTGTTTTAAGATGTATGGTACAACTTCATACTGTTTTACAATGTATGGTACAACTTCATACTGTTTTAAGATGTATGGTACAACTTCATACTGTTTTAAGATGTATGGTACAACTTCATATTGTTTTAAGATGTATGGTACAACTTCATACTGTTTTAAGATGTATGGTACAACTTCATACTGTTTTAAGATGTATGGTACAACTTCATACTGTTTTAAGATGTATGGTACAACTTCATACTGTTTTAAGATGTATGGTACAACTTCATACTGTTTTAAGATGTATGGTACAACTTCATACTGTTTTAAGATGTATGTACAACTTCATACTGTTTTAACCTTGTCTGAAGATATGTTTTTGTGGTCATAATGTAGTAGAACAAGAATGAGCCAAGAGACATTATAAGCTTCCATACTGCAAATTCCCATACAGAGCACAAGACAGTACTGTATCTCACAACATGAATATGGTAATTGAAGACAACCTTGCTATGCTAATGAATAGAGCATAGATGTTTACGGTAGGCACTTGAAAGCAGACAAATAAGCAAGACAAACAGCCAAATTAGGCAAAAGTATGCAATATATACAGTAAAATTGAAAAAGGCATTAATTATTTTACTTCAAAAAGTAACTGAAGAAATTTGATGTAGTACAGTATACAGCTCCTCCCCGACTTACGACCTACTCGACTTACGACCACCCGGACATACGACCGCCTCAGTCGTACCAAAATTTTGTCAATTTACGTATTTTCGAGTCCCAACGTCAGTGGCTGTGCTGTGTACTGACAAAATTTTCGTTTGTAATTCCCTTTAAAATGGCTGGCAAGCGTAAAAGTGAGAGTTTTGTGGTGCTGAGAAGAAAAAGAGACACACCCCTTTTAGATTTTCTATGTACGTACTGTATTATTTAAGCATTTCGACCTACAACCATTTTGACTTACGACCTGGATTTGGGTCCCTAACCCCGTCATAAGTTGGGGAGGAGCTGCACTATTACAATACTGTATTGTTAATAAAATAAATAACAGTTAACCAATAATATGTTGGAAAAATAATTTATTTCTAATAAATTTCTCAACTGGAACTTTGCTGCTTCTCAGAGATAAAATGTAAGCATCTACAGGTGTGTACATAACTGTAGCCTCACTTGGTACTGTACAGTAGCTAAAACAACTATCTGTGCATTCTTTGTGGGATACAATATGAGACCATGGACGATAAATTTTCATCACTAGTCACACATATAATTTTGGAGCATAACGACCCCCACCTGCACAGATAGTTGTTTGAGCTACTGTATATTCTCCTTGGTCTATGTCCTAAACAATACTTCAGAGTGACATAAAAAGTGGTGCAGTATCAAAGTCTGTGGCATTTTGTGATTGAGGTAGCACTAGTCAATGGATATATTTATCATACAGTATACAGTCAGTTCTGCTATAACGCGATAGTTGTGTTCTTGTAAAACATCGTGTTATAGAAATTCGCGTAATAGAAATAACAGGGCTTATGGAGAAAATAGGGTTAGGTGCAGATTACTACTCGAAATCGAAAAAAATTTAGTAGTTAGCCTAACACAAAGGTTAACAGTCTAAATAAATGTTACATTCATATCTAATAATGAAATCATACAGTAAATGTAACACTTTACCTTGAAAAAATATGAATATAACTTGATGGGGGAGAAGGGTGATTTTGAGGTTGATAACATCGAGCTTCTCTTCAAGGGTTATAGCCTTTCTTTTACGATCATCACCGGGAATGCGATCACCAGAACGCTTCTTGGAGATATTCTTCTTTACCATATTCACAGTTAATACCACAAAATTGGAGAAATAGTAAGCAAAAATCGCGTTACAGCAAACAAGCGTTCGCGTTATACAAATATCGTTCCTGTATTCATAAATCGCGTTAGAGCCAATTCGCGTTGTCAAAAACACGTGTTATAGCAGAACTCACTGTAATACACAAAACCCATTGAAGAAATTTACAAAAAAATTAAGGAATTTGTAATAGATGGGCTGCTAAAAGGATATGCCTAAAGAGGTCAAAAGAAAAGGGGCCACAGGAGTTGTGACCCAACAGAAGTTAGGTCAGTAGAGTGCCACTTCTCTAGGAATAACAAACTAAAATAAAAATCTCCACCAAATATATTGTTTGCAGCCTTCTAAGTGTTCTAAAAGCTTGGTGCAAGTGCAAGCAAACATTATGTGAACTGTGTACAAGTACTGTACTGTACTGGTAAGCCACCATTATGCATTGAGCCAAATTTTGAAGAGTATCACACAAAGGTAAAATAAGAAGAAAGAAAATCTTATCAGTGCATTGAAAGTAATACTACAGCACTACATAGGAAACTTTTGAAATGCATGTACTGTAGCTATGTGCTTTTAGATTTAGGGTTTCTGTTGTATTGTTCATTATAGCAACTGTAAGAGTTTCTTAGAAACACTGCACAGTATATCCAAAGTTCATGATGCAAAAGCAATAGAAAATATAATAATATAAATTCCACGTTTGGCTGGATAACTGACACATTTTGGGAACCAGAGCGAAATCTAATTTCGCGGCCAAAGGGTTACTGGGCCGAGACTTTCATCCCAATGAAGAAAACAGAACATGAACCACGACTCTGACATGAGGTTCTTTGGTTTTGTAGGTAGTAGGCAGCTACCAAACAGGGAGGTACTACTGCCTGGGAAGATATTGGAAGCATAACGTGTTGCCTAATGGTAGACCCTGCTGCTGTATGACATCACGAAAATTGTGACCAAGTCCCAGGTTGCTCATTTGACTTTCTGCTTCATTTACACGCAATTGCAGGGTCTCAATTGTTTCTCTTACCATTGACAACACAACATACATATATCATTTCTCACTTTTGATCTTTATTTTTCATTTTTGTATTTATAGTTCTTTATTATTATTATTATTATTACAGTTACTGTATTATTATCATCATTATTTTATTATTTTATTTTTGTTTGTTTATCATAAATTTTATTTATTATGAATTATTATGACTATTATTATTATTATTATTATTATTATTACATTTTTGCCCCCCAGGCCCCGATGTGGGTCAGTGACCTGTGTCCAGGTGGGCCAATCCCCATAAAAAAAAAAAAAAAAAACTGAAATTCACCACAATCCTTTCTCAGTTTCAGTTGAATTAAGAACATCTTTAGGGAAGCAAGTGGGGTAAGTATCTTAATTCACTTTCTACCATCACAAAAGCTATTTACATTACCAAGTCAACCCTTTGTGGCCTGGAGAGACTCTTGAATAATGGGGTTTCCTGTACCGTACTTGGTCAGTTTATAAAAACAATTAAGCTACAGTAAAAGCAATGTACAATACTGAACTTTATTACTTTTTTACTTTTATCCTCTTCACCACTGATCGGCATGTTAGCCGCTTGGGCGATCGGTCACGTCTCTGTTACGCACTGTTGGAAAGTACTGGGCATGCATCGGCTTCTGAATGTACCTGAACCTGCTCCATTGTTGGTCAAGTCTGGTCTTGAAAGAGCTCACACTCGGTGCCATCACAACACTCTCTGGTAGATTGTTCCAAGAGTTCAAAACTCTCACTCCAACAAAGTTACCCCTCACAGTTTTCTGGGTTTGTGGCTTCTTCAACCTTGAGCTCCGACCCCTTGTGAAGCGAGCGTCCGTCAGCTCCGAGTAAGGACACTCGACTGAATAGTGCCCTTTGAGATGTTTATATACCTCAATTAGGTCGTCCCTTGCCCGTCTGTAGTATAAGCTAGGCAGGTTCAGGCGCTCCAATCTCTCAGGGTAGCTAAGGTTTCGAAGTGCAGGCACCAGTCTGGTGGCCCTCCTTTGGACATTTTCAATTAACTGACAGTCCCGAGCATATCTCGGGGGCCAGACGGGATGACAATACTCCAGACGGGGAAGCACCTCACTTTTGAAGATCGTTACGAGGGACGGACCGTCTAGATATCTGAACAACTTTCTCATTAGACCTAATAATTTAGTTGCCTGATTCACCTTCTTCTCGCAATGGCCCGAGAACTTCAGCTCATTGTCCACATACACACCTAGGTCCTTCTCACATTCAGTCTCTACTAGTGCAGTGTCTTCATCCCGTTGGGACATATAATACGCCTCCTTACCGTTGGTATGCCCCAGGTGCATTCTCTTACACTTCGTGACATTGAATCTCAGCAGACATTTATTCGACCATTCTTGAAGCTCACAGCGATCCTTCTGCAGCTCTTCACAGTCTCCTTGGTTCTTAATTTCCTGAAATAACTTGCCGTCATCGGCAAACATTTGTATGGTAGAATGTAGAGTCAGGCATGTCATTTATCAAGCAAGCAAACAAATAACAGCGGGCCCAATGCACTGCCCTGTGGTACCCCGCTTGTGACAAGTATACATGATGATTTTGAGCCATTAATCAACACACACACACACACACTGCTTGTGGTCATGGAGAAAGTCTCCGATCCACACTAGGACATTTCCCCAATCCCATAACCTCCCGGTGTAATTTTCAGCCTTTCACGGGGTATGCTGTCGAAAGCCTTGACAAAATCTAGGTATAAATTGTCGATATTACCACCCTGTTTCAGAATTTGGGTCCAAACATCCAGTACCTCGAGTAATTGTGTTAAACTGGAGCGCCCCAACATTAAACAGTGTTGGCAATCCTTTACAAGGTTGTTTCATAGTAGATGTTCCATCATGGCATCTCTTATAATACTGTACTCTCAAATACTTCACATACTATGCTGGTCAGGCTCACTGGTCTATAGTTATTCGTGGAGTGACGATCGCCCTTCTTGAAGATGGGACTCACTAAACCATTTTCCAATCACTGGGGACCTTTTGCTCATCCAAGCATTAACAGAACAGGATCTTCAGGGGCTCGGCAAACTCGTTGCACAACTCTCTTAGCACTCTGGGATGCACCATGTCAGGGTTGGGACTCTTATAAACCTTGAGCTTTGACAGTTTATTTCTTATAACCTCTTCTGTGAACACAATGTGGGTCAGTGATGTGTCGAACCATTTGTCCTCAAACACAGGAAGAGTGATCGCATACTCTCTCTTGTGAACACTGAGGAAAAGAAACTGTTCAATGCCTCAGCTTTATCCTGGTCAGAATCTGCGTAACTACCATCTTCAAGCCTCAGGTCCGATACTCCTACTAGCATTTTTAATTTTGATTTTGCATAGCAGTAAAATGCCTTTGGGTTTGACTTGACCTCACTTGCAACCAGCTTCTGGAACTCCTTTTCAGCCCTTCTACACTCTGACTTTGCTTGGTTCCTGGCTCTTGCACATATCCTCCTGTCCTGCTCATCATTTGACCTAACCCAAGCCTTGAATTTCTGGGTTTTCTTCTTAACTTTGTCCACCGCCACATAGTTCATGTGTGGGGGTCTCCTCGTACTCCTGGAGGCACTGGGTTTGGTTTTGGGTATCCTGTATATTTCTCGATCAAATAGGTCACTTTACTAATTATGATATTCAGCTTAGTGTCTGCGTTCTCATGCCTTTGTGAGTTAGGCCAGTGGATACCCCTCATCTCCTCCCTCATCCTGCAGTAATTTCCCTTGCAATATTTGCACCTTGGCCTGGTTTTGTAGTGAACGAAGTAACAGTTAAATCTGAATGACAACATTACATGGTGACTGGTGCCAACTGGGGCAAGGTGTTCCAGTTTGGCCACCATACCCTCCTCGTTTGTTATGATGAGGTCTAGTGGCTTGGGTGTTTGCTCCCCTCTGTAATTTGTCGGGTCTCTAACATGTTGGAACAGAAAATTATCTCTCATAGTTTCCACAAAAAGAGTAGCAGGGTTATTTAAGTCATTTGGCGTGAACTCATTTCTCCAGTCGATGTCGCCATACTTACAGTCCCCCATGATGAGGTGGCTAGGGTTGAGCATCGCTGTATTGTCTATTAAGGCTCTTAGGTTCCTTTGGTCTGATAAGCTACAGTTTGGGGAGCTGTAGATACACCCGACAATAAGTAAGTCTCCTCCCTTTAATTTAAACCACTTGGATTCTTCAAAAACATACTCTCCTTGTACTCTCGGCTGGCTGGCTCTAATGTCTTCTCTAGCATAGATAACCACACCCCTCTTGCAAGTTTCTTGAGAAAGGTTCATAAATAAGTCATATCCATCAATACTGAACTCACATTCCTCTGGGTCAAGTCTCCTGTTCTTGTACAACAGTTCTACAACAACCACTATATCGGGTTGGTGTACCTTCAGTAGTGTTTCAAACTCCTCTCTCTTATCAAGGAATGTGTCAGTATTAGTGTACATGACATTCAAACCAGAATTTGTTTTCGGTAACATCTCTGCTCTCGGTAGTAACTCCGCCCCCTCCCCCCCTCCATTCTCAGCAGCTGCAGCATTTACTAAATACCATGTACACTGTATTTTGCAGGGTGTGGCTAGAAATGTCATTGTTTACATGGCGCTCGCCTTCTCCTGGGTGAGAGGAAGAGTTGGTGCCTCCTCCCGGGTGGGGGTGGAGGGTGTACCGCTGCCCTCTGGCTCTGTTTAATTAAACTAAAAAAATTACATGTTGTGATTTAGTAATCATGGCTCGCAGAATCACTATGTGAAGCAATGGCAGGATGCTGACTCAGGATATTTCAACTTAATTGATGTCAGTGGGAAGTATACCGGTGTTCCTTGTTTAACGATGGGGTTAGGTTATTTTAAGAAAGCACTAATTTAATCAGCACTAAAAGGTGTCATTATACTGGTCTGTATGGAGATATGTTCCTACACACATTACACTTATGGTACCTAAAAGCAGCATATTTGGGTATAAGTAAACACATTATTACACTGGTGTATTTATTCAACCAACTGAATAAAACTTTTATCATTGTCCCATCCATCAAGCCATCAGCTAGTGGCTCCAATCACAATCAAACAAAAATATACAGTACTTTGTAAGCCAATGCAGTTTCATACCATGAGAAAAATTTAACAAAAGCTCAAAATAGTATTTCACGATTACTACAAAGCCTTAAGGGAGTGGTGCTACTGTTGTGGACCCCATACGCTACACTACCTCTTCTATGGTATACCTTTTGGGATAGACCAACCAGTTGAAATAATGTACTTTGATGTGTTTCAAACAATTTTGACCATGATTTGTATCAGAAATGAGCCATTTTGAGTTATCACCCCTAAACTAAACTAAACTAAGCTAAACTAAACCAAACCTAACCTAACCAAACACCTGTGGTGGGCCCCCAGTTTTCTTAACTTATTTGGAATGAGAAGAATGCTGTGGCTTGCAGTGCAGTACTGATCACAGTAAGAAATAAGTTTGTCCTCACAGAAGAGACGGTGTTTTTCACAAACCCAACCTATGGGTATGTTAGTTCAGGTTATATATATATATATATATATATATATATATATATATATATATATATATATATATATATATATATATATATATATATATATATATACACATACTATGTGTGTGTGTGCATATATATATATATATGTATATACACTGTTAATGAATATGTATTTCTTTGTGTGTGAACCTCTGTCCTGCGTGGCAGTGAGAAGTGATACCACCCTCAGTGTCAAGACCTGACTGAATTACTCAGAATAGGCAAACTGTACTCCAAGCTTTGTCAATAAATTTGTTAAACTAAATGCTTTTTCGTTTCCACTTTTGTGTTTAATATCATATTAGTGTAGAAAAAATTCAATCAATTCGGACAATTCCTTCTGGTGGTTACCCTCTTCTACACCTTTACCAGGAAAAGTGATAGAGATGGGGGAGATCTACCTATAGCTACTATTCATTTGCAATTATCTTTGTAGTCCACTTGTAATCTAATAAAGTACCGACCAACCTCCCTACTCCAGTAAACTAAGTGGTGAAAATTATATGTAAAATAGTAAGACCTACTATTATAGGTTAGTTGCTTCATTCGCCTTCTCACAATGGCAAGAGGACTTCAGCTCGTTTTCATCGTACTCATCCACGTTATGTTCACACTCCTCTGATAATGGTGTTTCTTCTTCCCGTTGGGTAACGTGACACGCCTTCCTCACATTGTTATATAACAGAACATAAACAGTGTACATAACTCCCAGTCATCAGAGTCACATTTCTACATATTGAAACATATTTCTCTCGTACTTTAAGAAAATCATTTTCATTCAAACTAGCCTCATACACATGTAAATATGTTTACAGATAACTTCATTTAGATGATTTAATTCTTGCCTTCAGCAACAGTGAATCATTGTTGCCACATTATAATACTTGTACATAAATATCTTAAAATAAGTCATATCGATAAAATTAATATCATTCAAAATCTCATAATTCAACCCATTAATAAAGTTGTAATTTAATAGAAAATAATATTATAATTTTTGTATGTAAGAGCAAAACGCTTTTAGTAATTTCTACAAAGATTATCCGACAACCTCGTGACTAATGACCTCATCCATTTGTTTGTTGACATGTCACTTGAGTTAAAAATATCTAGTGGTTCATGTAGCTCCATTTATGGTCTAAACACTATTTAATGGTTCATACAGCCCTTATGGATCTTCACACACACATATGGTGGCTTTGCTACAGTTTTTCGTCGTTTTCGTTCAAGTGTTGTGTGAGGATAAGGTCAGCGCAGACAAGGGACGATGGTGACCCAGACAACACGGCTGCATCCCAAGGCGTCTCTTGGTACCTGTGTGGACGTAGGCGACATGTTACCTGGGGGGTTGTAAATTATAATCTATGGTTGTGCATTGTTACCTGGAGTCATACCTTGTTACCTGGAGTCATATCTTATTACCTGGAGTTGTACCTTGTTACCTGAAGCCATACCTTGTTATTTGGAGTCATATCTTGTTACCTCAGGTCACTTACCTGGAGTCATATCTTATTACCTGGAGTCGTACCTTGCTACCTGGAGTCATACCTCGTTACCTGGAGTCATATTAGCTGAGATAGTGTATTGTTAGCGGAGGTCCCGTGATGTGAAAAATCTGAGATTGCTAAAAACAGCCCGAAATCGTTGCAAGAGAACTGCGTTCGCCAATCCTCAGATATGAGGACGACACTTGATTTATTTATACATTGTTACCTGAAGTACAGTAGTACATTATAACTTGGGTTCGTACATTGTTACCTGAAGTACAGTAGTACATTATAACTTGGGTTCGTACATTGTTACCTGGAATCCTTCAATGATACCCTCCGTGCTATGATTTCTTTTTGCCTATTGAGAGAGCTACTTCTATTTCCATCCCCACTTCCTTTCTCAGATTCAGAGAAAAAAAGTGCTCTGATCTCTTAATTTTTTAAAAAGATAGAGAAGCTACGGATATGATAATTAATTTTTTTCACAAAATAATTGATGACCTGTTCCTGGTGTCGTGATGGGCGCCGGCGTCCAACAAGCTCCTGACTACGTGAACGAGGCCCTTCTCTGCCGCCAGGTGGAGCGGGGTGTCTAGGGAGGCGTTGACGGAAGTGGGGGAGGCACCGTAGTCTAATAACATCATCACCAGGTGGTAGTTGCCGACCCTCACCGCACAGTGTAGTGCCCGGTCACCTAGTTGACTCTCCTGGGCTGCCAACACATAGTGTGTATTTTGATAATAATGACATAACAGTAATAGTGATGATAATGATAATAGCAGTTGTTAAATACAGAAATGATATTAATGAAAACATAACTGATGATAAAAACAATAAAAAGATTAAGATTGTGAAAAATATGCACAAGAAAAAAAGGAACTATTGACATATTTGAAAAGTGGAAGACAAATCTATAGTAAATGTAGGTAGAGGAAGTGACTCACCCTCAGTGGAGGCGCCCAGGTGGAGGAGGAGCTTGGCACAGTGGAAGGCGGTGTGGTAGAGGGCGAGGTGGAGTAAGGTGGCGCTCACCCTGCGAGGTCGGCCTTCAGATGAGGCCCCCAACACTAGCTGGTATACTGCCCCCACTTCTATGTTGCCGGGGATACATGATACCACCTGTGGGGTGAATCAGTGACTCAATTACTAACGGCGACTTACGATGAATCATGGGACTTACAGTTAGTAATGATGACTCACAGTGATTCATGGGCTTCAGTAACTAATGATGATTTATGGAGACTCAAAGTTCTTACACCGAGTCAAAAGATAACTCATTGTAAATGAAGGTGACTCAGAAGAGTTTAGAAGGACTGGCGATGTCACGTGACTCACTCATTGGTATAAGCTGGAAAGCCTCTTCTATCTAACCGGGCGAAAATCACATCTTTTACTTTTATCCTCTTCACCACTGATCGGCTCGTTAGCCACTTGGGCGATCGGTCACGTCTCTGTTTCTTTACCTTTTCTTTTATCCTCTTCACCAAATGATCGACTCGTTAGCCGCTTGGGCGATCGGTCACGTCTCTGTTACGCACTGTTGGCAAGTACTGGTCATGCACCGGCTCCTGAATGTACCTGAACCTGTTCCATTGTTGGTCAAATTTGGTCTTGAAAGAGCTCACACTCGGTGCCGTCACAACACTCTCTGGTAGATTGTTCCACGAGTTTACAACTCCCACTCCGAAAAAGTTTGCCCTCACAGTTTTCTGGACCTGCGGCCTCTTCAATCTTGAGCTGTGACCTCTTGTGGGGCGAGCGTCCGTCAGCTCCAAGTAAGGACACTCGATTGAATAGTGTCCTTTGAGATGTTTATATACCTCAATTAGGTCGTCCCTTGCCCGCCTGTAGTATAAGCTAGGCAAGTTCAGGCGCTCCAATCTCTCAGGGTAGCTGAGGTGCCGAAGTGCAGGCACCAGTCTGGTGGCCCTCCTTTGAACATTTACAACCAACTGACAGTCCTTAGCATATCTCGGGGACCAGACGGGGTGACAGTACTCCAGATGGGGATGCACTTCACTTTTGAAGATCGTTACGAGGGACGGACCGTCTAGATATCTGAACGACCTTCTTTTAGACCCAATAATTCATTTGTCCGATTTACCTTCTCGCAATGGCCCGAGAACTTCAGCTCATTGTCAACATACACACCCAGGTCCTTCTCACATTCAGTCTCAAATAGTGCAGTTTCTTCATCCCGTTGGGACATATAATACGCCTCCTTACCGTTGGTATGCCCCATGTGCATTCTCTTACATTGGGGTACTCAGTGATCCAGAGAGACTCAAAGTGGCTGAGGCACTCATAGTGACTCAAAGGGACTCATAGTAATTCGAGGGCTCATAATGTTGGTGACAGCGGATACACGCATACCTTTCACCACTATGCCCGAGATACAGGTGAGAAAACTCGGGTGTCATCCAGTATGACACCATCAATCACGGCAGGTTTTCTCTGGGTACTCCGATTTCGTCTTGTACTGTACTAACACTGAAATATAAAGTTCATAGTAAAGTAACAAGGAACAGACCAACCGCCCGAACAGTTAGTAAGCTGATGTATTTTATTTTATAAATATTTTATTTTAAGGGGAATAGCCCACTCGGGCACAGGTCATCGACCCACAACGGGGCCTAGGGGGCGAAAAAATAAGATTAAAAAGAAATTAAAAATAGAAAAGAAAAAGATTATATTAATCTACACCACGGAGATGCCACAAAACCAGCTTTTTAAAGTGAGACAGGTTGTAAGAGTATGGAAACACAGAAGGCAGAGCATTCCACAGTTTGGCTGTGGGGAAAGAAGGGTATACTATAACAGAAGACTCCCAGGACATAAGGGTGACTTGGTGGCTCAGAATGAAACTTACGGTGCGAACATCGTCAGTGGTAATGGCGCTGATGGCTTCGTTGAGTTTTTGCAGACGTTCTTCTGGCGTTGGTCCTGTTGCAGCATTGCCCAGATGACACCTGTTGACGCGGCCTACCTGTACGTGGTGGTGCTGGCTTTGTGAATATACGGTATGTTATGTTGGTCTTGTGGGTGTACGTGGTGATGACATTATACAGGTATAATGTCTGTGTTGTAAACTTCGTAAATAATGAAGTTACAGTATATACCGAGTATAGTTTTGTTGCAAATTATTATCAATATCAACAGTTAATATGATTATCACAATAGTTTTAATTATTTTGTATCCTTGTCATAAATTACAATTATTATATTTTATCATTAACAGTTACTATGAATTATTGCGTATTCTGAGTTAAGACTTACCTTAGACGCCATGATATGGTCGCGGACCTTCAGGTAATTCTTTGTTCAATATTTTTAACACAACAAAAACTAAAGATCTTTTAGTCCCGAGTAGCTCCTGTACGCCACATCTCTATACAATGCTGTAGATCGCCAATGTAACAGCCCTTAAAATAACTATGGCTGCTGTTAAGAGTTGTAAAATAACTATGACTGCTGTTAACAGTTGTAAAATAACTATGGATGCTGTTAATATGGCAAAACACCGATGGATGCTGTTAACAAATGGTAAAACACCGTTGAATGCTGTTAACAGGCGGTAAAACAGCGATGGATGCTATTAACAGTCGGTAAAACACCAATGGATGGAGTCACAGTTATCACATTACCGAGACAAAACCTTTACTATCTGGGTCGCGGCGACTCACTTCCGTTCTCCTCCCATGTCGACATAAAGCTCTCTATTGGGACGTTACTTTTTTGTTTAAGTGTAAGTGAAGCCGTTTGACTTTTTCTTATTCTTGCTAAAACCAGACGATTTCATTCAACTAAGAGAAACCCCTACTACTCAAAAGGTTAAAACCTATCTCGTTTAGTGTGGTAGTGTGTTGTAGTAAGTGGGGTAGTGAGTGTGGTAGTGTGTTATAGTAAGTGTGGAAGTGTGTTGTGGTAAATGTGGTAGTGTGTTGTAGTAGGTGTGGTAGTGCGTGTGATAGTGTATTGTAGTATGTGGTAGTGTGTTGTAGTAAGTGTGGTAGTGTGTTGTAGTAGGTGTGGTAGTGCGTGTGATAGTGTATTGTAATATGTGGTAGTGTGTTGTAGTAAATGTGGTAGTGTGTTGTGGTAAATGTGGTAGTGTGTTGTAGTAACTGTGATAGCGTGGGGGGGGGGGATTCTTTAGTTGGTTTACTTGGCTAGTCTGGGGTAGAATTTTTATATGATCCGGATGCGGTTATCAGAAGAACGTCGTTACAACACTCCAGCCACCACTGTCGTCGAAACCTGTCAATAAAAATCAAACCAATTTTGATTTCTTTAATATATTGCACAAACCTTCAATATCACCCATATACGATCAATAATACTGTCAATATCATATATTGAGTTAATGTTATTGAACGTGTGTGGGCCGCTTAAGAGAGACGTGATCGACCTGCCAAGCGTAAAATAATAATTTCACGGGTAATATAACTTGGTTTTTATCATCTTACAAATATAAAATGTAGTGGTGATCAGGAGTATTGTGCAGTAGTTAGATGAGCAAAGCTAGGTTTCCATTCACGTGTTTGCATTGCGTTTGCGTTTCCAATCGCTACAGGGAGCGATTGGAATGCATTGCGTAACGCTAAAGCAACCGTGCCAATGTAAACAACCGTGCCAATGTAAACAACCGTGCCAATGTAAACAACCGTGCCAATGTAAACAACCGTGCCAATGTAAACAACCGTGCCAATGTAAACAACCGTGCCAATGTAAACAACCGTGCCAATGTAAACAACCGTGCCAATGTAAACAACCGTGTATATTTCAATGTGATCTATTGTTAGCGCTAACGGGAGCCGATCAGTGGTGAAGAAGATAAAAGTAAAAGTAAAAAAGTCAACATTATATGTAGTACATTAGTATCGTAATACCGAAACATAAATAAGGTAAATATGGGTACAGGATGTTCTTTGTACTGATATTACAAATCTGACAGTCATATATGAATAATAACACATTATTTGAGGCAATAAACACGGAGGCAGTAATATAACGGTAGAAGTTTGTTAAACATTTTGAACGAGTGTTGTTATGACGTCACAGTCTCGCAGCTTCTCGCGGGCGGCGAGACTTGGCAGTTTTAGCTTGTGTGAGCTGAGTGTGTGATGAAATATTTCTCCAGTTTTCAGCGGATTAATCCTCCGTAGGTGGACTCCTCTGCCGGGAAGACGTCGAGGGGCATTCACTTGTGAGTATGGAGGAGAGTTAGGAGATGATGGCTGCCGTTCTCTCTATTTTTTGTGTGAAAATGGGAAATGTTTTGAAGGGAGAGAGTCTGGGATTCCTGGCGACGCCTGCCCAAAATGTCCATTACAGCGTCTCTATTGATTTTCAAGCTTCTAGTTCATCTTTTAGCTTAGTTGGTGTGTTGTTCTGGTGCCTTATGACATAGACGAGGTGTGTGTAGCTGTGTCTTGCTTTCACATGTCTGTTTGTTTACTTTAATTCAGGATTTAAGGAGAACGGGAAACGAAGTTGTGAATTTTTCTTTCATTAAGCAAATGATCGAGAATGGGAACTTGATGGTGATAATATAAGGTATTTAACCGCTTTGTTGGGCCTCAATCTCCTCCCCCGCTTACCAACACTTCGTTGATATCCCCACCCTCTTGTATAACTACATCAAATGCGATAAATAATTGATAAAGTGAGAAACTGGCGATAAATAAGTGTTGGGTAGGAGAACGGCGGATAAGAGAGAAAATGGCGACCTGCTCCCCCCCCCCAGTACACATAATTTACGGGGAATGTAAATAAAAGTAACATTGTTTTGAGTTAATGTATTGTTTCACTTTGATATATTCTTCGTGAGCTTATTATAGCAATATGTGTTATTATAATGAACAAAAGCACTCCTACAGTTGTTACATTTAATTCGTCATTTGTTGTGATTTTTTTTAGTGATAATGTTCTCTGATAAATGATTGTGTAGGGTTTGTGGATGGATTCTGTGTTTTAGTGTTCACAAGGTTGACTCCTCTGTGTGCGTGTGTGTGATGTATAGACGCATTGTTCTGTAATTACCTGAAAATACCACAATTGTTTTCATCAGGCCCTATAAGGCCAAACTCTCACATGACAATAACTTGCTATTTTTGTATTTTATATATATATTTTTATGTCACATTGTCCACATATACTTGAAGAGTTAAGGTAAATGTTCATGGCTCTGCATTGCGAGAAAATAAACCACAGTGCAGTATAGTGAAGGATAAATTGTGGTGAAAGTGATATCAAACGATGCAAGTGAATGACTTATTTATAAGCTTGTGGCCTGCATCTAAGCCTCAATTTATTCTTGGTAGAATGTCAGGTACGCCGAAGCCTGTGTATTATATAACCAATATAGGGGCACAAGCCAACCTACCTAACCTAACAACAAGAGCTTAATTGGGTTTGTTTATTTTGTCACGTGCAATCTTCACTGTCCTTTTAGAGTGTCGATAGCCCGAGTACTTGTATTTTTCTCCAGGATACTTGCGTCAGATGGTAGAAGCTGCCACTGCAGGTCACTTTGTCACCAAGGACAGCCTTGACAGCTTGTTGAATTGCATGTTCGAAGTAGAACAATTTATTGAAATGTACTACTACTATATATAAAGGAAAAATGTAAAAGGAAACACACATGACATTTATTGTAGATTTAGATACAAATTTTATGGTCATCAGGGGGCTGCTTAGTGCACAGTGGCTCCCATGACCCCACTTGGTATAAGTCCAGACCCCCTTTCTCCCCAAATTGTCTGGACTTTTGAGGTTTTACTGTATACTGTAATATACATGTGAGGTGGCTTGAGGTGTGTTCATTTTACCATTATACAATACAGTATTTATATCAAAGTTCCTAAATTTAGATTTAAAAAAAATTAAATAATAATAATAATTATATATATATATATATATATATATATATATATATATATATATATATATATATATATATATATATATATATATATATATATATATATATATATATATATATATATATATATATATACACACACTAGGGTAATTTGATTGACCTGTCACTATGAAATTATTGAGGGTTTAATGTTCAGTACTGTACTGCCATAAAGGTTTACCAGTGAACTTAGGTTTGGTTAATACATATAGAAAGTTGTGAAGAACTAGCGAGGTCATCCTAAAACTATATCTTGCACTTGTGAGACCTCACTTGGATTACGTAGTTCAATTCTGGTCACCGTACTACAGAATGGATATAGAATCCCTTGAAAGAATTCAGAGGAGAGTGACAAGACTAATCCCGGGCATTAGGAACCTTGAGTACAGAGACAGGTTAAAGCATCTTAATTTGGACTCCCTCAGGAGACATAGAGTGAGGGGCGATATGATCGAGGTTTATAAATGGAAGGCAGGGCTAAACAAAGGTGACATTACAAAGGTACTCAAACTATCCAACCAGGAGCGAACTTGTAACAATGGTTTTAAATTTGACAAATTTAGATTTAGGCGCGAATTAGGTAAACACTGGTTTGAAAATAGATTAGTGGATGAGTGGAACAAGTTACCAAACATCATCATTAACTCGAATATGCTGGATAGCTTCAAACATAGTTTGGATGGATATATGAGCGATAGGGGTTGGGTGTAAATGGGACTGCCCAGTATGGGCCAATAGGCCCATTGTAGTTTCCTCCATTCTTATGTTATGTTCTTATGTATGGATTGTCTTCCAGGTATTTTATGACTATTGTACTGTACTGTTCTATTCTGTTCACATGTTACAAGAAGTTAATTTATATTTTCAGGAAATGGCATCATCATCCATAGAGGTGATGGGTGTGGGCGGTGGGGAAGTGAAGGTGATGTTAATGGATGACAGTGCAGCTGATGATGATGAAGGACAGATGCACACCATTATTACTGCCAGTAATGCACAAGGCCAGATGATATCTGCAGTGGAGCCTCAGCCAGCTTCCAGTCAGGATGAGGTGCAGTATGTCTTTCATGTGACAAGCTCATAACTGTGTTTCTTTATACTGTGCTACGTATACTATATCTGGTGGTATTTGCATCTCACTGGCAGTTGAGTTGCAAAGTTTTTATCGGCTAAAATTTTAATTTAATCTTATAAGTACAGGGGTCCTCACTATACATTGCTAATAAATACAAGAAGAAATTTTCGTTATACGTCACTTGTTTCACATAGCTAGAAGTCGTGTGCATCAGCCTCTGTTTTAGAGTTAGCCTGTGTATCCAAATATAATGCATAAATAGTGTTAAAAAGCATCTCATATAATGTAAGAGCAACCATATATTAGGTAATGCAAGTGCTCTACAAGTGCTGTTATGTTTCTAGCATGCCAAAATACACCCGTCACCTCTCACATGACTTAGCGCTAATGCCACTGTTATGTGTGGGTAATCACAGAATATGCGGAAAAGTCAGTTCAACGTGCTAATGTGCCTTATGAATGAAGAAAATACTGTGTACCTTACAGTAATATAAAGATATAAAATAAGAAAAGAAAAAGAGCGTAGGGGTTTTATTGTGTGGGAGAATATTGAGTCTAATCACCACAACACACGGGGGGCTTGTTAGCTCTGAGGCGGATGTGCGTGTGCCTTTATTACATAAGGAACCATAAAGTTGTGGAAATATTATTGCAATGCTCTTCTGTGACTTAGAAATAAATAAAATATACTGTACTATAAAATAAGAAAAATGAAGAGTGGGAAATGAATTGTGTGTGGGATAGGTGGGAGGTAGGGTGGGTGGCTGGCTGGAGAACCGTCTCCCTTGCAGTTTCACCATAATTCTTATGCTATTTAAGTTCAGTTGGTGCCGGGTTAATAAAATATTATCGTAAAATAATAATAAAAAAATCCCACACCCAACCCCAGAAGAGTTATTACATTGTATTAAATTCCTGCTGCGAACAGCTGACTTCTGTCTCTCTTCCTCCTCGAGATGGTTGGGGTTTAACACAACATTTGTTTTCAGCAGTTAGTAAATAATATTATACTCAGTGATTTTACCAGCTTTTAATAAATAATATTGTAGTGCATAATGCATCTGCCTATTCTCTGGTTTATTTAATCAGTTTTCTTAGTGTACAAGAAGCCAAATATAGTCATCATGTATCACTCAAAGGTAACATAATGTTAGGAATATATCTTCATATCAAATACTATAGTCAGTCCTCGACTTACAACGGGGTTAGGGACCGACGACCAGGTCATAAGTCGAAAATGCGAAAATAATACATAGAAAATCTAAAATGGGGTGTCTCTTTTTCTTCTCAGCACCACCAGAACTCTCACTTTTACACTTGCCAGCTATTTTAAAGGGAATTACAAACGAAAATGTTGTCAGAACACAGCGCGATCACTAACGTCGGGACTCAAAAATACGTACAGTATTGTAATTTGAAAAATATTTTTAAGACTGCGGCGGTCGTAAGTTGAGTAGGTCGAAAGTTGAGGAGTACCTGTACTGTACTATACAGTATGTATGTTATCATGACCCTGTTGTAAGTTGATTTACTGACAACTCTTTCTAGAAACACATCCTGAGCTTCCAAGGGGTATTACTGTACATCAGGGATGGCCAAACTCTGGCCTGCCGAGGGTGTTAAGAGAGGCCCGTGATCGTATTTGAATTCATTGTATTTTAAGGGGATCTGTTGATGATATTTTATCTTATATTGGTTTGATCTTTTTTGTCATACTGTATATTATTGCACACATGCAGTGAGCTACTCACATTCCATAATATTGGCTAAATATAGGGATATCAATATTTCTTCATAATTTGGCTGCCATCAGTGACCCAATAATATTTTTCAATATTCAGTTGTGCTCTTCTCAAAATAGAATTTGTATTGGGATAATTGTCATATGCAGAGGCAACACTACTTTCCCTGGCTTGCTCGGCGGTATCCTTGGTTCCACCTACCCAGCACCTCTGCCACTGTGTCACATAAAACACTCCTTCCCCTACTGACAGAGAGCTTGGGTGTGTTGTGGACAGATTCCTGCCATTTTGGCTCTGTGAGTTTACAATTTTACATCATGGCCTTTGCATCACGTACTAAGAAGAGATTATTCAATCCTGCTTTAATTGTTGGCAAACAGTGGCTGAAACCAAGCGAAATAACCTACTATAGTGACATTTTAAAACAAAGCATGCAGCAAAATACGATTCCTTTAGCAAAGATGAAAGACTAAATCATCAGCTTTACATAAAAATCTTAGCCTTCATCAGCAATTATTCACCAACCTCAGTAATGCCAATGAAAACATCACTAAAGCAGGGCATGCAATTACTAGAGGTGATTGCATTGCATCTCATACCATTTCAAGATGGTGAGTATGTCAAGTCTTAATAGAGGCATTTGCAAAACATTGCTGCCCTGAGAAATTAAACCTTGCAAAGCAAGTGAGTCTGAGTCGGCAAACAGTGATGGCTCGTGTTGAGAAAATACCAGACAACATCCGAACTCAATGAAAAGAGAAGATTGCTAGCTTCGAGTGCTGTTCTTTGGCATGTGATGGGATTAAGGATGTTTTTAACACCGAGCAGCTTCTGATTTTTGTAAGGGGACTTGACAAAGATTTTGAGGTTACAGAAAACATGCTGACTTTACGAACAATGTGTGGCCGTACTCGGGTGACATATCGCCTTCGTGAGTTTAAATTGCAATGGAACAGTTCAAACTGGATGAAACTAAGCTTGAAAAGCTTACAATTGATGGTGTTCCAAATATGGCTGGAGATGGCTTCGGCTTCAGAGGTTCTTTACAGAAAATAGACGAAGAACAAGGACTCAACCTGCCAATGGTATTTCATTGTATAATTCATCAAGAAAGTCAGTGTGCTAAAGCACTTAAAGTCCAGCATGTTATGACTGTTGTTAAGTCGATAGATTCCATATTGAAGCACGGGCACAATCACTGAATTTAAGAAGTTTGAGGAAGACCTTCAGACCCAGTATGGAGAAATCTTGTACTTCACTGATGTGCATTGGTTGAGCAGAGGAGCTGCTCGAGCTCGTATGTGGGCGCTTCGCGAACATGTTGCCAACTTTGAGTCCAAAGGTTCTCGAATTCTCGAGTATGAAGATCGATGATGGGTGCATGATTTTGCTTTTTTTGTGGACGTTCATGGATATTTGAATGCTCTGAATGGGTCCCGTCAGGGCAACAAATTCCTCATTCATCAGTTGTGGGGTAATGTTAATGCTTTTCAGCACAAATTTTGTAATTTGATTAGAGAAAGCCATACTTTCTGCTTCATTTGCAAAGTCGTGCCCTACTCAAAACATATGGTTTGAGCATCATTGCTGTGGAACTTCACCGGGCTGATGTTCCAGGGTTGCAGTCATACACATTAAATCTGAAAATCTTTTGAATAGCCATGAAATATAATAAGACCCTCATTTTAAGCATTTCACTTTAGTGATTTTTCTTTGAAACACATCTCCAATGTATAGTGTGAACTGTACAGTGCCGTGATTTATGCCAACATCAATAATTGAGATCTGATTTATTTTCCAGGATTTCTCGAGTATGGAAAGTGATTTCCATACAATGGAGGGTATGGAACCACCTCCAGGCACCATCATCTTTTCACCACAAGACCTCATGCGACCCAGCAAGCCTATGGGTCGTGGCAGAGGTAGGGGTGCACGTAGTAGTTTGGCTTGTATTAAACAAGAGCCTGTGGGCCCCCCTACCTTTGGTGGCAGTCAGACTTTGGAGATGCCAGTTTCCTGTGAGGTTTGTGGTAAAGTAATGATGACTGGCAAGACTCTGGTGCAGCACATGGCTATACATTCTGATCTAAAGCCATTCCAGTGTCCACATTGCCCAAAATCATTTGCCCGCAAAGTACATCTACAGGGACACTTGGTGGTGCATGGGATAGAGAAACAGTTTGAATGTCCTGTTTGCCACCAACGATTCAGCCGCCAAGACTGTGTTAAGGTACACATGCGCCTTCATGACAAGAGTAAATGTGTATATTGTGATGTGTGTCACAAAGCCTTCCTCACGGTGGGGGCTTTAAATATTCATCTGCGTATTCATAGAGGTGAGAAACCTTTCAAGTGTCACCTATGTAGTAAATGCTTCACCCAGAAGAATCACCTTATCACCCACATTAAACGCCATACAAAAGTTGCTGATGAACATTTTACCAAAAAATTAGGACCTCGTATGTTCAAGTGCGAATATTGCCCTCGTTCATTCATTCGCTTAAGTGATTACGAACGACATGTTCAGTGGAATCATGGAGCTGTGGCGGAAGGTAGTATTCTTGACAAACTGCCAACGGTTGGCAATCTTTTGGATGGAGAACTCAAGCAGACTGGCCTTGCTCCACAGATTTTCAAAGCTCCCAAAGATGCCCTGAACAGCAAACCCAAAACGCGAAGGGCCAAAAAGGTAATGTGCACAACCTCAACCCAGACGGATGAGGAAGGTGGCCGTGTCATTATTCCCCGCCAGTATCAGGGGCAGGTATCTGCAAGCACCCAGGTATCTGCTCCCCCTACACCACGTCCAGCAGATGATGACATGTATGAGAATGACATATTTGATGAAGGTATGGACCGCAACTACAGTTCAGATGAAGAGGAGGGAGAGGAACAGCAAGAAAGAGGAATAGGGGAGGATCAGGTAGATCGAAAGGTATTTGCAATGCCTGATTCAACAGAAATGGCATCTGATCCAATACAGGATGCAGCATTTGATGCAATTGTGCAAGGAAATTCAAAATCATCTCGAGAAGCTGGCAGCGAAGTGACGCGGGATGGACACTCAGAATTTTTACAAGAAGTGGTTTCCTCCATGACAAGGCAGTGTATAGGTACAAAATCAGAAGAGAGAAGTGCTGTGCAGGAGATTGGTTTTAGCCCTGAAGATCAGCAAGGGAGTGTGACACAAGGCCAGCAGGGGAGTGTGACACAGGACCAGCAGGGGAGTATGGCACAGGGTCAACAAGGAAGTGCCATACAAGATATTTCTGCTTTGGAAGTGAGGGCGGTCCACAAAGAAGATTTTGTTCTGGGACCACAAGTGAATTCAGTAAGACAAGATAGTAGAGTAGAAGACCAAGAAGTTGTAAATAAAAGCCAAATATTAGATATACAGAGTGGAAGAGGCAGAGGTGAACAACCCCCCTCACAGTTTAAGAGGCCTAGAGGTCGAGGGAGAAAGCATAGTCATTTTGGGTTATCAGGAGCTGCTGAACTACGTGCTATAAGGAAAAGTATGATGAAGAACATTTTAAGTTATGAACCAGAAGAAACAAAGAATTCAAACGCTTCAGGGGCAGAAGAGTCAAGGACCACCGTTGAAGCAGCAGATTTAAAAACTACCACAAGTGTACCAGAAGAAGGAGAGACTGAGGGGCGAGGAAAACGCATGAGTAAGAACAAGCAGCATGGGAAGGACTTTGTGTGTAACATGAAGAACTGCGAAACTTGCTTTACCACACCAAAATCTGGTGTTAAGACTCAGACCAAAGTTAAAGTTAAGGTGAAGGAGAAGGATTCCTCAGAGAAGTCATCTGAAGCAGCAGCTGCATTAGTGAGAAAATTTATACATAATCCTCCTAAAGAGCCAGTCAAACAGATATTAAAGGACATCACAAGACAACCAGATAAAAGGCCTTTGAATGTTACTAATACCATGCAAAATGTGGTCAGTTCCATGGCAAAATCTTCAGATAATAGTATGAAAAGGGTAAAAGTAGAGAACAGGCCAGATGACACAAAAATGAAAGTTGGCAATCGGGTTGGTTCTTACCCCGTTGACATCACAGCCAACCCTCTTAGTAACAAGTCAAAGAAAGAAGATTACTTTGTTACTACTAGTAATTCTGGCAATATAGTCTCTCCACCTGTTGAATTAATGTCATTTTGTATTCCAACATATTCTTGTAAGCTTTGTAGCAGAGAATTTAGATTTGAAGGTAAACTTCATCGTCACATTGAGTCAGTTCATCAAAACAAGGCAATCTTTTCTCCGGATGTGAAACCAGGTCGGGGTTCGAGCAAGATGGTACCCAGCACCAGCCAGCAACCAATATTGCCACATCCTCCTCCACAGTTGGAACCAGAAAATCCAGAAATTGCTGCGTTGCGATCAGAGTGGGACGATGATGATGACGACATTATGGAACCAGCAGCAGTGGCAGTCAGTACTGGTGTCTCGGTTAATAGCTTTACTGGCCCACATCCAACCATGACTATAGTCACACGAGAAATAGCTCCAGTGACTACAACCATTACTGATGTGTACAGTTCAGGTGTAAAGGTTAACATGAATAAATTGGCTGGGCTTCTGCCACAGCCTGGTAAAACCATTCCAATAAATTATGAAGGAAGTAGAGTAAAGAATGAAATAAATGCTTCAGTTTCCTCAGCAGTTGAACAGTCTCACCCAACAAGGGAGCCCGAAACCATCATGGCGGACACATTGGACATGAAATGCAGACGACTTTTGGAGAAATTGTTTGATCATGATTTGCTTTTGAGTTGTGGCTTGTTGGAGGAGCATGTATCTGTGGTGCTAGGGAGGGTTCTACAACACTATGGTGTAAAGATGATTGAAGATTATGGACAGGGGCAGTATGAAGTGCTCAAGTACAACTTATGGCGGTTAATTGAGTGGAAAGTTACCATGGAACAGATGGAGGAATTTTACACTGCAGGTAAGAGTGTTGAGGAGATGATGGATGACATAATGAATGAACAAGTGCCTCTGGTGTCTCACCACTTTGTGCCACAGGAACAGGCAGCTCAGGGACATGTACAGGTGAACCAGGCTGGCCAAGTGGCACAGGTAGAGGCTGTGGATGTTGGTGATGGCCAGATGGTGTTGCAGCATGTGGCTGGGGTACTGGGAGGTCAGATAAACTTACCTGAAGGTGTCACACAGGTGGTGCTGTCTCAGGATGTTCCACCTGACCTTCTTCAAGGGGCTCACATAGTCACCATTGATCCTACCACAGGCCAGGTGATTTCCCAGGTGACTGCCGACCAGGTAATTCTCGCCGACAGCATTGGCGAAGAGCTGGAACAAGTTTCAGCATTGGATGGACAAGTAGTCGTGTCTCAGGCACACGTGGTAAACCAGAGCGTCAGTCAAGGAAATATAGTGGTAACTCACTCATCTGCCACACCAGTAGAAGTGAGTCAGGCACAGATAAGCCATGGCCAAGTGATAGTGCAAGCAGCACCCTCTCAACAAGGTGTGAAGCTGGAGACCAGCAACAACAGCTTGGGTCACTCAGCCCACCAACAATGAAGTTGGCTCCACAACCCCACTGCCCTGTACAAAATAACAAGATGCTTAGAAAAGACTTCATTATATTTAAGCATTCTATATACATTATATAGATTATTCCTGATAACTGATCTTGTCTTTATATCAGTTGATTTATGCAGTGTTTTATCATATATAATTTTATCTGTAAAGCTAAAAAAAAATATAAGGAAATTTGCAGATGTTTCCTCAGGTTTCTTGTAAATATCTTAACAATTGGCTATAAAAATTGTGTAGTGAGTGCCTTTCTTTACAAAACTACTGTATGCATATCCATTTGTGTTCTCATTTAATAGTATTGTATACTGTACACTATAATTTTAATATAATTCACAACTGGTGATTTGATAAGGCATTGATTGTTGTCTTTTAAAGTAATGAGTAATGTAAGGCATTCCTCTGTACTTAGATGTGTTGGCATTAATTTGTTAAAGAATTTTATTATTGAAATTTAATAAGTTTAATTATTGTACATTGGTTTTACTCAATTTCACAACTTATGGTTGTCTCATATTTTCTACAGTTGTGTAACATCAAGTGTGTAATGGAAATAAACATACTTGCACTCTTATTTATATTCTAATAAAGATGATTAAATTACAATATTATTGCATTTTTCTTCCTGTTGCATCACATTATTCATATGTTGCTGCATCTTCAAGACATGGATGTAATAAAGCTAGTGTAATTTTATTTATAGTTTATTATGCCAAAGATCATCTAAGCAATATTTTGCAGTTAGCTAAATAAGCAATTTTCAGACATTATTTGCTTATCAGGTATAACAAATGTACTACATATTTGTGGGTATTATATATATATATAATAAAACATTTGGCTAACTGTACAATTTGTCTAGTCTATGACTCGGTTATTATTGGAAAAGAAAGGCCATTTGGCAGTTTTTGGACTGGTTTGGGGGGGGGGGGGCATGATATGGTGGGAATTTAGTTCCCAACCTGGCAACCCTGTTGTTAATGTTGGCATCATGGGCCAGCCTGTCAGGTCATATACAGTAATGGCCCCACTATCCGGAATTTCTCCAATACACAAAATCTGTTGGGCAGTACAGTACAGTACTGTACATAACTGAACCAGGATACAATTAGACAAGAATACTGTACTGTTTAAGCAGTGTTAAGAAGTGAAAAGTGAGTACTCCTACAAGTGTAATTTACATACAGTAAGTGTGAAAGTACCATACATACAGTATACAGCAGAGTGAACAGTGTATACCTACTGTAGGCTAGTGTATAGAGGTGTATGTACAGTATACAATGTGTGTATAATCCCTTCATAGAGAGAGAGGAGAGTGACAGTAACTACAGTAGATGATGCAGGACAGGCAGTTCCTCTGTAATATTAACTTTATGCATCATTAGAAGCTCAAGATGGCTTCGTCTGCTGGTGAGTACAGTTTAGTGTACAAATGTTTACAATATACTGTACAGTAGTGTTTGCATAAATGAATACAGCTCTGTAGCTGTCTGACTGCAGTTAACCACTTGTGCATGGGTTTCCCTTTGTGCTGAATAAAATCATCTGGCATTAGCCAAATAAAATACTAAAAGGGGCGTCCCCATAGTGAAGGCGTTAAGCCTCATGGCTAGTATTCAGGCTAGTTGCTTATCCCTAGCAATGATGCTCCGTACCAGACATAGTTTGGACTAAAAAATACTCGCCAATGCCCAGAAATTTCCATAAATGTGTGGTTTTTCCTGGATAAGAATTCATCTCGATACCATACCCAAAAATCTCTTTAAAACAAAAATGTTCTGCACTTGTTCTGGCCATCAGGGATATTACATAATAGGGCAGAGTCCCCCAAGTCACCTCAGTTTGGTAGGGAATACAGTACTTTACTATCATAGTGTGAACTTGTGGATTTATTTCATTAGAAGACTTCAGAGTATAAGGTAAGAAATGACCAAACTAATTCCGTAAAAAGCATTATAAAACTTTTAAAATATGTATTCTGTTATGTTCTGGGGTGCATTTCTACAAGTTTCAAAGACATCCCCCTTCAATCACAACAACCCTATGCCAATACATTACTTGCAAGTTTTCCTGTCATATGCCAGAATCAAGAGTAAACACAGCTTCTCCCCTTACTTGTAATCATTCATTTGCTCTAACTACTGTAACAGGTAAAGATGAATCACAGCAAATAAAGGGAGTCTGTGTTTTCTTATGGTTCCAGCCACCCTGAATTATACGATTTATTTATTTATTTTTTCATGGCAATAAAGGAGGGAAACAAAACAAGATAAACAACCCAGTCACTATTTATGCTAAAAATAATTTGTCTGAACCAATATCAACATGTCCCCTGTTACGACAGGGTAGAGACCTCCAACATGTTTAACTTTCTTCATCCACTGTTGGTCACAGCATGCATAGTAGGTCACAAGTAAATTTAGTCAAGGCTTAATATCACCAATTCAGTTATGCTAAGTCTAAGCTTAATGTCACCACTTCAATTTAATCAGGGTTTACATCACTAATTCAGGTTAGTCTGGGATTAACATTAGTAATTCAGCCTAGTCCGCAGTTTATATTGACATGTATAATGAGCTACAGTATATACAGGTATATGTGTCAATGAATAAAAGCCCAGGTAATTTTGCCCAGCTGTGACCTGGGTGATACTCGGATCTTATTGACTGCAAGTGCTCTATTAATTCTAGTAATTGGGATTTTTTAAGCCAGTTCATAAAAACTCTACTTTTGCTTTCAAAATTTTACATGTATACTGTATAGTGAGGTATACCTGAGGCCCAATCTTAAGATTTGTTGGGGTGTTGTGCCTTCAAGTATGCCTAACATCACCTAATGTAATCTAACCATACCTAGACTAATGGAACCAATCCTAACCTCACTACATACTCTGAATAATATGTAAGAAGAGTCCATGTAAAGATAACACACTCAGTAGACTAAAAAAAACATTACAAATGATACAGTATAAAGTTTTGTAGTAGTCAGTCTTAAAAACACTTTATGGATAGTTCTTCAAGTACCTTTCCATTAATATTATATCATTCCAACACATTATAATACCACAACTGATACAGTTTATGGATTTGAATAAACACAAGATTACTTTTAGAGCTGGCAAATATTTCAAATACAGTACTTCAATTTATGTAATTTCAGTCACTTGGTGTTGAAAAGGCACGAGCAATTCATGATTTTCATGTATTCACTTACCAGCAAGGAAAAAAAAAAGGGGAAATATGAAATGTCCCTCTCAGGACCCAAGATTTCACGATCCGAGTGTGTTTCCAACTTGTACTGTAGCGTATTTTATGGTGTAGTTATAACGCTTTGTGATCCTATGTATGACAACACAAGCTCATGCAAAAAAAGTGAATAAGGCCCTAAAAGAGCTCTTCAAACAGAAAGGAAGATTAATGGATAATATTCCTCCCACTGCTGCAGCTTTTCAGCACACACAAGTACAGTACTGCACACCAAGCTGAATCTTCCCAGAGACTGTTGGGACTTCTTCCACAAATGCCTTTGCAAAGTGAATGGGGTTGAAAGATGCCATCACAAATATGGTAGCAATACTAGACACTAATACCAAAAGCATTAGAGTTGTCTAAGTTTATAGTGTGGTTGTAAAGTTGACAAGGGGTGTTGAGGAAGCTGCAAATATTTGGAAGTGGAGATGCAGTGCACTAATCTTTCAAATACAATGTAAACTATGATTGAGAATAAGGTGTTAACTCTGTCAATTGCTTTTTAGTATGTTCTTGCAACTCATGACTTTGTAGCCATACTTGAGACAGCACACAGGCTCCCTGCTTCATACTTTCTCTTACATCTGCAGCAGCTCAGCAAGGGCAACTGGAATGTATGGGTGTTGTTCTGTGATTTCTTTCACTTCACAAGAGACTTCATTTTGAAGTATTCATTCTCATAAAATGTCCATTTATAATTTGTCAGTAATTACTGTATAACTAAAACTTTTAGAAACATGAAGGTCCAAATTTGATGGTCGTAGTTTAAACTAACACCATTTTATGGTAAATAATTTGCTGGTGGACCCAGAGTGGAAGATTTCCAGCAAGCAGCAGCAGCTGGGACTAGTGTTACTTAACAAAATTCTGTGATATTTACTTGGACATACATACATGTTTGTGAGTGTATAAACATGCACATCTCTGCTGAGCATTTAAACAACTAGAAACATTAGATGTTTTTTCTTATGCTGTAAGTGTTACCCCCCTGCGTACTTTATATTTCAGTATAGTGTGCGTGAGTGTATGTATATATTGAAGAGTGTGGCAATGTGGACAGTACTGTACCTGTAAGCTTAATGATCCAAACAGATGATGTAATTTTTTTAGGTGGTCAATAATTACAACAAACCTCCCAAGTTTCCTAATAGAAACATACTACTGTACAAGTGTGAGATTGGAGGTGGAAACACATGGTTTCATTTAAAACTCTGGGAAACAAGTAACAAAAAGTAGGTGTAGGAGTTACTCAAATGCAGTAATTTCAAACAAGGTTTATTCATATTGGACTTAATTTGCATTTGGAGAAATTACTGTCCATTTCATAATACAAGTTTAATATATATATATATATATATATATATATATATATATATATATATATATATATATAATATTAGTGTCCTTGATTAACAAACACAATTGTCTTCATAGAGTCGTCATAACCGAAAATTTGTTAACTGAATCTATTATTTCAATGGGATATTGGTAATTGGTTCCAACTCACAGAAAAGTACATACAAAGTACTGTATACCAACAAAACATTAAATATAAACTAAATACATACAACTACACTGTAAAGTGTCTATTCTGTAATAATATAAAAAAACAATAGAATACTGTATTTAACTTACTTTGAGGGTGTATGTCGATACCCGCAGGAAGCGTTTATATATCAATCAGTTTGGGACAGAGAGTCGATGATGACATGCCATATTCTTTACAGAGTGCATTGGTTCTAGTGCTCTATGTTTCAGAATAATTTCTGCACTGTACAGTATATCAATATAAACTAAATTTCAGAATGACCAATTATTTTAATGTAAAAATGCAAAAATATTCAAGAGACGAACAAACTGGATGTTCACTCCACTGTAAACAAAGTTAAACTGAGAAGCGTTGGAGGGTGATTTGATCAGCTGATGGGCGAAAAACTGTTCCCTGTACTGTATATATTATCAATATGTTAACTAAATTAGAATGACCAATAATTTTAATAAAAAAAAAGGCAAAAATATTCAAGAGCACAACTTTCTTGATATTTATTCCACTGGAAACGAATGTAAACATAGAACCAATTACTGTATTGGCGGACCAGCTGATGCGCACAACAAAGCGTGTTTCTCATAAGGCTTTCAGTATGGAATTGAAAATTCTTATGGGAACTAATTCGAATTTCGTTAATTGGACCGTTAGTTAATCGAGGGACCACTCATATACTCTCGACTTAATGGAATCCGACATAACAAAATGAACTCGTGATTTAGCGGAAGGAGTTTTTTTTCATTATGTTTTACTTGATTTAGTGACCTAGTTCGCTAAATTGAAATAAATTCTGTTAATACGCTCACACCTACGGAGACACTTCAGAAACATGATATGTACAGACAACAAGAAAATTTTCTGCACCTTTACAGTGTTATACATAAAGACAAACAGTACCAAGAATTCTGACAAATATACAGGTTTTATATGTATTCCTGTTAATTTCTCTGTATTGTATTAACTATATGTGATATACAGAATGCATTGTACTGTATTGGTTACACAATGTTCTCTATTAGTAGGTTAGTTCCACCTAAAAGTTTGATTCTGTTATTGCTGCACTACCTGCTTCAGATGTATGAACTTGAGACTGTTACTTCAAAACTTTAGATTCATTCAGACTGGTTTCATGTTCTGGTTGGTACTGAGACAGTTTCATACATCTGAAGCAGGCAGTGCAGCAAAAGCTGGCTGGGAGAGTTAACAAACTTTTGGGTGAGACACCTTACCAAAAAATACAGCCTCAGTCAGTGATCATTACAAAGGCCATCAGACCCAGGGGTGCAGAAAATATTTTTGTTGACTGTACATAGAACCATTAGAAACATTATTCATGGCTTACCTTAAACTAGGGGGTTCGGTGTTTGTTTCCACTTTTCTATTACTTCCAACTGATGGCCACACTTTTGATTTTCTCCCCCACACCATTTCCTTTCTGAAACTTTTGAGACTTTCGGCACGATGCTTAACATGCGTACTGTACGCTGTAGTTAGTTGACCGAAAGGTAGACAGAGGTAGCAGTGAACAGCACACGCAGTGGTGGCAAGACACAGACTGAGCGGATGTAAGCAAACCCAAGTGGCAAAATTTAACGGAATCGCCTTGATTTTGTGAACTACAGGGTAGTTCGCTAAATCGAGCGGAAATAACAGAAATTCGATTTAGCAGGAAATTTCAATTTAATATCAATTAGTTCATTAAATCAGAATATATATATATATATATATATATATATATATATATATATATATATATATATATATATATATATATATATATATATATATATATATACTAGGCTGCCATCTTAAAAATGGTCTCCATTTTGAGGGAACATTTAATGGGTGTGATGAAGCCATTAAGCTGTTGACAATCTATATCATAATGGCTTTGTCACTGAACAGTATTTGTGCCTCATCCAGTATTTTTACCACAAAACCAATAATATGTTTTTTTTAATATGTTTACAAAAATATAGTGAAGACATTCCTAAACTACTGACTATCAGCAGTAGCCTTAGGTGGGGGTCCTTTAAGGTCCTGAAGTGAGCGCTGTAATTGGTCATATTCTCTGGAGCTCCTTCTCTCTCTCCTCGCTGACGTGCAACATCTTCGGAGATGGTAGCTAACTCATAGGGAATAGCCACAGTTTCCATCTGCTTTAGGGAAGGTGAATGTGGAATATTCCAGTAAAGCTGTTTCCACTTGAGCCAATACAATCCCGGAGACTTGCAGCTAAAGTAAAACCGTCGGAAAAAGAAAATATACGACAGTACAGTACATTAAAAAAAAAAAAAAATGTAATTTACAAAGATCAAAATCCATTTATCTTCAAAGGAAGATTAACAATTCTGTGTACTGTAGATAAAAATTATGTCATGTTTTACATCAACTTACAGAATGATATATAAGTTCGATACTGTACAGTGATCCCTCGGTTAACGAGCGCCTCGGTTAACGATTTACCTTCCTTAAGATTCTTAACTTAGGAATATCAAATCATTAATCTAGTTTTTGAGTCAACTGCACTACGGTCCACCAGCTGTAGTATTAGTCTGCCAATACAGTAACGGTTTTAGGGCTTAAATTCCTTACTATTTTAATAAATATCAAGAAGTTTATACTATTTAATAATTTAAAAGTTTAATATTAACCTTTTAGTCATTTTAACAATTATTGAACATAATTGAAGGTAAAGAAACTAGTTTGGTATCTGCTCTCCAGTTAACAACAACGTCAGCTATTTCTCAGTACGTAACATCTTGCTGAGACTCTCTTCAACTAAACGCTTTTTTGTGTGTTTCCAGCAAATTATTGACAATATATAAAAGGATGGAAGAAAATAATCTTGAATTACACCAAGAGAACTAAATTTTATGGAATGGTGCCTGGCGTCGATTTTCCTTCCACCCCAATGCCTTCTCTCCACCCATTCTAATTCCCATCATCATCATCCAGGAGCCTTTACATACACACCTCAAAGTAAGTGTACTTTTTCACTTTTGTTGAATCTAGGCAATTTTCGGTGAGCTGGAACCAATACCCAAAACCACTGAAATGATGGTTTCGGTTAACGAGCAACCTGCTGGAACCGATTGTGCTCATAACCGAGGGACCACTGTATACAAAACGTATGTCCTCAAGAAACAGTATGTGACAGGAGCTAAAAAATTACAAGATTTAATACACAATATTCTACAAAAATAAAAAAGTATTAAACACCTCCACAGTGTTGTACAGTACACACACATTAACTGTATGTTGCACTCACTGGGTCAAATTTGAAATCCATCTATTATTGTACTGTATTCCTTTCCCATTTGAGTGAGGTGAATCAAAGGGTAGATAACTTTTAATATAGAAATCTGACCAGAACAAGGGCAGAAGACATTATGAAAATTATTAGAATAAGTAGAAATTCCTTAGATCATCAAATTACACATATAGTACAAGGTAAATCTAGAGCATCCATACTTGTTCAGAACACTTCATAGCATTTCACTGTACAGTACATACTAAATTGATTTGTCCTGTTTCTACATGTTATTGCAAAATTGCATTGTCATGTTACTTCATATTACAGTTAATTGCATTATCATGTTACAGTACTTTATGTTACAGTTAATTGCATTATCATGTTACTGCTAAATTGAGCTGTCAGGTTCCTTCATGTTACCATTAAATTGCATTGTCTTGTTAGTACAATCACTTGTAAAATGACCTCAGTGAAATGATCCACACTTGTTATTTTGGCATTAATTAAAGATACTTCCAAACCTTACTGTTTAACCCATACATACAGTCTTGGCCTATGCTCTCAATATGTATAACTTCCATATGCCTATACAGTACTATACTATATTATATTATATATTATACTATACTAGGGGGTCCCTGACTTACGAACGCCTGCCAATACGAACTTTAAATTTACAGTGATATCTCCATTAGCCGGAATCCCTCAAACCCGGAACACTCCAATGGCCGGAAAATTCCGGGGATGAAGTGTATTTTTCCAGCTTTGCGAGTCGTCTCATTACCCAGAATCTCTCATTCCCGGAAGTGCTCTGCACCAATTGTTCCGACTAACGGAGATATCACTTTTTATTAACCTCATGACTTATTTTTTAATTTCATATACTGTATTTTGTCATTCTATTTCTTCTTTTCTCTTAAATTAAGTGATTTTAGATGTATAAAAGGATTTAGGCAATGATATAATGGGATTTTAAACATTGTTCTGTAAGTACGCTATGCACATAACATGTGTTATGACTTGCGTACATTTTCGACGTACGAATGTCCTCAGGAACGGAACCCATTCGTAACCCGGGGACCCCTGTATATGTACTATACTAAAGAGTAAAGGATAAGACTACATGAACTATAACACAAATGAAAGTACAGTACAGTGTTGTCTGATACAATCTTAAAAATGACAATGTATTATCCTCTTCTTTTTGTTTTCTTAAAAAATTCAATATAAGTACAATACCCGCTACTGGAAAAGATAACCCTCTAATAAACTGAGCCACATTTCCCCATGACTCCCATTGCTAAAACCGAGATATGTTCCTAAAAAAAAAGTAGCCTCCAAATGTCTTAAAATACCACAATAATTATCAGACGATACTAAACAGTACATATTGTAAATGTTCCTCCCAACTTGCCACTGTTTCCATCTGTTTTAGCACACAGTGCACATAAGTGTAATCTTCAAACTTGTGTTTACACTAATCACTGCTAAGATTTTAGCTGCAATAACAGAGAATATATACCCAAACAAAAACATATTGTTCTCTTACGTTTATAAATACTACACCAACAAGAAGTGTATGTGGTGGTGATGTCAGATGTGAATGGCATTGCTGAAACTTAATCAGTGTTTTCTATACAGTGCTATGAGCCTTAATAGTGGTTCTTATTTTTAGATTGTCAAGTTTGGTATTTTCCACAGTCACAAGGTATTTTTTATGCTAATTCTCTTTGTGCAGTGTTTTACAGAAACATAACCACTGCATAAATCAAGGGTTTGCTGTGCACAGAAAATAACTTACCTGATATCCACCCATTAATATTTTGAGTTTCTTTTCTAATTTAGCTGCTAGCTTGGCTTGTTTGGCCATGTGTTGTCTGTTCTGTTCTAATCTTTTTTCTAGAGATTCAATCCTGTCCTTCTTACTGGCCAAACTTGCTCGTGTGTATTTACTCTGACTTGGCAGGAACAACACTTGAGCCAAACATTCTTCCCAAACCTTGGAAAAAATCATATAAATTAATTAACACCATAATAAAACAGAAATGAAACAATGGTTAAAAAGAGTCAATAACTGAGAGGTAGATAGCAATAAGGAGAGAAGAAAACTGAGGAGATGGAAGAAGTGAGGGGGGATAACAGCAAGGAAGTAATGAGTGTGTGTGTGTGTGTATAACATCAAGTGTTTCATAGGGATGTTACACGAGTAAGGTGAATGGATGAGAGCAAAAATGTGAGTACTGTATTGTATATTCACTCTTGGATCAGGCTGTCACCAACCTGCAAAATATTACAAGTAAGGGCCAGGGAGACAAAACAATGTTTGACTTCACTGTTTTTATAAAGTAATCTCCCCGTTATCCAGAATATTTGATCCCTGAAACTTTCCATTAACCACGAAAACCAAAATGAGCATTCCGAGAAGAATCTCTCCATTCCAGACATTCAAACAAATTTCTGAGAGATTGCATCATGCGTTGACACGTGCCAAGTGCATGGGTGGGTAGACTTGGTGCTCGTGAGCTATGAGTGGCTACTACTGTCATGTGACTGCATGGGATGCCTATGATTGGCTGATGTATCTCGCAGCCTACCTCCTCAAATTCGAGCATCATGACACTATTAATTCATTGCTTGCTGCCATTCTGTACAAACAATTGTGTGCATGTAAACAGAAATACAAGTTGAAAAATAACACTACTGCAGCTCACAGCTTCGCTAAGATCCTGACCCCTACCCCCTCATCACTCAATTCTTAATGATGTCACCTTCGCTTATATAAGTTAGAGCAAAATTGTCACAATTACTGTACATTAATAACAGTATACTGTACTGCCAAATCAATTATTGATTCCTCTTTAACATGAAAAATAAATGGAGAAGTATAATTATTCTCTCTGCTGCATCAGTTTAACAAAGTCAATATGTACTGTACCTGGGAATATGCATCCAGAGTAAGATCACCATGACCCATTCCTTGCTTGACCACATTCATCTCTGACTTGAGCATTTCCTTGGACTCCTCGATTTCAGCCTCGGTGTAACGCTTATATGGATGTCTCTCAAGATGGTCACGGTGCTGTGCTTCTGCCACTACACTGCCTGCAGGATAATTATGTGTCACACTTTTTCAATTACATTCTCACTCTCACTACATAATACATTTCCGTCAGCATCAATAATAATTACTCGAAATAATGTGCTCAAAAGTCTCCAGCCACAAACTGCCAACAGTCCCCCATGGTACTGTACTAATACCCTCACATCCACAGTGTTTCATAAGGTTGATTAAACTGGAAAATATTCAATGACATGCAAAATACTGCACATAGCACAAATTGTTGCATTCTCTTCATAATACTGTATTACAATATCAATTGTAATTTTGTAACACTGAGTACATCATAACATGTAATATCATGTCTGTCTAAATGTCGTAGTCCCCATTCTAAGTCTTATAATATTGAGTTCATCATAGTATGTTAAGTCTAATATACTGTACTGTGATAAGAATTTTCAGGCCCTTCAAATTTGTAACAAAATCGTTCACTATATGTACGGTACAGTACAGTTTTATCAAGTCTGTCATAATATTTAAGATTAAATCTAACCTTTGCGAGTGGGAGGCCCAGCAGGAGTGTGCAAGGCATCATAATGAAGCATGGTCACCATCTCACGCTTTATCAATTCTTCTGCCTTCTGTTGATCTGAAAGGTGGATATCTGCATGCATGGGCCGTAACACAGATGAATTAACCTCCTGAGGCCTAGGTAAATTCCTTTGCACTGCCTGTGACCGCTTTTTCATTTCAGCATCTCTACGGGCAGCAGCATCTGCCACAGCCCTTAAATACAATAGGGAGTCAAATTATATTCAAAACAGTCTACAGTAAATGACAATAAAAAATGGCAAGTAACTTTTTTGGCCAAAAGCAAAAAATAAATAAATAAATTTGCTATGAAACACTTTACAATTAAACAATGTAAGATGCAGATGACCATTAACACTTACTGTGTGTACAGTACATCCCAGGAGTTATAGGGTTAACATTACTTTGGCCTCCCCTACTACAATCATTGAAATGAAAGGGAGAGTAAAAGTTAAGGCAAAAGTTAAGGTTTCCCTTTAAGTAAACCAGTGTGATGGCCCACACAATATAGTGTGCACCTCTGGTCTACCATGAATGAATGTTTTTACATGTCAACCATTATTCCCTTTTCACAGATGATCAAATTTACTCATAAAAGGTGGTAAGGTTTCTGAGCTGTCTAGTTTTGTGGATGGCCATAAATTAGGATTTCAGGGCAATAAATTACTGTACCATAACTTCATTCATTAGTCCATGTAGCAGGTGTGGTTTAGAAAGGGGAGGAGGGGTGGTGGTAAGTGTTCCAACAATTATTATCACACAGCAACTCCAAAAGGAAACTAACCCTATTTTTTACATGAAATAAACAAGGATTCAGTACGAACCTTACAAACTTCCCAAACCCATTAGTGCTACCCAATAACAGTAAAGGTGCACAAGCCAATGATTGAACTCATGGACAAGATTCATTATCCATTAAGCTCCATATGTCCAGTCTAGTTGAGCTAGTGTGATGCTTGTGACAATATAAACCTTGCAAGCTCCATCTTATGTCTTAGAATTTAAAATTCTTTCATGAAACTATTCAGTAATTACTCATTTGTATTAAGAGTATACAGTTAACGGTTATTACCTGATGGTGCGGTGTCTCAGTTGCCAGCAGGTAAATGTGAAGAATGTTTCTATGGCTGTGTGCCCTTCCTATCACCAAAGTGGGAACCGCACATTAAATGTGGAACTTCCAAATTGATTATAAAGTTAAATAAATATGACAAATTAATTATTAACCAAATACTGTACAGATAAAAGATGCTTAATGCAGGTTAGCAAAGCTGTGCACTCATTGCTGTTCACTTATCCAGCAGTGGTTCCAGCCATTGGCTAGCACCTCCCACACCTCAGTTGTTTACAACACTGAGAGTGAGAAACTGCTTTACTTATAGTCATTTTTCACAATACTTGAAGATTTTTTTGGTGTGTATCCTTAATCCCTTGTGTACGGGCTCCCCTCTGAGCTGATCCCTGGGCACACTCAATTCACCCCGCTGTAAATGGGTACTTAAGTTTAAAACTTGGGGAAGTGAATGTGGATGAGTGCAGTACCAGCCATACTGCCTCCTTATGTACCAAAGGTATCCACACTGTCCCTCACAGGCAGTCATACCTATGGGACTCACTTTTCACATTAAAATAAAAAAAGAACCGCTGTTCTGGACAAGACCCTGCTGTATAAGGTAAAAACTGGACTAAGAAGCACTTCTTAAACTCTTTTACCCCCAGTCTTCAAAGTGAAACTGACATAAACCCAACAAATTTGTTCTACAAAAGAACCTAATGTCATCACAAGGTAAACTTGGGAAGAAAATCATTTTGTATGTAAGATAGTTAAGTTACCTGGCATCCAAATCTGCCTGATCCTCTATCATGGCTTCTCCGCGGTCCTTGTCCTCATCACCTGGCTGACCATCCTCTTGATCCGGTACAACAATCTCAAAGTCATTCTTTGGTGCTGGAAGTGACTTAAGGCCTGACTGAAGGGCTTCCCTCATGTTACGTTGATAAGCCTTGAGAGCCTGACGATCATCTATGGGTACAAGGGCACCTTCTTCATTTATATTTAGCTTGTCCCTGATTGGTGTTGCTCCTGGAGTTGCTCCTGGGGGTACTGATTGGCCTCTGGGAGTAAGCGCTCCGGGTGTTCGACCAGGAGTACTTATCTGAGTGCCAGAAGGTGTCCGGAATGGTGTGCCTAGAACTGTGTTAGGAGTCTGAACAGCAACTTTGTTGGGTTCAACACCACCAAAATCTTGTTGATTGAGAGGAGTGTTCATGCCTCCCTTCAATGGTGTGTCAACATGGGTCAGAGCCATGATATCGTGTGCTCCCTGCATCACACGGTCCATGTCGGCTGGTGTTCGAGGGGTACGGATGGCTTGACCAGGAGTCACATTATACTCGGCTAACAAGGCCTGAGATGCGCCACTTCCCCCCACTTCTTCTGCCAGTTCCCTTGCAGCCTCTGAAGCCTTTCCTAATTTTACAACCTGAAAATAATTTTTTTTTAAGTTTTGTTATCTTTACTTCCTTCCCACTCGTGTGTAGAAAAGACAATGGATTACAGAAACCTCAAAGATAAGCATAGAGAAATGATAAGGAATGTGGTAAAAAAAAAGTGTGGAAAACTTCAGGAAAGGGATAAGACAACATAAACAAATATCCATACATACTTCATCGTATCTTCAACCAAGATATATACACTGAATCTTAGTATCAACAGTCATTCTCAATGATTCACATCAATTCACAGTGTAGCTATACAAGGTACTATGTGGGTCACCAATATTTATTTATATTAGTACTTGATATATTTCTAGTTTCAGATAATTGTTTAACCTAAGTAGAACAGAAATGCAATTTTTCATTAAACCAGAAATATGCTAACACTTGTGAACTCTGCTGCAAGTTACCAAGATCTTAATAAATGAAAAAAAAATGTTGCCTAGGTACAGTGGGGAGGATGAAGATAAATGTATTAGTCTTTCTTCTGGTCAAGTTCCCTTTGGCTAAATTATGTTAGTTTGGGTTAAGTTTGATTTAGGAAAAGATAAGATACCAAACATTTGATTAGATTACATTACATAAGGTTACAATAAGCTGGGTTGTGTTAGGTTAGGAGAGTATGATGGGCACAATTATGTCTCACCTGTTCCAACTCTTCTTCTGATATTTGTGGTGAAGACAACACTAATTTACTCCTCTTGGTTTTGGACTCCCCGTTTTCAAACACAGAGTTGGGAACGCCTTGTTCTTTACGTTCCTTTAACTTTTGTTTATCCTTTTTCCTCTCCCGGTCCTCCTTCTCAGATCGCAGGTCTCCATCAAGATGCTGCTGTCGAAGGCGTTTAAAGTTGGGCTGCATGGGATCATATGTTTCTTGTGATGTATCATAAAATCCCGATGCAGGCTTCTTCTCAAATGGAATTTCCTCATTGTAATCGACTCCCTTCCGCTTTTTTCGTTTTTGAGGTAGATCAATCCCAGCAGCTCTGAGTTCCCTACGCTTCTGCAGAGCAGCCAGTCGTCGTGCTTCTTCTAGTTGTTTTTCACGAGCCTAAAACAATGAGACAACAAAACGCCATTACAATTGTGAAAAATCTGAGAAACATCAGAATACAAGAATTTGCTGTTCAGTCTTTGACATTTAAAAGTGTTTTCAATGATGTTCTGTAACATGAGCAATCAAAGAACATATAAAAGGCCACTGTTCTTTATTGGGTGTGGGCAGGCAGGCAGCCTTAATTTTGTTGCAAAAACTCCTGTAGTAGCTAAGGCAGCTTAAAAAATGAATGTTGGAGAGTGTGGTGGTGATCATCCTGTGTTATAGATTTGTAAGTATGGAAAAAAAAATCTGGTGAGCAGGAATTGTCTTTGACAATGATAATGTCTACAGTACAACAACAATCAGTCGGATCTGGAAAGACAGGCATTACTATGACTAAACTAAAGCCCAAAATCTGAATGAAATGTACCAGATGTTATACCTTCCTCTTTGCTTTCTTGCCCTGGGTGTTGGCCAGACGAGCTCGTGCCTCGGACAACATCTCCAGTTCGTCCTCGTCCATGTCTTTAGGGTCGGGTCTAGCAGGCTTCGTCTCTGGATTCGGGTCAATCTCTCCAGGTTTGAGTTTCCTTGGGTCGTCAACACTCTCTTCATCTTCCCCTTTCTGAGCCTGGTCACTAAAGGTATATTATAAGAACTGTAGTTACCTTAAGAAAGTTGGTCACTAAAAGTATATAAAAAGCAGTTACCTTAAGAAGATTGGTCTACTGAACTGAGATTGAAACAGGATGTTAATATAATTTGTTTTGAATAGTACAGTACAGTATTAATGAACTATTACTATGGATTACTGAAATAGCCTTAAAAATAAACATTCTATTCTAATCTATTTTTTTCAAGTAAACATTCCCTCATCAAGATGACCTAAGTTTATTGTACAGTAATTATTAATCTAACTCTCTAAATTACATACTGTATATATATAAACATGGTACATTGCACAACTTCAAAGTTGTGATTTAATACAAAAATGTTGTTTAAACTAGAACTATGACAAACTTTATTACCTCATAATTTTTTAACATTCTTAAGTGCAAAAAAAAAAAATTAATAATAATAATTCATGCACATACAGTATTTAGCCTCTGAACAACAGCTCTGTCATATTTCAGGAAATTTCTGAACAAATACAGAAACTGAATACACAAACTATAGACCCCAAGGTGTGAAAGTAAGAACAATGATATGTGCAATCCAGTACTGTAGTGTACAGCCCCTTCCCCAGTACAGTATTTGTCCACAGAGGCATAATCACTTATTGTTTTGTAAACTGACTTTTTCTTGTTCGTGTACATTTCCTTTTTATACATACTACTGTACACAGGCCCGGATTATCCATTAGGCACAGTAGGCACAGTGCCTAGGGCCTACGAGATATTGGGGGCCTACGAAAAATAAAATGAGAACTTTTTTTCCCCCTTTTCTACAGGTTATTATTAAATTGATACTGAGATACTTTTTTTCCATTTATTTATTACTTAATCCTATTAGTATCCATTTATGTTACTTGATTATTTTCTATACTATTCTTTTTAGGCATATTCTGGCCATAGATGAAAGCAAAATAGTAGAAGAAAGTTGTTTCAAAGAGTACACAAAATTTTTATTTTTTTTCAGTTGTCTAATACATACTTTTGTTTCTGAAATATCCTATACAAGTTACAACGTAATCATTAGGAAATGTTTAGAACATACTCAATATGCCAAAGCAACTGCTTCGGAAAATTGACACAGATTTTAAGTTAAGATATTTATTAGATCAAAACTTTACGGCTTTTTTGCAGTGCAAATTGTTTTATTATGTCATTAGTGTCTATCTTTCGAAGCAGTTCATTTTCAATTGAAAGTAGGGAAAGAGAAGAGAGCCGCTCTTGGCCCATAGTGGATCTTAAACTATTTCTGTACTGTACAAGAACAGCTGATCTAACCCATTTTCTTTTACTCAATTCATGGCAAACATCACTGAATCTTATTCTTTCAACATCACATTTTATAATTAGGTACTAGCTTGTGTTATTAGTGAATATGCTGTCAAATGGGGCCCCATATCTTGGAGGTGCCTAAGGCCTACGAAAGTCTTAACCCGGCACTGACTGTACAAGCATATGTCAGCCATGGGAGCCAAACAGGTGCAATCTCCTAATTCTTAGCTTTCAACAGGTAGTGTAGTACAGGTACTGTCTAATGTAGTGGATTTCATCACTCTCTTTGCAGGAAGCTCATCCACCCAAAAAATGTTTCACCATCGAAGAGGTCACCCACCCGAGTATACATACGTTAAGTGTATAAAGAAGGACCCAGTCATATATTCTGGCTGAGAATTGAGCCCAAGGGTTCTTATCTCGATAGGTAAATACAGTGGTCCCTCGGTTAATGAACACAATTCGTTCCACAGTCGTTCGTTAACTGAATCTATTATTTCAATGGGAAATTGGGTAATTGGTTCCAACTCACAGAAAAAGTACATACAAAGTACTGTATACCAACAAAACATTAAATATAAACTAAATACAGTACAGCACTGTACTGTAAAGTATTCTGTACAATAATAAATAAAAAACAATAGAATACTGTATTTTAACTTACTTTGAGGTGTGTATGTCGTATACCCGGCAGCTTTGTTTACATATCAAACAGCTGACTGTAGAGGCAGTCGATGATGACATGCCATATTCTTTACAGAGTGCATTGGTTCTAGTGCCTTCTTCATGTTTCCTAATAATTTCTGCACTGCACAGTATATTATCAATATGTTAACTAAATTTCAGAATGACCAATTATTTTAATGTTCACTCCACTGTAAACAAAGTTAAACTGAGAAGCGTTGGAGGGTGATTCAATCAGCTGATGGGCGCACAAAAATTGTTCCCTGTACTGTATATATTATCAATACGTTAACCTAATTTCAGAATGACCAATACTTTTAATAAAAAAAATGTAGAAATATTCAAGAGCACAACTTTCTTGATATTTACTTCACTGGAAACGAATGTAAACATAGAACCAATTACTGTATTGGCGGACCAGCTGATCAGCTGATGCACACAACAAAACATGTTTGTCGTAAGGATTTCGTTAATCGAACTGAAAATCCTTATGAGAGCTAATTCGTTAACCGAAATTTCATTAATCGAACCGTTCGTTAACCTAGGGACCACTTCTGAGCTATAGAGTACAGTGACCCCTCGTTTAACGAACGCCTCGGTTAACGAACTGCCTTCCATAAGGATCTTCAATTCGGTTAACGAACAAAAATTCGGTTAACGAATTTCTTACGAACCGACCTCAACATGTTTTCGCTTGCACTGACCGGGCAACCAGCTTTAGTATCAGTCCGCCAATACATTAATCGGTTCTAGGGCTTAAATTTCTTACTATTTTAGTAAATATCAAGAAGTTTATACTATTCAATAATTTTAAAAGTTTAATATTAACTTTTTTTAGTCATTTTAACAATTATTGAACATAATTGAAGGTAAAGAAACTAGTTTCTGGCGTGCCATCCAGCCTGTTAACACACCAGACAGGCGTTAGTCTCTCTCTGTTTTCAGTGGAGGTAACATCTTGCTTGAGACTCTCTTCAACTAAACGCTTTTTTTCTGTGTTTCCAAGCAAATTATTGGTCAATTTGGAATATATTTTACATATTGACAATATATAATGCAGTGCAGTGTTGATTTAAAGAAAATAATCTTGAAATATACCAAGAGAACTAAAATTTTATGGATGAAATGGTGCCATGGGGGTGACTTCTCTTCCACCCCAATGCCTTTTCTTCTTCCTTCTCCTCCACCCCCATTCTAATTCCCATCATCATCATCACCATCTAGGAGCCTTCTACATACACACCTCAAAGTAAGTGAACTTTTCTACCATTTTTGTTGAATGTAGGAAATTTTCGGTGAGCTGGAACCAATTACCCAAAAACCCATTGAAACAATGGTTTCGGTTAACGAACTTTTCGGTTAACGAACGACCTTCTGGAACGGATTGAGTCGTTAACCGAGGGGTCACTGTACAGGTTAATTCTTAGTTTCCTCTTATTCACTTGTGTTGGCTGACCAAACCACACAGAGAAACTTCTCTCCACTGGTTGTAGTACTCGTGAATGTGATTTTAACCCATTTGCAAAACTTTGGCTAAAAAACTATTAGTAGCATCTGCCATTGTTACATTATGAGTCCCTTTTTAAATTTTCTTCTTTTAACAACAGTGAACCAAGTACCACATATAAATACAGTAGTCTCTCTCTCTCTCAATCTAATTTTGCTTTAATCTTCTACATCCTTTTTCTTCAGCTTTAATCATCTCTTATACTTCTCCAACAACATTTGTATACATTTTTCTTCACAATGCGATGTAAATTGACCCAGTATGACAGACTGGCTGACTGAATAACTAACTGACAAGAATTGATGTTTGACCAGCTTGTGCTAAGGAAGCTTGTGATCAATTCTTTGTTACCCTTGTTTACTTATTCTTTCACTATCTACACTTAGACACTCACTCTTGTATTTATCTTTATAGAATGAGTGGAAATCAATGTTACTCAGACACCACAGTATAAGTGGCACAATAACCTAACTTTAAAAGGCATTACCACAAGACGTTAATTCCCTCACATATTTCCACAAGCACTGTGATAACTACGGTAACAAAGTCTTTGATAAAAACAGTCCCTTAGAGAACTTACTGAGTTACTCTGGTGATGAGTACCATTACATGTCTACTTACAGTAAGTACTCATAACGCTCCAGACACTGTGCAGCTGTGCGACCAATGATGGGAGCAATTGTCCTCCACTGTGTTGGCATCAGCTTGGCCAGATGCAGCAGCTTCTCATCTTCCTCCCGACTCCATTCTGTTTTTTTGATGCTTGGATCCAGCCACTCAAACCATCGTGCCTTGCATTGTTTGGCAGACTTGCGATGAAGCAGTGATGCAATACGCGACCACTGATTTTTGCCATATTTCATAACAGCCGCTTTGAGGATTTCATCCTGGAATATATTTAAGAGGATATTATACTGTATATAATTTTTTCTTACTGATGAGCTTTCATTAATACAGCATAGCATAGTATATATATATATATATATATATATATATATATATATATATATATATATATATATATATATATATATATATATATATATATATATATATATATATATATATATATATATATATATATATAAGCTATTTCAAACAAAAACTCCTTGAGTAAAATAGGAAGTAGGGGCTTGGAATTAATATTTCTCATGAAATAAATCATCAGAGGAAAAAAATACTGTACATAGCAATAGTCAGGGTTACTATGTGTTATTATGATAGTTAGGAACAACTTTTCTTCTACAAAACAGTAAGTAATATGTGTGGGTACACAATACTAAAAGTTATTATAATGATAAAAACATGTGGAAAAATTTAAATATAACAACTCCTTCTGGTGGTAGTGCTGTTCTCAGGCAATACCCCATATTTTAATACTGTATTTATTTTCATAATCATGAAGTACTGTGATCACAGCCTACCAACTGGTGCTGGACATCTCGTACTCAAGCAAATAGTACCAATCAAAACATGTCAAGTCATACACAATTACAAGATAACTCATACCCAATTTACAAGACAGTTCACACGCACGCATGCATACACATATACTGTATATACATTCTCTCCTCGACTTACGACAGCCATGGCCGTATAAAATATTTTTCATATTACGTATTTTCGAGTCACAACGTTAGTGATCGCGCTGTGTACTGACAAATTTTCGTTTGTAATTCCCTTTAAAATGGCTGGCAAGCGTAAAAGTGAGAGTTCTCGTGGTACTGAGAAGAAAAAGACACCCATTTTACAATTTATATAAAACTAAAATATTTTCTTACCGATGAGCTTTCATTGATATACTGTATATATATATATATATATATATATATATATATATATATATATATATATATATATATATATATATATATATATATATATATATATATATATATATATATATATTATAGAGGCAACTGTTGCCTCTGAAGATGTCTTGAATAAAGACGAAAGCTAAGGTGTCCGTTGTTTCCCTTTTCTCGTGTGATTTAATCAAGATTTATCTTATCCACGTTTCATTATTGTGGATATATATATATATATATATATATATATATATATATATATATATATATATATATATATATATATAAAAAGAGAAATTCACCATATGTGGGAAAGAATTTTATTAAATATGATCAAAATTAGAATGCTCGCATACGCTGATGAACTGGATATAGTAAGCAACAACATCCAAGAAGTAGATACAATGGCAACAACCTTTAAGGAAATAGCAAATTCAACAGGACTCGAGATAAATGTGGATAAGACCAAAACAATGATCATGAAAAGAAACTAAAGGCAAAACTCAAAATGTATCAGAATAAGTGGATTAATATTTAAAAAATCGAGTCCTTTAAATACCTTGGATCACTTATGACATAAGAAAACAAGATTAAAGAAATAATGGAAAACCAACAACGTTAATTACTGTATAGCAAGGAGTGGAGCCAGTAATAGACGCTACTTCAGTCTTCTGGACACACTAAAACGAAGATCCGTATCAAGAACAACAAAGCTGAGAATTTACAACACAATAATATGTCCAGTTCTTACTTACGGTTGTTAATAATGCACATTTTTGCAAATTTGTGAGCCTCATTTCTGATGTCATCATTATCCATTTGGTAGCATTCTATCACTACTCTGAACCGATTGTGTATATTTTTATACAAGTGATAGTGGGCCCTTCATGCCCGGTGAAAGTTTGAACGCTTGTGCTTGGCTAGCACGCAACCGCCGTCAGGCTGACAGCGTACAGCAACATCGTTTTCCAGCGTAAATAAAATGGTTAATTAATACCTTCCTAAAGAAACCATCGACATGGGACCAGGTTTGTTCCACTCTACGAATTTTTTTACGATTTTTCCACCAAGTTTGATGAAAAACGAATGTGCCGTTTCAGCTGCCCAGAACAGACACATGGCTATTCCTATAGTATATTAGATGCAACCATTCTAGCCTGCAGCCCACATAATATAGATTCTGGAGAAGTGAAGTGATGGTTACTTAATATTCTGCAGTACTACATAAAGCCTGTGCTTCCATCTAAAAAAAATCAAAGCTAGAGTTGGGTATGAGTTATCTCGTGCGTTGGGTACAAGTTATCTTAGGTACGAGTTAACTTTTTTGAGTAGGATTTATCTTGGGTAAGAGTTGTCTTGGGTTGGAGATGACCCTAGTCCCTAACCCCCTGCCAAGACTGCAAGCGGTCTGATAGCAGCCTAGAGCCGTCATCATGTATGAGGTGAAACACTGTTTACTAACCTCGGTGTTCCTCCACACACCTCCCTTGATCATCACACGAGGCATCTTCACGTAACACAGTACAACTAACACAGTAACAAGGTCAACGTATCACCACCGTTTGTTTACAACAACATGGCAGATAAACATACGAGTCGCGTCGTGCGCGATATATCTCCCTGTTTCAGTCATCGTCTCTATCTTATTAAAATTCTTCCAAGGTGTTCCTTCCTCGTTCATTTAATGTATATATATTCTTCGTCTTCCCCTGTATTCGTTCTGTCTCTCACACTCTTATCTCATATTTGTATCTACTTTCAGTATCCTCATTCATTCATTATTTCTCTTCTACTTATCTCTTTTATTTTCTCATTCCGTCTAAATCGTTCTTCCATCAATCTTTGTTTCATTAATCTCCCTCACTCTCTCTGTGTCACCACCACCAGTAAGATGTCACCACCACCAGTAGGGTGTCACTACCACCACCAGTAAGGTGTCACCACCACCACCAGTAAGGTGTCGCCATCAGTAAGGTATCACCACCACCAGTAAAGTGTCACCACAACCACCAGTAAGGTGTCGTCACCACCACCAGTAAGGTGTCACCACCACCAGTAAGGCGTCACCACAACCACCAGTAAGGTATCACCACCACCACCACCAGTAAGGTGTCACCACCACCACCAGTAAGGTGTCACCATCAGTAAGGTATCACCACCACCAGTAAAGTGTCACCACAACCACCAGTAAGGTGTCGTCACCACCACCAGTATGGTGTCGTCACCACCACCAGTAAGGTGTCGTCACCACCACCAGTAAGGTGTCACCACCACCAGTAAGGCGTCACCACAACCACCAGTAAGGTATCACCACCACCACCACCAGTAAGGTGTCGTCACCACCACCAGTAAGGTATCACCACCACCAACAGTAAAGCGTCACCATCACCACCAGTAAGGTGTCACCACCACCACCAGTAAGGTGTCACCACCACCACCAGTAAGGTGTCACCACCACCACCAGTAAGGTGTCACCACCACCACAAGTAAGGTGTCACCACCACCACTACCAATAAGGTATCACCACCACCACCACCAGTAAGGTGTCACCACCAACAGTATGGTGTCACCACCACCGGTAAGGTGTCACCACCAATAGCACGGTGTCACCACCATTAGTAAGGTGTCGCCATAGTTACATATCATTTGTGTCACACTAAATTTTTGTTTTCACTGTAAAATCATCAAACGATAGCAGATATGAATCGTGTCACATGATGATGATGATGATGATGATGATCGCTTGGGCGCGTGCGCGGAGCCAGCGGGCAGGTGATCGATCCAGAAGCGGCTCTGTCTCAGTGTGCGTGTTAGCGGTGTTTTGGGTGGACGGTTGCGGTGCTTCGTCCCGCTGAAGGTTGTGTGGCGCTGCTCCCCCTCCCTGACCAGGCTCCCCCTCCACCACCTCTCACATCCAACAGGTATGACCCTCCTACCTGGTGGCCACGCCCACCTGATGCTTTCCCCACGCCCACTCTACCACTCACAAACATTAATGTTCAAACACGAAATTGTTTCACCAAAAGGAAGTTTGGAGTCAGTTGCCGCGCTATAATGAACGGTTGACTTATTCTCCGTTGACCAAGGAGGAGCTGTGGCTGTGTTGAGTAAAGGCATATGAGGAATACAGATGAATGGCGTCACAAAATTTTTAGTTTGGCGAAGAAGACCCTGGCGAGCGATAGTCTGGCGAACATATGGCCTCTTAGGTCACAAATGCTTAACAGTCAGTTTTCATATAGCTCGTTAATCTCCACATTTACAAACAATATACATATTGGTACGTGTAAGAGTTTGAGAAGTAATGTGTCATGTTAGGTTGTCTCACGATCAAAAGTGACACATACTGTTTATAAATAACAATTACCATAACAATATAATAAACAGTACATTATACGTTAATAGCACCTAAAGAAACCTCATCATATTCTTTGGGTTGATGGATGGTCTTTAAACGTGGGGCATTCTGTCAATACTACCACTACTGTTACTACTGGTATTACTTCTGTTATTTTTACCTAACCTAACGAATCCTATCCTTACCTATCCAGACCTAACCAAACTTATTTCGTATCTTATCAAACTTATATCTAACGTAACCTAACCTAATCTAATCTAATCTTATCTAATCTGATCTAATCTTACCATTTCATTGTATGCTTAACCTGACCCAAATGTTTGAAGAATATTGCATCTTTTATTATTTGTGTACAATGCTTCCCTGCAGGATCAGTAAACAGTGTTCTGTTCAAAGTCTAATTCCAAGTCAACCCACTTCGAGTCGAAAATTCTTTCTTCACCATGCATGACGTCATCTGGCCGGCAGCCCGGGGGTCTTCTGGGTGGGACCTCAGTTATCATCTGGCCTCGTGGTGCAAGGTCTATGACAATGCCTGATAAATGCTCCATATGTGGATGCATATCAAATTACAGACTACATGATAAAAGTTTGAGATTTCATTGATTTCCAAAGGATGAAAAACAGAGAAAAAGTGGATTGTAATGTGCATGCAGCAAATATATAGGGTGGAACAGGAGGAAGGGCAAGTTTAAATTTAAATTCCCTAAGACTAACTTTCGACCAGCAAACCGGATGTGGAGAGGCTTCTACCTATTTGTTGCTTAAAACTGTTGCATAGCCTTGTTATCTGTAATATATCTAGTGGCCATATTGATAAATTGAAAACCTCTACACATATATACTTGTAGTCACTGATTTACTGTAATAGCTTGGGGAGAGAGAATGATGATAATTATAATCATTAGCAGTTGTTATTATTTTCTTTAACTATTTTATGTAATTCTTGTATTCCTTCTGTCCCCTCCTCCTCCTCCCCCCCCAGTAAATAGTAAGCCCATATGCCTATGATTACTTATTTACTTTTACACTGATACTGGCAGCAAAATCAAAAGAGTATAAATAGTAATAAAGAGAGGAAGAGGTGGATTGTTAATAATAATAATAATAATAGTAGCTAACTGAAAGTGGTCTCACCCAGGATCCAAAGACTCTATTGGTAGCCTTTGCCCGGAATCCACTACACGCCAGTGACGTCACATAATGAGCTCTGCCCATGCGCGTGGGTAGACTTGGTTTAAAGACTTTGGGTCTGTTTTTCTTACTGAAATAATCCGCTTTATTTACTTATTTTCATTTCACTTGGCAACTCTTCATGACGTTACAGCAACTCATCTTTCCTGTTAGTCTACAGACTTGATCAATGAAAGATATAATTGTCGAAATAATTCATGCCTGTGACCACTTTAATTCACAATCGATGCTGGGCGTTCTCTCTGTCTCTCTCTCTCTCTGTCCGATTGTCTATTTAATTTATATTTCATTCTGTTGTGTTGGTTCATAAATAGTGTGCCAGTGTCTTAAAGAGTCTTAGCTGCGCTCATAAACTTGGTCATAAATCGTTCACAATCTACTTAAATGTGGATTTGATAATTGGTATTGGACTCGGCCAGTTACTCGCGTGATTGCCACTGTTTCATTAATCCCTATTTCCATGGCGATATTTAATTGGAGGGGATAAGTCACCCTCATATGGACCAATCAAGAAGCCGGTGCTTAAAACTGGTTGGCTTTGTGATTGGTTAATTCTTATAAAGGCATGTAATCGGTGGAGGGAAGATCATGCAGAGGATTGTCATTGGTTAGCATCGTGATCAGTATTGTCTCACTTATTATTATTCATGTCTCGATTCTTAAAGAATCGTAACTGATGGTGGTATGTACTATACGGTATAGTTGTGGTAGTCTAAGTCAATCTTAGCTTATATTGGTAATATATATATATTGGTAATATATATATATATATATATATATATATATATATATATATATATATATATATATATATATATATATATATACATACAGTATGCGTGCGTGGTAAACAGCACGTGTTAGTTAGCGCCAGGTGTGTATGTGTGTGTTGGCGTGTGCACCGAAGGGAGTGACACCACCTGTATCTTGGAGTCATTACAGGGCGAGGGAATGGGGAGGAAGGAGGAAAAAGGACGACTTCTTCATAATGATGTAACTGACATGCAGTTTATTTCTGTCTGCGGGTAAGTGACTTCAAGCAAGCAAACACATTTTGATGTTGCTCAAGGAAGGAGGTTGGTAAGCTTGTTGTCATATCTTAGCGTCATACAGACCATGGTAACACTGCTTTTACCTGTGATGATAATATTCTTGGCAAGTAGAGAGAGAGAGCGTGATCAACAGCAGTACTGTACAGTAAAACCAAGATTAAGGCCACAGCTCTTCAAATGTGTTCAGAGGCGCCAGTTCAGCTCACCCGCTGCCGATGGTTCAGTGAACACCCACCCACCCACTGCTATAGTGGTGGTGGTGGTAGTAGCTCATGGTGGAGTGGATGGGATTTAGTTATACTGTACTTGATTGAGACAATGACGCCACCAAAAGTTGAACTGAGATTGACAAAACATTATATTCATTGAGGACGTATCGTATCTGTATATATGTAAATAATATGTAAATACTCTTATAGTACTTAGATAATTATTTATATCTCGGTAGGTCTGTTGCGGGGGTGGAGGAGGAGGGTATCAAGTCAAATGACTAATGGGTGGTAAGAGGAAGAGAAGGGGAGGGAGCAGGTGAAATTGTGGTGGAATGAAGGTAATATAGGATGGTGGAGAGACACAGCAGGTGAGGGGCACAGTACAGGTGTGGTGTGGTGTGGTGACTCACTTGTTTCTAATGGGTGACTACATTACTGAGAGAGACAGAGAGATTTTATGTTTCAATGGACATAGGTACCTCTACAGACATTAGTTGTGGTGGTGATGTAATTGCGGTATCATGTTCCCTCCCAGCAGCTGGACTATCAAGTGACTCCAGGTGCCTCAGGCACAAGTGGGCGACCTGTGTCATCACACCTGTTACTCTCTCTCCACTTTTTTACCCCACTCCCTTCCTCCACTCTACATTGTTATATAGAAATTTACAACATACAGCGAGAGAGACAGAGACAGCGAGAGAGAAAAAAAGTAAGATAGAGAAATGACGGTGTTACTGGAGGTGAAGTAGTGGAAGTATCCTCCCAGACAGCTTGATTTTACGCACCAATGATAGAGAGAGAGGGTGGGTGGGGGTGAGAGTACCTCAACACCACCGGCCTGTCAGCCACATATATCCCTCGAACCTGTGGTGGTGACCTGTGGTGGTGACCTGTGGTGGTGACCTGTACACACATGGACGCACTATTATCGGCTTCTGTTAAATGCTGTGATGGCGTCATAATCACCCGATCGATAGTGTTGTGATCACGTCATATACTTTATAGTCGGCAGATGCCATTATTGTGATAACAATGACGTGGGTGAGGTAATGTTATGATGACGTGAGTGGGATGAGGTTATGATACGTGATAAGTTAACCACAGTGACCACCGCTGCCACTGGAGATACTTCCATCACCACTTATTTTTTTATCTTTTGACTTTTCTCGTATCTACGTTTGTTTTGCTCTCTCTCTATATATATATATATATATATATATATATATATATATATATATATATATATATATATATATATATATATATATATATATATATATCAGTACGGTATCTCTAAATCTATCACTCTTAAAATTTGTATGTGTATATGTCCGTCTGTGTCTGTTTACATGTTCTCCTCATCGTCTCACTCCACCATACCTAGCTTCCTCCTCTTCCACCTCTTCCCTCTCCTCCTCCCTCTTCCACCCCTTCCCTCTCCATCTCACCTTACCAATCTCCTGTCCTGCGCCCCCTGCCCCTGCCTCCCCTGCCCCTGTCCCTCCTGCCCCTGCCCCTGTCCCCCTGCCCCCGCCAGTACACAAGGTTAGGGTCAAGTTAGTCTTGTGGCGGCCATCTCCTCAGACCTGTCACTAGGGCAGGGCATCCTCACCTGCGCTCTCTCTCTCTGGGGACACAGACTTGAAGAATATTTTTTTTCAACACGAACTGCAAAAAAGAAAACGTTTTATGCGAAGTTAAGTGAGTTTTAACTGCTTATATTCAGTCAAAACCTCATGGTGAAGGTGTCAGCACCACACGTTATGGTGAAGCTGTCAGGCGGCAGGATCGATGTAACATGGAGTATCATCCCGTCTGCTGGGTTTATGGTCTCTGCTGTCTGCTTCTCCTTCCTGTCTCCTCCTGGTGACTTCTGTCTCTTTCTTCCTGGCTTCTCTTGCTGTCCTCGTCTCCCTGTTTCCTGTTGTCTGCTGCATTTTTCTCTCTTGTTCCGTCTGTTGTCCATCTCGTTGTCTGTTTACGTCTCTTTTCTACACTCTCTTGCAGCTGTGGTGATGGCAGTAGTGGTGGTGGTAGTGATGGTAGTGGTGGTAGGGATAGTGGTTGTTGGTAGTAAGGGTAATGGTAGTGGTCGTGGTGGTGTC